AGCATTTTGTAACCAAATGTCGAGTTCATTATTAGAAATAATGAATAAAAACGCTTCAAACCAGCGGATTTCTAGAGAGAATAATTATGCTTAAAGTATTTGTTTTTAATATTTGCCAAAGAAGCAACAATCGCTCAGAAAACATACAAACAAAAACCACCTAGATACGTATGTTGCTCTGTGAATAATTTGTCTAATATAATTTCGCAGAAAACTGCATCATACACACTCTTAATGCCTTTGCTATTTCCTGATATATTCTTTCCCACTACACTCTGCGAATTCTAAATTGAAATGAGTGTCAATGACTTAATAGCATAAAATCCGATAGACAGTCATACAGATGATCTGGTGTTAATGTTGATCGAGTGAATCACGCAATTCTACAATTATATAGACCGTAGTGAACTCCTCTGGGTGATTGTAAGACATATGTATGTACAAATTTTCGTATAGACACACAAACAAATCGATGCAAAAATCGCATAATAAATGAAACGCAACGATGGTAATTAATTCTCAGTCAAGTGGATGATAAAGACATTAATGGCAAAACCAACAGCAAAGAGGGGCGCGAGGCGAGACAAGACCATGTATTCCATCAACAAACAAACTGCAGCATCATTGGCATTCAAATGAGAATTCCGCCACCATTTATACATGGTCCGTACAGACACTTTGGCGACATTCAACGGAGACCAAAAATGTCGAGCATTGTATTGTTTGCTGTATTGTTGCTGTCATCAAGAATGATAAAAAATACAAAAAAATAAACAGAAATAAAACGATGAAATTGGTAGACAGTCACAGAATGCAGATGTAAGGAAAGATTCAACCATTTGCACGGACCTGTACTGCACCGAATCGGATTACGCCATTAGTACAGTGAACGACAATATGCCCTTGCATTTATTGTTGGTGCCAGCTTCATGCTAATTGAAATTGGAATTTGGCGATGAACATTGCAGATTAGATGAAATAACAAGGAAAGCGAAGAATACATTGACGTCACGTTACCGTTGGTGTTAATGGCCTGCTGGTTGAGAGTCAAAATCAGGCAGTCATGAGAACAACAAAAAACATAGATACATTTACACTTAGAAATTTACAATTAATTGTTGTATTCAGTCATGTAGGAGTATTAGCAAAATAATAAATGTATGTTTAACTTCATATTTCGGTTTTCATTTAGGACAAACCTTGTTTATTTGCTAATCTAATTTAGTAACTAAATCAATAAAATATGATTTGGTTCCATTAACAACCACCCAGAGAAGTTTAATCGAATATTTTTTTTTTCATATTGCCCAGTCTTTCGACCTTAAGGCTGTAAGCTACATTTCACAATTAAATATAAATTTTATCGTATTAAGCGGCTTAAATGTAAAAGGGAGGGATATTGAACTACTAAAGAATATTATACCGATTAAATTACAAAAAAAGTTTTTGATTATTATAGGATATGATTAAAAAAATTTGATTAATTGGTTTATGACTACTCCAGTAGGAATGGAATGGAAAATTATTATATATAAAAATGAGTTGTGTTTTTATCAAAATAATTTGTATCACAAATATAAAAAAAGTTAAACATACATACGTACATTAAAAAATTTAATTGAATTTGAACTACTCCAAAAATTTTGATAGACAACATTATTACCAACTATTTTTTTAGGAAAATGCAATTAAATCTTAAAACTTCCTACAGCTACATATTTATTTTGTAATAAATTGTCCCATAATTATAATTACATTAACATGCATTTGTTGGAAAATTAAAAACAAATAAATTTTATTTTAATTGCATAAAGTTTTGCCTCATTAAGAATTCCTATTCGAAATAAAACCCTTTCGGCGTTCTATTTTCAACTTTCCCTTTCTTGGCCTGACCACAAATTGCTCAATAGAAAGAAACAACAGCTGAAGATAGCGAAGGAAAACTTAAACCACAAACGAACAGTTAAAGATAATCACTTCAAATGAATGGGAAAAACCACAATCTTACAAACCGGCTCAATCTCCGACAGTCTGTCAGTCATTTACTCACTTCTACACAATTATTATGTGCTGTATTTTTGTTTTGTTTTCCAGTTATTCTCTATTCAATTCCGTTGTATCATAACTTGGGGAGAACTTAGTCAGACTATCATTACAGCACATCGTTAAAAAGTCCTTTTCTCATCACTACTATTTCGGTAGACACGAAACAATGAAAAATAATCTTTGGATTTTAGATACAACACAAACTACAAAATTATTGCTGATGGTCAGGGCTGTGTTCGTAGTAGAAACATTTTGAATGTATAACGAAACGGTGTAGGAAACCACAACATAATAAACATAAAGGTACTGAACATATATATATATATATATCCAATTATTCCTACAGATCTTTGTATATATATATATATATATATATATGATCTTTAGATCACACATATGTGATAATATTTTCCCAGTTATTTTACAATTTTCATTCTGCTATTACTATCATCAAGCTTATTCTTAAATAGCCCGCTATTATGTTAATCGTGGCAAATCCTTTTTCATACATTTTCATTATATGTATTCTCTTTTTCGAATAGCCATTAAACGAATCTCCTCGTTAAAAAAAAAACACCTACGAGCAACTCCCCTAAAGCAGAACAATAACACAACAACTAAAGCCAACGAAAAAATAAAAGAATTAATAATAAACACACACATTTCATTTATAATCCAAGCCTTTTTAAAAAAAAAACATTCACCTTTATGTATGTATGAAAGTATGTTTGCAAAACATTCTGTGATATACTTCGCGCTGTACGAGGATTGTAGTTTCTCGGATACTCCTACAGGTGGGGAGAGTCTGGAAGTGTAAGCGCATCGAGTGGCTAACGGAAAACGGCAAAGCAATTTAAAATACATAACATAAATCTTTAACGTTCTCGTACCAGTACAAATGTGCTAAAATTGCAAAAATACTAGAAAAATATGGTTTGGGGAAATGGGAGCAATATGTAAAATTTGAGTTAACAATTTTATACCAAGTTAAGTAAATATTTGTTTTTTTTTTTTTCTTAAATATATATACGCTACCCTAATTTAGTCATATATATATATGAGACATGGTACTCGAATATATATATATATATGAGACATGGTACTCAAAATAATTTTACTGCATTATTCATACCAACCCACAACCACATCAGCATTCGTAGCATCTGCCAGTAGGTGAACGAATATTCCTTTTTGTAAACGTTAAATCCACTTTCGCGGTTAGCATTTTTTCGTTTACGCCTTTTCAAATATAAATGCAAATTTTTCCTCAATTCCTTTTGTTTCCTTCGGCCATTAAACGCCATTTCTCTGGCAACAATTATTATTTCAACTACAAGACCTTTTGTTTTATTTCACCTTGTGGTTCATTCGTTTAGGGCCTCTTAAATCACCTGGGATTACCTCAAGTAGCATGGTATTTATTTTTTGTTCGGTATTTCATTTGCAACTCTAAATCAATTGTGGGTGGGCGAACATTTGGATGTGATGACTGCCGTTTACCCAGCTAGTTGTAACCACTTCAAAAGGGCGGAATCTATGGTACACAGTCAAGTAGCGCGAAGAGTTTCCGCTAATTTCAAATGCCTGAATGTCAGAATTTAGATTTTGGTAACAAAGTGGGAACAAAATTTAAATATTTTTAATATTTTTGCACATAAACCGACATTTGATAAATTGGATTTGGCGCCTTTTCTCATCACTACAAAACAACAACAAATGATATAATTATAGATTTTTTAATAAATCGACGTATTTTTTACTTATCCAGCGATATGTTCCACTGGTATAAGAAATTGGGAACTATTCACTATAAAATGAAATACAAAATCAGGAACAGTTTTAATATTATATGAATGTATCATTGACACGAAACTATTTTCAATCGATCATTTAATTTCCTTTAATATTTTTATTATGCCAGCAGTCAATTTGACTTTTTATGGATTTTTTTATTATTCTTAACCAACGTTTCACGTTAGAATGCTACATATCTTGCCTATATCATGTGAAAGATAGCATTCGCATATTGTTTCAACAGATTCTGAGAAATACTCGGAGAAACTTTATTTACAACAATTCGGCATAGAAGAAAGGAAGCGAGTGGTATCAAAAGTAGCCTCCCACTCACACTTAGAAAAATTTATCTATGTAGGTATTTGTATCCTTTCCTCATATTTTCGGTCATGGTATGCACACACATTCAAACGTAGGAAAAAAACACTCTCAAGTATTTCCAAAACCAAATACGATTGTAAGTAAGTTGCAAGTTTGTGGCGCGATGGCATCGTCCCCTACCCATTACAAGTTAAAATTTATGAGATTTCTCTCTTGATGCCACTTGATATTGTTTGAAAGTTAATTTATGTGTAATTCTATGCTACATTTTTCTGTGCACCGACAGAGCAAGGCAACTCGCAAAGGACTGAAAAGAAGAATAAATACGCCAAAAACTTAGCTAAATCGATTAAACAGTACTCTGGGGACATGACGGACATTTGTAAAGAGCTTTAAAGAACTTACCGACAGATGTTGGTAGGTTTGTCGAATCATAGTAATTTCCATAACAGAACCAACGTTGAACCAAAATTGGTATGGTGACATTAAAAACACGAGAAAATATTCAAAACAAAAACGAAATTATATTAGTCGATTTGGGCATGCAATTACTTTGTCGACTTCACTTTTTTACAAAATACACATTTATATTCTTATTTACAATAAACAGTTTATTATTACTGAAATATTAATTTCTTGTACATTTTATACCAATGAATTAAATATTATTTTTGGAAAGTGTTCAATTGATATGATCACGGTATTCATATTCATACATTTCTTATAAACTTCTTTACTTTTTTTCCACATTTCCAATAAACAAGACAACTTAATTTGTAGGGCTGGTAATTGATTCTAAAGCATTCACAGTTGAAACAAATTGGTCTGCGGCAGATCGGAATTGTTATTATTATTTAACTGAGTTCAAATCCAACGCCAGATTGTATGGCATACAACAATTTCTCGCGCATTTGTTCGACAGTTTTAAAGGGAGGTAATTTCAAAAGATTAGTACAGGTGCTTGCCGTCGGTAGACGCTCCATGTCACCGGCATTTTGTATAAAGAAAGGTGGATCCAAATCCTGAAATACAAGACATTTGTTTATATGCCATAGCAAGTGTTTCCTGTTTAAGTACCTTAAATCCGAGTAACGGCGGTCGTGAGCAGCTTGTTACAAATTTCAACAGCTGTCTCCTCTGCAAATCATCGAAACTTTCCAAAGCCGCCCAAAACGCAATTATTGATGGATGCTCGGGACTATATTCGCCACCGTATTTACAATGTCTCTTGAGATCTTCCAGGTCGATGGGTATCTCGGCGCCTGATATTAATATCTGCAGTTCCTTGTTACTGAACATATACAGCCATTCGACGCACACAACGTTTGATAGGCCTTTACGGAATGCAATGCAGTGTTGGCGTATTTGTTTATTCAGCTTGTAGTCCGCCATGAGATGCAGATATTCCAAACGATTTGAGTTAGTTACAGGTATACTTTGGCCCTGAGGTTTCAGCTCTATAACTTGGGTCTGGCCGAACGAACTACTTGCTACAGTAAAGTCTAGATTTAATTCGCTAACATCACCTTCGTAATCTTTTAAATATAACAGATTCTTATAGAGTTCCGGATCCAAGGAAGCCAACTGGTGTATGTCGACGTCAGCATATTTGCCAGCCAGTTTGGTAAGGAAAAACTCCGCCAGGGGAAGTTCGACAAGAAGATTTTCGTATATTGCTTTACCTAATATACGTCCGATGAAGTAATAATGTTTCTCAAAATCTGGCACTAAGTCGCTCACTGTGGGATTTGGATAAAGTTTATTGTCCGTTGTTACCCTAAAGGCAATTGTCGAAGTTGAAATTAGCCAATACTCACACCACATCAAAAAAAACTTACATGAAAAAGCCTCTATTGGGATCGAAGGCAGTTTTAATTAGTTCCGAGAGAAATTCTCGGAAAACACCACCGCCATCTATACCAGCCTCATCTAAGCCCAATGACGAAACAAACTGCACTCTGAACTTTAACCGCAGATCGGGTTCTATATTAAAAAAGAATACGTTCAAGTTATGTCATTTAGGAATTGTCCTCTTCATACAAACCATTTTCTGGTCGCAGCTTGTCATAGGCGTCTTCATATAAATGGCTTCTCCTTACTGTCAGCATTATCGACGGTCCCTGCAAAAAGGCCTGTAGGTTTCCCTGCACTCTCATTTTATCGGCTGCTACCAACCCCTGTAGAATGCCCACCCGTTTGCTGAACGCCACTACAAAAGGTATTTCTCTCAAAATGGTTATTGACCGGATTTGCTTTGTTGACATAGGTGGACCGTTTTCGAAATCCTCTCTGGTAAAATCTCGAATCGGCTGAAAAGGACGTATGCCCCGCGTCCGACTGCCTCTCGTTAATGGCAAATCGGTGGGTCTATCTAGGGGCAAGTCCAAGCGCGTCACCGTCCAATGCGATTCGGGACAGAAGCCCAACCGAAGATCTCTAGTGTGAATTTGGTTCAAAACAAACACAACTACTTTCAACAGATTTGCCCAGATTTGCTTTTGCCTCATTTTAGTGTCGTCCGAATCCGAACGACCCAAGACAAAACGATAGTGCTGATTTAAATTGGACCGAGTTTCGGGAAATGCCAATTCCACTAAGCCCAAAGAAATTTCTTTTAGTGTCTTTGAAAGTTGTACAATCTCGGACAGTGAAAAAGGCATGAGGCGAACGTGAGACGTTGCCTGTGGGCTTTTCTCTATCAGTAGCTTTTCATCACAGAATTCATTATCATGTAACGTGGGCAGCAATCGTCCAAACAATGTACAGAATGTGGCCAGTAGAGGGACAAATGTTTCACTGCCCGAATGTTTTGCTAGAAAGTATCAGCCGTTTTTACAATAATTCTGAGTGCCAATAAAATCAATGGTACTTACGCACAACTCCCTTGGATATCAGGGTTAAGGGAGCATTAAATCCCTGTTGTTTGGATTGCGACACCAATGTAAACCAGACTGCTCTTATGAAATTCGGCGTAAACGATAAAGTGTATAATAATCTAGGGGGACAATTATTATATATATGAACGAGCCATCTATACGGGACAACATGTATCGCTTACTTGTAATCGAACATAGCCATTTTATTGTAGATCATCAAGTTGTGACAAATTTCACACAGTCCATACAGTACATCGTTGTCGTTCAAGTACTCCTCTATGTTTTCAACAATAACCTGAACACGCCGTCCCTCATTTAGCATGACAATGCATTCCATGAGGCTTTCTTTTTCCTGTTCCGTTATAGCAACTACTTGCGGTGCAGATTCTCCATCGGTTGATCCTTTGCTTTGATAATTATCCTCAGCATCGCTTTCGTCATCGGACGAGCTGTCTTCACTCTCGTTGCCGTGATGACTATGATGATGGACCGAATGTTTCAACGAGGACTTGGGCAAATGCAGTATTTTCGAAGACACTTCGGATATAATTTTTATGTAACTGCTTAGCAATTTTTTGGAGTGCAGGGAATCTGAAAAAGTGGTGCGTCTATTATGTGTAGGAAAAAAAAGAGTTATTCGTGTGAGTTAGTGCATACCTAATTGCTTGCGGTCTAGCATAAGTAGAGAGTGCAGCAAAAATGTGCTGAAAATGGTTTTCGGGTCCATCTCCTCTACGGCACTTTTAGACTTGACGCTGGTGGTGTTTGTCGCTGCACTTGAGGCTCCGGTGAATATTGGCACGCTTTTTTCATCAACCTCCATTTTCTCAGGCATTTCCGATTTGGTATACCTCTGCAATGTTCTCACAACAAACTCAAATGGAAATTCCGCACAGTCAGCGAAGCATGGTATGAGGAAATTTCGTATACAATCCGTAAATGGCAGTGACAGTATGTGTCTGCTAAATGACAAGCACACATTGTAGGAAAATCGCAATTCCGAATTCTTGGCCAAAAGCAAAGGCCGTAGCATTAGTTGAAATATCGCTTCCGAAAACTGATTGGGCGGTTGAAGAACCTCTCCATCCAGTGGCGGGCATTTTAGTTCCAAAATCGAACGTAGCCGTTTGTAATAATCCCTTCCAATCAGATAATTGAAAATAAATTGCAAATAGTGTCTAATTAACTCTTCATTCTCGACGTAGCGTTCTATTGACGCTTCGGAGGTGAATGTTTCTAACATCCGTAAAGGTATGGCCTGGGAAGACTGTGAATCGGTCGTCAGCTGCACAATGCACAAATCTAATAGCTTTTTGAGGCGATGTAGCCACATTTTGTCTGTTGTTGAGTTTTGCAGTATTCGGGCGGGACTTTTCAGTATATGTTGACATACATCTATCTGAAATTAAGGGCGATTAGTCCGTCGTTTTTGTGCACCTACATACACACATGGTGCTACTACTATTCCAACTTACCAATCGTTCACAGTCTTTGGCTTCCTTGGTATTGTAAAAAAATATCAAGCGTCGCAATAAGAACTCAAGCTTCTCATCCTGTTGAAGTTGGGTACGATGGGCCTTAAGAAATCCATCGAACTCCTCGCGTTCGTATCGTTTTCGTCTTTGGCGATGAATAAAAGAACGTGTATACGACTGCAGTACAATAGCACCATTTGTCTCACGTCGCAATTGATTACGCTTCAGCCGCTCCTCGGCTGCTTTGCGAATAATGGTTTCCCGATCAGAGCTGGTGGACACACCACCAAGGCTCTGTTGGGGTTTACGACGGTATTCACCGTCAAAGCCAAACATATTTACTTTTGCACACACTCTTGCTTCCGGAGAATTAGATCTTGTCCTTATCTGCGTCAAGGTCCTTCCTGGTTTGCCAACTAATCGTTTGTACGTCGTCTTTGTGTCGCACGATGAATTACTATATCTAAGTCGACCAACGATTATCGAAGTTCAGTACATTTTATTACAAAACAACTAAAACTATCCAACAATTGCGATAATTGTATTTTTCATGAAAAAAAAACGAAACTTTTTCCCTTTTTGTCAGTTCTGTCAGCATGACAAGTATTTTTCAAGACCACAAAGCCTGTTAGGGATCAAACGCCGTAAGTATACGAAACAACGAAAAAGCCTAATCAATGAACGATAAATAACAAGAGCAAAACAAAAGGGAGACACAAAGGCATAAATATATAAACCCAGCATTTTTTTCCAAATTCGGACCGAATCTCTGTATTGGGTCCGATTTCGGTACAAAAGTGTCACCGAAATCGGAAAGTTTTTCGTATGTCATGATTTAGATTAGGCGAGTTTACTTGCGGCAAGTCTTTGTTTGTAGGAGAGAGGGGCAAGGGGGATAGAAATGAAAAAAATTGCTTGTACCGACAATTTTCTGGCAATTCGTTTTGTGTATTTCGTATTTGTTGACATTTTATACATATTTAAATGTGAAAAAACAACAAATAGAAAAATATTTTGTATAGACGCATGAAGCAAGTTCAAAATAGAACGACAAGAATTGCCGCAAGTAAACTCGCCTAATCTAAATCAAGACTATGTAATTCGGATAAATATTAGAGTTTCCAACCGAATTCTGTCCTATTTCGGATAAAAATTATTGGGAAATTCGGAGAGAAATTTAGATGTTTTGACAGAAATCGGTCGGAATTCGAATGAAATTTCTTGTAAAAATCGGAAAACAATTTAGATTTTCTGGCAGAAATCGGACCGAATTCTGATTAAAAAATTAAGATTTTCTGAAAAAAGTTCAAGGGAAAAAATGTTTTTTATTTCTTTAAAATTTATTTTTTTTATTTTTCATTGTAATATTTTGCAAAAAAAAACTATTTTTTAGTTTTTTCTTCTAGTTTTAAGGGCCCCATACACTATAAATCATACCGTCATGCCGATGAACCCCTTTTTGTATATGTGAGACTGACTAGTGTATGGCAACCTCTTCAATCACTATTCCAAAAAATCGATTTTTGTCCCAAAAATTGCATTTTGAGTCGTAAATTCAGTTGTTTTTTATTCCGTCACAATTTTATTATTTTTGTAGACAAAATTATTTACTGACAACTTTCAAAATGAATATTATTCACCAGATTGATAGGGTTTCATTTTCAAAATCAAAACTATTTTGATTTTCTTCATGCATTGTGTGTGTCACACATACATAAATAAACTTTCAAAAAATAACACATACTATGATAAATGCTGTACGGCATGATGTATAGTGTATGGACCCTTTTACACTGTTTGGCAGAATTTAAGGAATGATGTATATTAAATAGAAAATAATAAAAAAAAGATCTTGGCATTTTTATGAATCTTAATTTGTCTTAACCTATAATATATAATTTTTATTGTCCCTTTTTAACACTTGAATCCAACTCATGCACGCTTTTACTTCCACTTCTGAACAACAACTAAATATATAAAAGAATGCATCGCCTTTGTCTCGACTATCTGTCAACTTTTAATATTTCACATGGTTGGCAACGTTGCACATCGAATTCAAGTAGAAATTACCCACTTTCATATGTCGAACAATTCCAATAGATGATTTCCCCCTAAATATTTTTCATAAACTATTTTGACAAAATGCATTTTGTCGAGTCTTTACGGTTTCTATGTCTTTGTTTCCGGTGAATGTCCTCTTATATTCTCTTATTATGCACATTTGTAGTACTTATTCCCCAGTTTCGTCAATTGTTTCCCATATATTTTCAAAAAAATATAAATTATTGATAATAAAAATTTTACTTTTTGAAAATTCATGTTTAATTGTCCTCTCCTGTCGCTTGTAGGATTATTATGTTGACAGTTTCTGAAAAACGAACTATGGATCCCTACCGTCCATTTACAGTGAATGCCCTCTTTAATTCTCTCATTGTCCATGACATTTGCAGTACCCATCCCCCAGTATCACAAACAAAAAGAAGAAGAATGAATACCTCGGATTCCTCGATTTTTTCTCATATCTTTAAAAAAAAATAAAAATTATTGATAATAAAAATTTCACGACTCTAATTGCAATCATTCCATTTGAAAAACAAGTCTCATCTGTCCGGGCCAAAAATGAAATAATTGTGATGTGACCAATGGAAAATGAATGAAGAATATTGTAAAATATCAGCGACGTCAACAACAACAAACATTGTATTGTCAAGAAGAAAAAGAAATTACAGCAAAAAATGCAAATTGTTTTGAGAGAGTTGTAAAGGCAGGAAGTAGTGTGATGCTATAGAGATAAATACGACAAACAACAAACATTGGTGATTTCGATTTCAGTGAAAATATACAACAGCATTATATTTAATAAAACTGAATTGAAGAAGGGGCGTTTCGAAACCCCAATTGAAAAAAAAATCACGTCATTTCTGTAAGGAGAAAGAAAAAAAGGAGAGTGACTGTAATCGCTTTTTGTGAGTTTGAGTGTGTGTGGTCGTGTGATAACTCCATGAAAAAAATGTTTGCAAAATATTGGAGGAAGCCAAGAAAAATGTGAGAGTTCACAATATCCCAGCACACACGAAAGTTCAATTCATGAAAACATAAAAGAAACGTTGCCTCTGCACGTGTACAAATTTATTTGATTTCAATCATTGGTTTTGATTCCAATACGAAAGTGATTGAAACATACATTGCCAATTAAAATCGGGAACTCAATTGTGGTATCCACGTATCGCACCAGTGGCAGTGAACCATCATGATGACCATCGACGAGGAGCAGCAGGCATTATTGAAACGTGCTGCGGAAGAGCGGGAGCTGATATTTAATCGATACAGTTTGGGTTTGGATCCCAGTAATCAGGTGGATCCATGGGAAAATCCCACTTATGAGATATACCACATAACTGATAAGTAAGTACACAATAGTAAATCGACTACCCAAGTTTGCATAATTGCTCATTGTGCATGAAGTCGCCACTATTTGTTGACGTAGGTTCATTTTATGATAGAGCAGTTTAGTTTATGACGACAAAGATAAAACATAATACTAATGTTGCAAACATTTGCTGGTTGAGCATACCTTTGAGGCGATTCCTGCCAACAATTTACAGATGATTCGCATTATTTGTGTAAATAAGGCTACCAATTCTATTTATAAAGTCATCTGGCTTTCTGGCCGTAATATGCCTGGCTGCCTGTTAAATTATGGGGACATATAAAAATAATATACCTCAATTTATGTAACATGTCGATATTAGGGCATACGGATGCAATTGTAAACATTCCAGTGGCCAGGAATAAAATCAATAACAATTAGGCGTTTTACCCATAAGGAAGTTACAAATTTCACATTCAAATATTCTCAAATAAAATTGTTTCTATTCATTTATCAAAAATAGGTATGGCTTTATGCATGATTCCCGCCTGCCAGATACGCGCGATGCGCACGAAGTGCAAAAAACCAAAATCGAATTGGAGCGTGACAAGAAATGGGTGAAAATGTTGGACAAATGGAATCCACATCACGAAAAATTGCGTAAGCGAGTTTTCAAAGGCATACCAGATCGCATGCGCTGGCCAGCGTGGAAGAAATTGTTGAATGTTGAAGAGACAATGGCGGCAAATTCTGGCGTTTATGCCAGGATGTTGGAATTGTCCCGCAAATACTCCACCGAAGTCAGACAAATCGATTCGGACGTTAATCGACAGTTTCGTGATAACTTAGCCTTTCGCGAACGTTACAGTGTCAAACAAGTGTCACTGTTTAATGTTCTAAATGCATATAGCATCTATAATCCCGAACTGGGCTACTGCCAAGGTATGGCATGTGTTGCCGGCGTGCTGTTGTTATATATGCAGGAAGAAGAAGCATTTTGGGCCCTTAACGCCCTGATTGTAAACGAAAAATATGCCATGCACGGACTCTTCATAGAAGGGTTTCCCAAGCTGACGCGCTTTTTGGAACACCACGACCGCATAATGTTGAAAATAATGCCGAAATTGCACAAACACTTCATGAAACACAACGTCGATGCAATACTCTATTCAATCAAATGGTTCTTTGTCGTATTCGTGGAACGGGTAATTTAAACATTGCACCGCCCTTCCCCCTCCAAGTGTGTATGCTAAGTCATGTCTATCATATTTCAGATACCATTTAGTTTAAGCCTTCGTGTCTGGGACATTTTTCTTTTGGAGGGCGATCGTGTTATAACAGCAATGGCTATTACAATACTATACCTGCACAAAAATGAACTGTTGCGTCTAAAAGATATGGACTCAATATTGGAATATTTACAAGTCAAACTACACAAGAATTTCGGATACAACGACGACTTCGCCATAGAGGCCTTAGAACGAGTGATGAAGAAATTGAAAGAGCATAAACTAGATGTTCCTCCGCCAGCCAAAGTAACAGAATTTCCTACGAAACCTCTGGGACAGTTTGTCGAGGCTGATATTGAAAAGAAAATAGGACGTCGCCGATCAGAATATACGGATACAGAGAAACAAGTGATTAATGATGTAATTTTGAGGTAATTGTAAAAACTTATAACCGCTTGAACAATCGTCCCATGTAATGTACATTCTTTATTCGATAGGCAAGAGCAAAACGCCATAGAAGTACAATCGACAGTATCATATGAAACATCGGAATGTGCCACAGGTAAGTTATTTTTGCCACAATCAGAACGAGAGGTTTACCGACAATGTAGTCAGGTTGGCAAACATAACAGAACTATCTTCTAATCTAAATACACACCACATATATTATATAAACTTATACGCACTTAATTGTTAGCTAATCCAGTACTGTATGTATAAAGTAGATGTTAAATCAAATCACCGAGTAATGTAGAAACATGGCATCATTTAACATTATTTTCATTGCATTATTAATTACATATGTACATTTTTCTTTCCACATATTCTAATAAGTCGTATATAACACACAATTATTACACGAAATAGTAAGCATGACATGAAATGTATTGGTGTCGGTTTTTATTTTATCAAATAGAAGGTATCCAAGTGTTTTTTCTTCTTCTTATTGTTAGCATCAGATCTTAAGGTAGAGCTAAAGATAATAAAAGTGATAAACAATCACCGCCATTGAAATGAATACAGTTGTGGATTTAAAACATTAGGACGGAACGAAAGTATAATGTTTTATTGCTTTAGTTCAATGTAGACTGTCTATGATATTAATCAAGAGAGTCGTTTGTATCGAAGTCGTCTATATTTACGCAGAAATGCGGAAATTGCCGTATAAACTAAAAATAATGGTGACGGTAACCTATGTATTATATAATATATTAAGATATGTGGAAAACTTCTAAATATATTCCAACAACACTGCACCTATACTATGTACATAAGTTCAGTTAAGGCAGACGCCACAACTCAATTCACATACGTTGCTGTAGATAAAATAACTCCATCATCATTGTATTGCCTTACCACATCCTTCTGCCAGGTTTTAAGTTAGGAAATAGTAACATTTGATTTGTTTATCTTTTTTTTTTCTAAAAATCTATTGTTGTTCTTTTTTTATCTTTTTCTGACATACTCCTTTAAAATGCTCTTGGTGTCTGTCCACAAACAATGTATGATCTTTTATAGGTGATGCATATTCCATGAAAACGTATCAAAGTATCACTAGTTTAGCCACCTCACCAGCTATTAGCAGTAATTCATTATATAGTAATGGATTTTTTGTTACAACAACACCACCTCCACCATCTAAGACAACGACGACGACAACACAAATCAGCAATTACAATATAAACCCATCATCGACTACAACTGGAACAACAAACAATTCGGATACGACCACAACAATAATAAAAATGGGAAATGCTAAGAGCGCAATAACGACTGCTCAAAACAGTTACCAAATGCCGAATGGTGACCATCATTCGATTGTGTTCAACAATAGAAATGAGAACGACAACAACGAACTAACCGATCACAATGATATTAATATTCTTATTACCAATTACGATCAAAAAGGGTTGAAAGTGGACGTTAACGACACGGATGATGATGACGACGACGAACTGAGCGTAGAAAATACTCGTCTATAAAAATAAAAATATTAAATATTATAATTAATATAGTTATTCTTCGTTTATATACATATATACATAGATTGCAACAAAACAATGAAATGAAAAGAAACCCACAACATATTTTGTAGCCAATATTGTTAGTAGAAATTAAATTGTATAATCTTAATCTAGTTTCTTCGGCGAAATTGTCAATTTTGAGAAAAAAACACGTTTTTGTTACTTGCATTCCTTCTTAGCTGCAATGTTAAGAATCTTTTCTTATTATAGCCACATATATAAAATAATTTATCTGTATTTCATCGACATTTACCAAAAGTAAATAATCTCTTTGTTGATTAATACTACAATACTATTTTCCAAATACACTACTTTTGCATGCAAAATTGTTTTTTTTTCTTTCACTATATCTGTACGTAATTGAAACGATGTTATTTTTAATAAGTATTTGAAGACTGCCAAGTTGAATTGCGTTGAAGTAGTGTATTTTGACTTGATTATCGGAAACATGTTGTTTATTAACCTACATTCCTACATTCATATTTATATATTTTGTAACCTCTACTCTGCCTTTGATTACTGTAATAACTTCGCATAAGGTTATCTCTATTCGTATGCTTACTTTTTATCTCCACTTTTTGTGTATAGTTATGAAATAAAAGTTATTATTTTTCTTATTTATTTAATAAATTTTTTACCAATACCTGAATCCTGTGTTTGAGGTTTTATTCTTAGAAATTGATCATAGTTGTGGTAGGAAAAAAATAACATTGCTATATTTTTTTCTTGAATAGCCGTGTACCTTGTCGATACTGCGCATTAGTTTGACGAATTAATTTTTAGGATCTGAAACAAATGTTGCATGTATTTCTTTCTTGTTTTATTTTTATTCTTTTTATACCAAATATTCCAAAAACAAAAAATCAAAGACACAAAAAGCGTTTGACCACCTTTACGATACTGCTAGTAGCAGGCTAACACTTACTCACACAGACTCTCGTTCGATGCGTCACTTGTGATGAACACTAACACCCACAACAAAGCAAATGTAATATTAATTGCCATGACATAATTGGAATTGACCTTTTTGAATAATATTGGCTATTCTTTTTTTATGCTAAAACAAATAAAAACACAAATTCGAACCAAATTGGATGATCTCGGCTATATCGAAATACTACTACCTAACAACCCACGAAAACAAACAAAAAAACAAAATATAAATACATATTTAGTAACATTAACTGTGCCCGAGGATAATCATTCAATAAGAAGTTCGCTTGCAGGTACCTCAATGGCCTCTCATGGTTCATCGGAAACCTTTTCGCTGGAGGATAACAAGTAAGTTTACTGGCATATCTTATACACAAACACAAAATGCAACTCTCCGTGTTTTAGCATTCATCTAAAGACGGCCAATGCTCTACAAAATACACCGCAACGTGAAATGCTTATGGGTACCTGACGACTACCCCCCACGCCGCCTACACACAACCCAGTGAAACAGTGTTTTTCATCACCTCCTCCGGTGGAAAATACAAATCTAGTGGATCTTAGATTAGCAGCCACAGCAGCAGAAACGTCTTCGGTAAATTCGTTGCACAACTCACAAACTACACCCAAACACGACGTGGATTTGATGATCGAGGCTGCCACACCCACAACACCAACATCTGTAACATTAGTAGCGACATCGCCATCTATAAAATCATCACCGGTGCAAACTCCAACCCCCACATCCCAACTGTCCACCTATGCAATTGGTTAGAGAGAAATATTGTTAAGTAATGTTATGGTGCCACCGCCGCCCCCTCCCCCTCTTGTTCCGATCACAATAATAAAACGAAATAAAGACATCCCCTAATACTTCCTCCTCATACCTCCATGAGCAATGTCACCCCGCCTTAGTGGTTTTATATCCTCATCAAATTTTCTATCATGATAAATTAAAACGAAATTTTTAAATTGGCCCACACAGCGCATATACCTTCATTGTCAATGCATCAACAGCACTTCCGACAAATCCTTATGTAAGATTCATTCAGAGCATCATTTAAAAGAAATCCGAGCATCATGTATATATATGTATATATGAGCATTTAAAAATGTACGTACGTAGTAGGTATATGTAGATTAAGGTTGCCTTTAAAATTTAAATCATTTGTACCATTTCTTTTGAAAAATTATTGTTAAATTATTTCTATTCTACGTTTGTTTATTTCCTAATCTTAAATAGTATTTTTAACAAAACACCCAAAACTCTCCGCTGAGTAACACCTAAATTTCCACAAAGTTAATTTGAGTTATTTATTTGAATTCATTTTTTGACGATGCATTTATGTTCTGTATCTGTAAGATAAGTATTACTAAAATCACTTGAATATATTTTAATTTACGTGATGGCATTTCCACTTATTTAGAACGCTAGAGAGCGAACGTATTACGGCAATCGAACATCAATAAGTTGGCGCCTCAGACTAAAAAATATGTGTATGTATTTATGTATTTACAATGTAAAAAACCATTATTTATTCTAAACTGAACCCAGAACTTCCCCACCACCTCTACCAACGAGAATCTGTTAATTTTGTGGATAATGGGAGGTACAAAAAAACAGCAAATTATTATAACACATTTATCCTGTTGCGTCCAATGAATTTACGTATATATCATAAAAATGTATAACTTCGAAGAAAAAGGGAATATATATGTATTTAAAGGAGAAAACGATAATAAAAACAAATATTTAATTTAAAACAATTCATTTGTTTTCACTTTTCTTGCTTTTGGCACTATTTTCAATTAGTGTTCCTAAGTCCTTTAACGAGACCTCCCCAGACCCACGTGGCAGGGGCGTGGGTTGGTTTGGTCCCGGTTTCCAGCCAACAAAATATATTATTTGAAATGTGGCCGGCACACCCTTATCGTTACCATACATTTCTTTATAGATGGCGCTGGCTGCCAGCATTGTATCTCTATTGAGGTGCACAGGCCTGTTGAAAGCCGCATTATTTTCAGCCATTCCTTTGAGATCGTGCATCAGCTCAAACATTGTTGGATAACCAATGACGATTTCATCTGTGTCGATCGTAAGCATTGTAAATCCTGCACGATTCAGAAGCGATCCGATGTCTCGAATCTAAGTGAATGTGGCTTGTGGGTTAGGTCAAAGGTTAAGTAGCCGCATGAACACATTACCTGAGTGAATGGAGAGATATGTGGCGCTATGCCTCCCTTCCTTTCCAGCTCTGCAAGTTGCAAGGATGACCTCAACTCGTACAATGTATCTCCACCGAACATCGAAGCAATAAAGACTCCATCCTCTTTTAAACTCCTGATAACTTTGCTGAAACAACCCGGCAAATCATTAACCCAGTGCAGACTCAGCGAAGAAATTACCAGATCTAAGGAATTTTCTGTAAACTGGAAAACATATTGTCCACATTATTTCCATACGTATAGCTGTAACCTTAACCTTACATCCCATTGTTCTTCGTCGATTTCTTTTTTGGAGATTTGAAGGCCAGGTGTACCCTTCGCCTGTGAAAGCATGGTCGGACTGATGTCACAAAGAGTTAAGTGTTTCACGCTCTCCGCCAGAATATGCCGGGACAAAAAGCCTCGATTACAACCCAAGTCCGCTGCAGCTTGGAATTCTCGTTTGATATCAAAAACTCTGTCAGCCAAGCGATAACCAATCTCTTCCTTCAGGTAATCATATAGCTCAACATCAGGACTGAAAAAATATTGTTATCCATACAACTCTTTTTTATTTACATGCTCCATGTATCACTTTTACCTTAGTGCTGCCCGTTCCTTCTGTAATCTTTTTGCATTTCTGTCAAATATCTTCTGATATGAGGGTTGGCCTGAAAACTCATGTCTTTGTACCGTCCATGTGGGACCAATTCTTGCGACACTTTCCAACAGTTTCAAAGACGGTAAGCTTATTTTATAGGCTTTTTGAGAAATTCCCAACATCATGCCGAACCTCCTCAACGTTATCTATTGCAAAACAAAAAGAAAAAAAATCATATGGTTTACAGCTGATACCATAGATGTGGTAAACATGAGGGACGGGAAAGGGGTGTGTCATCTGTCAAAATACATTTGTTTATACGAACGAATGTTTTTCTTGTCCATCGAATGACTGGCTCCATATCAAATGCACGGTACTTTTTTATTTCTCTAAATGAAGGGTATATGTTTGCATTCCAAACATGTCCAAAAACCACTATTATTTCAATTATTGGTCTGTTCCCGTACTGCTATACTTGTTTTTTATAAGTTTGTAGTAGATTCGCAGTACAGCATTCAGGTAGTAAATGAAAAATAACTCAATTGAATTTTAAATCACATTAGGAATATCTTTATTCTTACTACACAAATCTCTTATTCTAAACAATGGACAAAGCAACGTTTCTACTTCTTGACCATTTTTAATTTTTCCGAACCCATCAAAATAGTTTTGTCTACCTCGGAAATTTTGCGTTTTGAAGCAAACGGGTTTACGGAATTTAATGGAGTGCGACTAATGGATTTGCCGTCATCAGATGAAACTTTGGACACCTGTGATTCAGTCTCATTTCCGTTGAAATTCTCCTGGGATGCTTCGGATGACGGCGTGGCTAGTAGTGAATCATTTGTACCATTTGTTGACTTTTTAAAAAGTGACGACGTTGGTGAGTTTGAAAACGCGAAACGTTTGAGGGTGGACTTTTTAGCCGATCCCAAGTCCATTGATTTTGGGGCTAGTTTGTTTGATGACGAAGCAGAACCATTTTGATAGGCTTTGAGCAGGATCAGTGGGGACGCCGGCAAAGATTGCTCCACCAATTGTTCTTCCTGTTCGCGAGATTGTTGTTCTTCCTCTATTTGCGGTAACAGTTCCGATAGGCGATCTGATAAATGTATTCTTCCTAGCTTGGTGGCATATTTTACGGCAAGCATTAGCAAGTCAGTACATGCTATAGTTTCAATAAGTTCTTTCGCACGCATCTCCATTTCACTGCGACATGCTAAAGCAAACAGCTTTATTGCCGTCTCCTTGATGGTTTTTTCTGAGCTATCCACAGACATCACGGACGCCCTAAGCATCGAATCTTCCAAAATAGATTTCTCATTTTCTAAATCGCACAATGGCAATTGTAGCGACAATTCTTGCACCATTGGCCGTGGGTTTGTCATTGGGTATGAAGTTCCGCGGCATAGCACAGCTTGCAAAATCTGTGACCTTTCCGAGAGGGAAATTACAAAGTAGTTATTTGAAACGCTAGATGATTGTTTCATAGTATCACACACGGGATACCAACAGTTCGATTTCACATTAAATAGCTGGACCAGCCCCATCGAGTCGCTAAACACTGGAGAACCACAGTCGGAGAAACCAAGCCATGCCAATTGTCTTTCCGGAGTAAGTGGCATTGTGATATTTTGGCACTTGAGGCGCAAACCACACGTTTGAAATAGCATAGCTTGAAGGTGTTGCTGTTTGGCGCCAGGAGCAGCACTATGGTAACACACCAAGATACGATCTTCATAACCGGCCATGCAGATAACCGGTCCAGGTATTGAAACGACCTCTCTCTGGGTGCCCATAACGGTAAAGATTCTTAGGAATTGTGAGCTCGTTGCCACTGCCAACATACGAGATGATGCACACAGTGCTTCCACACTTTCGCAGTCTGGCAATTGTACCGACCACTCCTTATTTCCGGAAGCTGCTAGGGCAATGCAAACAATTTTCGAGGAACTATCAGAGGCCATCGCAAGCACAGTCGAACTTAAACTGGCCATGTTATGATTGTTGTAATTTGGTATGTGCAGCGAATGGTGTACGCTGGCATCGTGGAATTCGACATCGATAGCTCCACCGTCGGCACCATCGGTGTGAAGCGTGACGATACCCACAGTATTCCATGCCAAATATCGGTGTTCCAAATGTGATGGGGTCGATCCTGGTTGAAATGGTTCCTGTTGTTTGAACATTTTCGGCATTACATAGCCTGATACAGATGGTGTTGCTGATCGCACATCTCCAATAGAATCTTTAGTTTCTTCATCATCGTGAGCGCTTCCACCACTGGCATAGGACATTACCTTATTCTTCAGCTTTTCAATTGACACCACATTTTCATCGTCCTCGTCATCGTCACCATTAAAAGCATCTCCATCCACTTTGGCTTCTTCATCGGCAAATTCCATATCACCAAATTCATTTTCAAGTGCCTCGGCAGTTTTAACTATATCCGTGTCTTCCGCCATCGTTCCGACACTAGAGAAAAGTGTACCCAATTGGCCGGTGGCATCACAGTACGCCAACTCATCGTTACCTTTGGTGCTCCATGCTAAACATGTTATGGCTTGACACTCGCTTGATGGCGCTTCGCACTTTTTGCTCTGTCGGTTGGAGAAATCGAATAATGAAATCTCACCCATATCCGTGGCAGCCGCTACAAATAAACCATCTGTGGAAAACTGACAACAAGTGTAACTACCTTTGATTTTTTCATCTGTCATGGTATACTGCGTTTCCCAGCTACTGGTTTTCAACACAATTATTTCTTTTCCATTTGCGTATATCAGCGAATAGCCGTTGCAAGGCTCAAAGCAAGGCGTTCCAAAGAATTTTGCATTTTCAAAACTATTAGCTTTGGGCAAGCCAGCTATGGTCTTAATTTCCTTCCCTCCGCTTAATAAATCCCATATCTTTAGAACCCCCTCACCTCCGACTGAAGCCAAATGGCTACCATTAGGATGAATATCCAGCGCCAGCACTGGCCCACTATGGCCTTCTACATCTATTGGCTGACTTTCGCCATCTCTTAAAACTTTGATTTTAGTATCTTCGGACCCCGCCGCCAAATACACGCCTCTTACTTTCATACATATTACGGGAGCCGTGAATCTCAACAATGTTCCATCATTGTCCATATCAGGGAACGTATATGCTTGCACCGTATTTCTGTCAGTTGACGCCAACAATTTATCGTTCTTCTGTGCTAGACAGACAACAAACTCGCCCAAGCAATTCGATGATGGGTCATCATCATCAATTCCTCGCCATTTTCGTATGTCTCCATCAGAGCCACAGGTCAATATAAATTCGCCATCGTCTGTGTAAATTAAACTAGTATAGCCCGTAGTGTGGGCATACCTTAAGCTACTCCGCTCGTACATGTTCCCAGTCATATAAGTGATGAACCACAACGAAGCGAACCTTTTCTTATTTTCTTCTTTCCCAATATGCGAATTAATTAATTTCCAATCGAGTTCCAATGGAGTAGTCGTTCGTCGTCGTCGTGGGCAGCGTCGTTGTTTGGACACAAATGCCGTTTGCGCCTTTTTTGAACTGTCAGTTCAAAAATAGTTCACGCAGCGGATCGATCTATATCGTTCCTTTTTTAAAACGGCACTAGTTCCTTAGCTCCATATAGTTCCGACTCCTAGATAGTTCCTTTGAATCTCTCTCTTTCATCGTCCTTTTTGTGTTTTTTTTTTCGGAACAGAATTATTTTAGAAATAAATAAATATATTTTAAAAAAAGTAAATAAAATAATTTTACTTTTTACACGACAATCATTGATGATCGTAGTCCATAGTAATTATGACAGCATTAAAAAAACGAATGAAGGATATGGGAATAAAGAAAAATATCAGAAGTATTTATATCAATTAAATAGCTGGAACTAGTTCCGATCGTTCCTTTTTCGGAGTAGTTCTAATGAACTAGTTCCTTCCGGAACAACCCTCATTGGAGAATTTCTACAAAAAAACAAGGTATATTTATTTAGGTAGCCGCATCGGCCCAGCTGTTGGTGCAAATAAATGTCAAAAATGTTGTTGTAATGTTGAACCAAAAAATTATAAATGAAAATCTCCGAATTTCGAAGAGCTTTTTTGGCAATACTTTTATTAAAATTTTCTACAAGAATTTGTGTAAAAAAATCTTGTCAATCTGTTTGTTTTGGCAAAATATTTTTGACATATCAAAATACAACAACCGATGTTTGTTGTAGAAATTCGCCGATGCGGCTACCTTGTATATCTGCCTTGCAAAAAACAACTCTTGTCGTACATTGTTATGTCAAAAATATTTTGTAAAAACCAAACAATTAAGATTTTTTTCACAAATTTATTTAGAAAATGTTAATAAAATATTGCAAAATAATTTACTCAAAATTCAGAGATTTTCATCTATAATTATATTTTTAATTGTTTTGATTTTGAATTAAAACAACATTTTTGACATTTATTTGCACCAACAGTCGAGCAGATGCGGCTACTTTATTAAATCTGCCTTGAAATGTGCTATCAATGCGGGTACTCAGTGTTACCGCTGGGAATTTAAAAAAAAAAAGATACACAAAAAGTCGTTCTCTTAAAAAAAAGAAGTCGCCTAAAGATAGTAAATTTGTCAATAAAACTGTTCCGAGAACATGTCAGTTACCCTTGGAACCGACGTAGATGAATACAAATAAGCTTGAATTTACACATGAAAAGAAACATATACATAGTCACGCAACGGCAACCCTGCGGGTGCTGCGTATTGAAGTACTCGGTACATCAAAATACAAACCGAACACCCCATTTCAATTGATTTAGGGTGGTGACAGAACGCAGCAGATAGATTTAATTTAATAAAGTTAATGTTTTGAGGAATTTAAAATTGTGATAAAAATTGCCTGGATTACGTGAAATGAGGCTGTGATACTACAAGGTTAAATATATCCGAATTTCTATATTGATCGGAGAAGCTCAGATTTATTACTCATGACCCATCTGTTATCGGTGCATCTGTCCGTCCTATAGCATTTAGTCATAATCATTATCATTTATCCACCATATCTACATATGCTCATGTCAATCGCAATTACCTCTTAATATTTTCAGTCAATAAAGGTGGTATAAATTTCTGTTTTAATCGAAGGCAGCACAGTCGATTATTTGTGCGCTCAGTTCAACTAACGCCGAGGGTGACACATTGAACACATTGAAGTGAAGGTATTGCGAAGAATTTAAAACCGACAGTCAGGCTGCATTTCTGAAAATGGTAGCCACTCCTTATTTATTTAACGAAATAGAGCGGATATTCCGAAATGTAAGTATTGGAACTCAATGGTGATGTGGAAAAAAAATTATTTTTTCTTTCATTTCTGCAGACGCCTCTATATGCTATAGTTTTGGAAGCATTCCTTCTACTTTCTGTGATATGGCTATTGCTTTACAAACGCAATGGTCGACAACGTTTTACCAAGGAGCAAGAGGATGAAATAATCGATAAATACGAACCTGAGCCTTTGGTTGCAGACACGGTCCCTAACCATCCGTTGTTACGCACACGCTTGGTTCAGTCTAAAGTTGGTAAACGTATTGTTGTGGATGGCCATGATTGCCTTAACTTAGCATCTCACAACTATTTGGGATTGCTTGAGGATAGCCAAATATTGGAGGATGCATGCAAAAGTTTGCGGAAATATGGTGTTGGTTCATGCGGACCGCGTGGTTTCTATGGTACCATGGACGTTCATTTAGATCTGGAAGAACGTTTGGCAAAATTCATGCAAATGGAGGAGGCATTAGTGTACTCTTATGGATTTTCTACGATAGCAAGTGCCATACCTGCTTATTCAAAGAGGGGAGACGTCATCTTTGTGTAAGTGTGCTTACTTTCCGTACCGGAGTACCCGGAGCAACAGCAACTCACCTAATATTTATTTATAGTGACGAAGCTGTTAATTTTGCAATTCAAAAGGGATTAGACGCGTCTCGAAGTACGATTTATTTTTTCAAACATAACGACATGAATGACCTGGAAAGGCTTTTAAAGGAACAGGCTGCACGTGATGAGAAGGCAAGAATAATAATTATTTTTTACTTGAGACCGAAATAATGATCTCTTTTTAATAGAACCCCAAAAAGGCTGCCAAGACAAGACGCTTTTTGGTAGCTGAAGGTATTTATATGAATACGGGCGAGATGTGTCCACTGCCTGAGTTGGTTTCATTGAGAGCAAAATATAAGCTACGATTCTTTCTCGATGAGAGTTTAACATTTGGTGTTTTGGGAAAGAATGGACGTGGACTAACTGAACACTTGAATGTAGATGTAAGTTGCACACATTAATTAAAACCGTAATACATAGATAGAAGACTTATGGCGTTTTACATTTAAAGCGCAACGAAGTTGATCTTATATCTGCCGGTATGGAGTGGGCTGTAGCATCTATTGGAGGCTTTTGTGTTGGTTCTAATTTCATAGTGGAGCATCAACGTTTATCTGGCTTGGGCTACTGTTTCTCGGCATCTTTGCCGCCATTATTGGCTCAAGCAGCTATATCTGCTCTCAATCGCTTTGAAGCTGAACCGCAAATATTTGAGGAACTGCAAGAGAAGACTACGATGTTGCATAAGAGATTCACGCAGTTTTCGAAGTTGAAATTGAGAGGAGACGAACTTTCTCCCGTAAAACATCTGTATCTATCAAAAACACTAGAAAACGAAGAAGAGGAACGGAAACTACTAACGAAAATCGCTGATACCGTGAGTTACTATTATCTGTCATCTAATATCATCTATGTTAAACGTATTTCTATTCATTCTAGTGCATCTCTCGCGGCGTGGCCGTAATAGAGGCTTGCTATTTGTACAATTTGGAGAAACATTCAATACGTCCAAGCATTCGTATCGCTTCTAATCGTTTATTAAGCCTAGATGAAATTGAATTTGCATTTGGTATTATCGAATCTGTTTCGAGCAGTTTAATTCTATAACTCGAGCAGTTTAAAGCTGTCATGAAATGCATTTTATGTTCGCCTTATAGAGAAATCCAATTTTGTAGTTATGTATTTTTCTGTTTTTATTTCACTTTTAGTTATTCTATATGCATTCTGTCATATAGGATATACACATCTTGAACTAAGATGTTTCCTGCAAAAAGTATTTTCTAATATGCATACCTAATGAACAAAGTAATAAACTAGTTATTGCTAATAATAATAATAATAATATTAAAGTAGTATCTTATTTAAAAACCCTCAATTGTGGGCAATTGAAAATATTTACAATTTCTTAATTTTCTTCGAAATATGCGTATAATTTTAAAGTAGTATGTACCACAAATATGTATGTACTAGAGTTATTTGCCATGCTGGCTTTTTTATATTACATTGTATGAAATAAATGAAATGAAATATGATAATTTTTGCATTATTTGTTTAAAATCATAATAAATTCAAACTAAAATAACTGAATTTTTGTTTTATTACCGCAAAGCCGGAGCTGCTTTCAAAGAGTACGTCATAGTTTTTGGACTACTGTAATTTCGATGTAAAATAGTAAACAAGTTTAAAAAAGCAAGTTCTGATGACATTAAGAATAGTGTTGTATGAACTTGTTAATTCATGTAGGTAAATCGGAGAGGGAACAACGTTGTTCGAATGCTCGCCAGAACATGGTATTAAGAATATACGAAATTTGAGGAAAAGTAAAATTGTTTTGCTATTCATGTCATTTTCAAAATACTTTCTTGACAAACTGTAAATAGCTGCAATTTAATCGATGTTTTCGCTATCGGTAGTATTGACGTAATCGATTCTGATAGTATTGAAGTAATCGAAAGTACAATCGATTGTATGTCAGCACTATTAAAATTTCCATATGTACGATTTGGGTAAGTTTTATTTATTTTATTTATTATTAAAAAATTACTACAGTCTTGATAACCATTATTAGATACAAAAAGAGAATCCATATTTTTAAGTTGGCTTTAGAATTGTATGCTGGTTAATATACTTCAGATTGTCAGCGACTCAACCACGAAAAAGTGCTGTATAAAAGTTCCTTCAGTGAAAAAATAGTTTCTTATTCTGTCCTTGTGACTGCATTGAACAACTTCTAGAGAACAGCTTAGTGTGGTGGTGGACTAATAAAACGACCAGCCAATTAGGTAAGTTCACTGGATATAATCTGTATGACATGGTTGGTGTATATATGTTATATAATTTATTAAAAAATATAACTCAGTGTCATCATTTTTACGCACGCATACGTCACTCCTCGACTTTTAGCAATGCCTTCAATGATGTATTCGAGTGGTCAAGAAAAACACTTAGTGGTGTCTTAATATATGCTATGCCACATTTGTACTTTTGCCACGACAGTTAAATTTTCGTCGGATGCCATTTAATTTCCTCCTTAAAACATTTCTGTTACTGGAGTTATCTTCCACAGGGAATGATAATGTTTTGTGTATTTATTTCACCACTTTGATTATATTTGCTAAATAGATTCAAAATGAGGGGAGTCATTCATTCGAGTGACAATAAAATAGGCCTTTAAGACTTTGGATTACTATTGATGTGAACTATATGTCCATTCCAAATGAAGAAATCCATCTAAAATCAATATTTCCACTAAATTTTATTACTCAAAATAACCGTTAAATTAAAGCTGCAATACTGCTGTTTATTGACGTGTGTTTTGAATTTCTCTTAAAAATAATTTAATACGTGTCAGGGTCTACTGAATTTAGAGATTTAAAGCTGTTAAAGAACTGTTTTCAATATTTGCTCAATGCCAATTCAAAAAAAAAAAAAAAAACTATATCACATAACAATATTGTTCCAATACAATTGAAGTAAAAAACGAAGATATATAATGTATGCCACGCAATAACTACATTTAAAATTGATCGGTAATGCTGCAGATATACTGATACATAACTATTTTTTAAACTTAAGACTATTTGTGAATTTACAGTTGTAGCCACACTAATATTGCAGGATTTAATCAAGCGAGCGTCTGCGTTGTTTGTTATATCCACCGCTTTGATTGAGAACCTCGTTCGACAGACGTGACAACAATGGGAGCTCTTTCATAGAAACGTTTGCCATTGGCAACGGCTCAAGTTTGTGAAGTTTTTTCAAAGGCTTGATCATATGCTCTGGTGTGGTAGGTAAACTGCTAGTGCTCACTTCTGAGATTTGGATCAGAGGTTTTGGTGACATGATAGCCTCTGCACCTAGGGAGTCTGGGCGAACTGAATCATTTGGAGTTTTTTGATTGTTGTGCTTCTGTAGTTCCGCTTGATTTTTAGCACATTCCTTCAAAAGCAGCAGGTGGTCCAACTTGTCCACAGTTGCATTTAGCTCGTTTTCCCATACATCATTCTGTTCCTGCTGGCCATCTCCGCCTTCGATGGGCCGAACAGCTAAAAATTTAACCTTTTGTCTTAATATTTCCAGGTCTTTCTCGTCGACATCCAGCGTGGAACATTCTTGTTTTATCTCTTGATCGCACATTTCGTGTGATTTTATGACATCTTCGTCTTCTTCATATTCCTCTAAATCGGAATCCTCCATTGAAGCCAATGTGGCTAGAGATAAACGAGTAGCTGGACCTGCACTATGATATGGCTTCTTACTGGAACAAGGAACATTTTCGGATTTCTGTGACTGAGCTCCTAATGAGGACTGGCTGTCGCCCAGAGAAGGATAGTCACAGTTTTCGAGTTCCCTATGGAAATCGGGCAACGGAGGCATTTGCGTGGTTGTTGGCGAGTTCAGTTCTGCCCCTACGCCTGGTTCTCTGGGACCTGGCGGGGGTGTATTCAGTAGTTGTGGATAATCTCCACGTTGGCGATGAATGTCATCGCTTATACGCTCTAAGTTACGTAGAGCTGTCGCATACGTATTCTTCGCTGCTTGCACTTGTGCTTGTAGTTCTTCAATGCGATTCTTTTGAGTTTGTAATTGATCCTGGCATATTTGCTTCTCCTCAAAATAGGGTCGTGACTTTGTGATACTCCGACGAAAGCGTTCTTCAAGCTGCTGAACTTTTTGCTCGGCCAAATGAAATATTTTTGTACGCGTTTGATGTTCTGCATGACATTCAGCTTTTTGCTTCTCCGCATCCATCACCTTCTGAGTGGCATGATTTAGCATTTCCTGCCATGCATTATCGAATTGCCATTCGTGCGAGTTCGACATGAAGCGTTGCTCAGCCAGAGCAACGGTTTCCTTGGCGGCAGCGTGAATCTCTGAAGCAAATGACAAAAGGACATTTTTTACACAAGTCTTCTAAATTACTGGAAGGATACCACTCACCATTAGCTCGTTGAAATTTGACAGCGGCTTTTTGACATTCAATTTGTGCAGCTTTAGCCTTATCCAATGCTTCATAATAGGGTCTAGCTTTATCAATGCAGCTTCCCAATTTTTTAGAGGACAACTTCAGGCGACGTGTCGATTCATTCAACAATATCCGAAAAGTGGAATTGGCCTCCTGCCAAAAAAATTACTCATTATTGTATTTGTAAAACAAATGTATGATGATTACTCTTTACCTCTAGTTCAATCTCCAATTTGTTGATTTCATCAGTAGCCGTATTAAGATTTTCCAATTCAATCTAAAACCAAATACACATGTGTTAATAAATAATATATTTGTCCTGTTTCAGATTGCAGTTTTCAGGAGGCTAAGATTTATGAAATAGGCAATTATTTAAGCAGCAAATATGGTATCATCAAGTCGTACAAAAGAACCAGCAAAGTTTGACTTAAAAAAGGTCCCGGTAGGTATAAGAGATGTGTATACAATCGTTTGAAAATCTATTTATACCCCCTTCTTTTTAAATAGGCCAGAGTGGATCGTGTAAATGTCAGTGGTTTGTTACGAACCCACAATGACTATGTCATGAAAGCAGCAGAAAATCTCTTCAAGGCCAACAATTTCCAAGATGTGATGCTGGAGAGCATGCAGTAAATTAATTTTCGTCCCCATAACATATTTCGTCGTTTAGGAACCATTCTACCATTTTTCATTTCAGAGCCAAAGCATACTTGCACGAATTGGGCATTTTTAAAGATGTTAGTATACACATAGATGTGAGTCGTGGAGAAAATGCCAGTCCGGATGGTTACGAGGTTACGTTCAAGGGTCACGAATTATCACGCATTGTAGGTTCAGTTGGAACAGAGGTCGGACAAAATGAGGGTTCCCTTCGCACCGAGTTGACAATTCCGAATTTGTTTGGGAGAGGCGAGAGTATTTCTCTACAAGGATCATATAGCAGCAAACGTGCTAATGATATTCAATTAAAGTTTTGGAAATCGTATTTCCATACACGATTTGTGGAAAACAGACCTGAGTAATTACTGATGGTATTAGTGAATACGAAACAATTGGTAATTAAGTTTTCTTGTAGAATATCATTTTCCATATTCCGACACTTGGATCGTTTTAATGTAAGCAAATTTCAAAACACAAACTATGGATGCATGGCTGAATTTGCAGTCAACACTCTGACACCAATAGAGGTACGTCGCTTGCTTAGATTTCATGTATATTATTAACCATAGACAAACTTTTATTCGTAGCTGACTCACTCATTTCAATACGAAGCCTCCATACGAGAACTGTCTTTATTGCAAAAAACGGTGCCCATGGCTATAAGGGAACATTGTGGCCCCAAATTGGCATCCCTTCTCCGTTACTCAGTTATTTTCGATCAAAGAGACAACCCAGTATTTCCCACGCAAGGCTTAATGGTTAAGTCTATAAACGAATATTGTGGCTTGGGTGGCAATGTGGCCTACGCTAGCAACAACACACATGCAGAAATTAGTTTTCCTCTGTTCGGTGGCATCGTGGCGCAGGTGTGCGGCCGTGTGGGTGTCATTAAGGAAACGAAGAAAACCACAGTACTGCCCCTAAGCAATTTATTCTATTGTGGGGGACCGTTGACGCTCCGTGGCTTCGAATTCGGTGGTGCTGGTCCAGTAGTCGATGGAACGCCAATAGGAGCACAGGTTAATAAATGATAAACTTTAATTATGCACTTACTGATAATCGCTTCTTTATTTATATAGACATATTGGTCCGCTGGTCTGCACTTATGGGCCCCACTACCATTTAATAAAGTTTTCAAAGGTTTGGCGAATAACTTCCGTACACATTTGTTTTATAATGTGGGAAATTTCAACACATTCTCCACAGGTAATGCTTACTACTTGATCGATAAATGGTACGTTCAATTTAATGTTGGTTGTTTGTTTCAGAAAACATGCGGACTGCTGCTGGTATTGGTTTGGCATTTAAGTTGGCTGAACGCGCACGAATCGAACTGAACTACTGTATTCCAATGCGAAAGTGTATGGGCGATAAGGTTACCAACGGTTTCCAATTTGGCATTGGTTACGAATTTGTTTGAACACCAACAAGATAAAAAACAAACAAAAAAATTATTTCTTTTTTCGATAAAACTTAACCAAAAGAATGCAATCAATAAATTTTGACTTTCAAAACTTACTCCGATTGCACTACATCAAAATTTGATGTGCAACAGTTTTACTGCCCTTGGGTGCTATTCTTATCCTTGGTGAATTATATTTAATAAGACAATTAAATATATTTATAAAAGGATATGTTGTTTGTATACATAATGGAAATAAATAGGATATAATAATTTTGTTGGAATATTTATTGTTTAAGAGTTGGGACCAGAGGTGACAATAATTGAAATTCACGCATGTGAAAGGAATGGCCAGACCAACACTGTAATTGCTTTTATACAACAACGACAATTTTCTAAATATTAAAATTAAATCGCTGTTTGTTAAAATGCCAACAGGGTATATGATTGAAATCAAATATTAAGAAAAAAACTTTTTCGTGTTTTTCCTTTATGTATAGATAATTATTTTTTTTTCAAAATATGGTAAATGAAGTTAAATTTCAAGTTTGGATTGTTAAGGATTGGCGTGATACACCACTCCGCATTTCCCTATGCCAACCATTAGCAGGCTGGTCCATGTAAACAATCTGCTTACTTCATTACAATTGTTTGAACACTGTTGTGCTTGCAAAGTACACTAGAAGACGACGACCTAATAATAGCTAGGTTTGCATTGCTTCCGAAGTGATATTTTGTTAGTCCGTTTTGTTTCCATTAGGAAATGGAGTAATGTCATGTTTTCTATATGCCTTTAAAGGTGTAGTGGTGGTTTTGATAAATAGCATTACTCTTACCTTTATTCGCGGGTCCAGCTCGCTGTCTTCGGCCATTGTTGACATTGTAAAATTTTTTTCTATCTTCTTACTGCCTCACACAAACACTTTTCACAGACACAATTTCAGAGACTTAAAATAGAATTTGAACACTTTTATTTCATCAGTTTCTGAAAAGTTTGCAGCCAATTCTTCTTTTCTATTACATAATAAAAACAATTTGACATCGATGAACAACAAATTTTAATTTATCAGAGATTAAATTAATAAATTAATATTGGAAATTATTTGCGTGACTTATTTCTTAAACGCCGTCTGCTTCGCAACTCTCGGCTCTGTTTTCTGATCTGACGTTAAAAACGTTCCAACTGCTGCAAAGAGGGGAGGTAGAGAAAATGTCCGATAAAGAATGAGCTGAAAATGGATAGGCAAATACGCTACGAATGAAGAAGCGTATTGCCCTACCTACATGTGTACGTTTACCGCTGATGTTTTTCAACGCTTTACTATAGCTCCATTCCAGTAAAAATAATGTGCCGAGAAAAAATGGAAACCAGGAGTGTCAACTTTGTTGTTGTTTTGATTTTCAATTTGTCGTTGATTGCGTTGATATGTGTGGATATTTTTCATTTGCTGTTTGTGGCATGGCACAATAAATAGGTAGACCATTTAGTTTCTACTTGAATTCGATGTGCAATGATGCCAACCATGTGAAATATTAATAGAAAAAATTTGACAGATGGTCGGGACAAAAACAAATGTTTTTGTTTCGATACATCACCTTATTATTGCATCATGGTTTGTGGAGTGCGGATCAGCATAGAGATAGGTAGTTGAGCGCAAATATCGACTTTTGGATTTATGCCACTGACCAAAAAGTCGATTTCTAGACTTTTCGATGTTTTCCTTTTGGAAATTTGGAATTTGTGATAATAAACCAAGTATTCATAAAGAAAATTGAAAGTCGAAAGACACACAACCTGTTGTTGGAAAAAAAAATGTTTCTCCCGCAATAAAATAAAATTAATAAATTTAAATTAAATGACGTTTGTGGCCTAGCAGCTTCGCACCAATCGAACGCACATGTTTGACACGGAAAGCGGCCCGCGCTTTACGGACAATCCCTTTGGGTCCTATTCTCTTAAATTTAATTTAAAGTTTTGCTGTTTTGGCAATAAAGTACAATATAGATTTGAAATTTGAAGTTATATATACTTGAAATTTTAAGTTTTATAGATTTGAAATTTGAAGTTTTATAGATTTAAATCATTTTACGTAAATCTCCCTTTAGGTATTTTTATAATTGCAACTTTCTTATTTTCAAATGCATATATACAATTTCGCGAGTTATTATGTTTTAAATTGGATTCCATAGTCTAGCTGCCGTTAAACTATTGTGAGATGGATATTTCGAATTTTGTTTCTGCCATTAAAATGGTTAGGTTCAATTTTATTTTATTTTTTTTTTTATATATAACTTCGGCATATTCAAACTTACATACATATTTACATAGCATTGTATTCAATCAAATATATTTTGAATATGCTGGTTTCGAAGAAAAATTAGCAATGACCGTGAACAGGGAATAAGCTTTGCTAAAGCTTTTGGGAGAAAACTAAAAGAGGGTAGGTCGTAGCGTTACAGAAATGAGCTCCAAATTGATTTCATTCTTTGCGAGCAAAGAACTTTCAATTTTATAACTTTGATTCGTTTGTTGGCCAAACTAGCAAAACCCAGAGACACTCAATCATATTGGCAAATCAAAATAAAAAGGTGGCGAAAAATTGAGCAACGTTTAGTTGTCGTATGTCTGTTAAAGCGAATTGTATTCCATACCGAGCAAAATCAAATAAGTGAATGTAAAAAAGAACGAATCTAACATTTGCAACACGACAAACTTTATTTACATTATATATATGGTGTTTATATTTAAATAAATACAAAAACTAGAGCCCACATCAAAATCTATAGAAATCGTTTTGCAAACGAAAATAATGAAACAAGTGAATGAAGTTGAACAGCGAAAAAGTACATTTGCCATGGAAGCTACGAACAACGGACACGAAACTATGATTTCTGACCAGGAACAGCTGATGACGCACAACACTGTCGCAAACGGAAATAGACTCCCGTCCAAGACCAGTGGTCTCCATCTTAGCTTCGTTGGGAATGCAAATGAGAGTGTTGGAAGTGCATTCTGTAAACAATGTCAAATTGGTGAGAATTAATTTTTAGAATTAATAAATGTAATATTTTTTGTACGGGTTAAAAAATAATGGAGAAAGTGAGTATACGCCGAAAAAAAAAAACAATTTTTAAGAAATAAATATAATGTTCAACATTTGTGGATGTATATAGGTACCTGTTTTAAATTTACCGAACTTGGAAATTCTAAGTGGTGTTCAAAGTAGTAGATCATAGTTGTTTCTCAATATTCACTTCTTGACGTGGACTTATTTTTGAGTATTTATTTCTGAAGATAAAAAACGTATTTTAACCCTGGGTTTAGCATAAAATTGACTTATGGTATCTATTTCTTATCAAGTATTACTATTTGTATATATTCTTATAGATTTACACATCTCCTAAATGTATACAATTTAATAATACCATAGCATGAAATTATTTTCAATTTCATTTCCAATATTTTAACATTCGTGAAAAAAACATTCGGAATTTAGGAAGATATAGTATTTGAAATGCAATATGTGCCGTTTCTTAATTTCTTCAAATTGTTTGTACAATTATTATTGTGCATGGGTGAAGTAATATTGATACAAATGCTACGCTTAAATAGCAAATATAATTCATTTCAGCTGAAAGTAAAAATCTTACCAATTTTATTTCAAGGTAATCATTTGTAGCGCACAGTTATCTGGTAGTCCACAACGTGGATGTATGTACGTGTATAAGCCGTTCAACGACAGGTTTTCTTTAATAATATTCGTATGAACATATAACCACACACATGCACGTCGATAAAACATTGCTTATAATAGAATTAATAATTGATCTATTAAAAAATAGAGCGAGCGATAAAATGACGGAAGGGTCAACGTTTCAAATATTTAGAAATGCTCCATGATCTTGACCGTGGAACCTAACCTAACTTGTGCATAGCGTACATCGGATATGCTTTGTGATCTTGAACATAGTAAGGACACATAACCACAAAGAACTTCTATTTTATCTAGATCACATTACAATAACAGATAACAGACGATTTATGATGCAATATCATTCAATGCAACATCATTCTATCGCAAATGCAGTGGAATATAAGCCAAGCATAAAGCCACAGCGGAGTATAGTTTCGTTAGTAATGCGACTACAAATTCTTCGAATAATACCCATATCATCCATAACGATTGTGTTCCGATCTTCACGTGAATACGTCAATAAATTAGTTGAAATTTACAGCCTTCCACGAAGTGAAAGTTCTTATTGCATTAAACGATACTTGACGATATTCCTCACCTGCGTTTGTACAATTACAACACTTGTCGATATGGGAAATGAATATGAATTCAAACAGCCCAATGCACAATTTCTGACATATTTCCGGATTTGTTTATTATATTATTGGTGATTGATTTATTTATTTAAAGGCTCGTTATGATCAGAGCAATTGTTCGAGATCGAGAAAATTAGTCATCGCTTTTGACATTGGAGTCTTTGAAAAAGATAGGAAAACAAAAACAAAACCCAATCTGGTTCGTGTGCCTTTTATTCTCCTCCGCGATAATTGCAAGCCAATCCAAGCCATTGAATGTCTGGTAAAACTTTTATTGTTTGGTAATTAACTTGTCAATTAAATCTCCACGTTTGAATGTAGTACACAAAAAAACATACCTTAAATTCCGTCGCAAAATTAAAAAAAAATCAATATGGAATTGAAGGCAACTTTTAGCCGGACACATATTTCCGAAGGTCATTGTTTACAATCAAAACAAAACGGTTATTTTAAAATTAAGTCATTTTGTAATGTTTCGTGTTCGATTCTGCAAAGCGATATAAACATTATTTGTTTCCCTGAGTAATGTGGGTATATACGTGTGTGTTCGTTTGGTCTAGTTACAAGGTCTAAGTCTATCGTTAACATTGTACACAATCTAGTTTTACATTGAGGAAGGAAATGATTTGTCTAATAGCGATTCCTTGTCATCATTGAGAAATGTTTTTATATTCCAACATTCTCTTTGAAACATTAATATACATATGTATATTGGAACTAAGGATTGATATATTCCAATACAAAAATTTGCGGAGATGCCTTCGTCTTGGGGAAAACTAAAACAACGCAATTTTGTTGTTGATGAACTTTACGTTTTAGCAATTGTTTTAACGCCAAGTTTCCGACAAATTTCGTAATAAACAACTAAAAAATTGCAATTGCCCCCAACTTGTTGAATTTCAGAATATTCTGCTCGTCTCCGTTAACGGTTCTATTTTATTAATAAACATCGTGTTAATTTATAAAAAAAACGTACATCTTTCTGTGTTTCAGAGTTAGTGTGACATGCCTCAATATTATTCAAATACAATTCTGAAATAATTAGATACAATAAAACAAGTTTTGTTTTACAAAGAATGTTGTTTCAGTTTTATCTGTCCATTGGAATAATTATATACGAAGCCATTGATATGGATTGCAAGACTATGGAAGTGACCCGTAAGATGGTTGGCTGGCACAGTAGATAATTTATTTCGTGATTTGTATCTGAATGCTTCAAAGTGAAGCAATAAGGGCAACTTATAGGAAATTCCATTTAAATAGTTATGCTATTATTGTAGAGAAAATGCTTTTAGCAACAATACCACCCTAACTACAAACATAAATAAATAAAAAAAAAACACGTGCGCCAGTGTCGGGCTTTCTTTCCTGACAAAGGTTCGGTCTCGCTTACACACAATCTGCTGATAAAAAGTGACATGTAAAGATTACAGGTTTCAGTATCATCGCTGTTAGCTGTTCGACTTAATGCAAACAAATTGTTAATGTATGTACATATTTATTCATCCTGACATTGTTGCAGGGGTGTTCCGAAGGGGAGCACATATTGCTATTAAATGACATTAAAATGTTTTGAAACCATAAAAGTGGAAGCAACCAAACTTTAACGCTAATATATGTATTCCTTAATTGATTTCCATTGTATTTATTGTTACCCGGACTATGGGTTCTATTATTTGTATGGGCGCAATTCTCATCATGTCAAATAAAAATAAATGTTTTATGTTTTAAAAAAATTAAATGGAAAGAAAATGTTATGAAATTACTGGCGCCACTGCGACCTTTTCAAAAAAAAAAGCAAACAATTGGGTGATTTTGTTTGTATACATACCTACATGGATTATTCTATGAAAACGTAAGGCCTAAATTATGCAAATATTAAATAATGATTTACTAATTACTGAATTACTACTAATGTATACCCACCATATTAACAAAAAAATATTTTTTCTGGAAAGGGCTACCCCTCAAACAAGAACAAAGTCCGCCTAAAACGGATACCAAGATAAAAGTATGATGACTCACGCAGAGTGTGTGGTAGAAAATTCTAATATCGTCATATTTTAAAATCCTTGTTTTAAATTATTTATTACAGGATATCCTGAGAAGTAACAAATAGGTAGGGAAACAAGCTAAAACGAAAAGTGTTTGAAAACTAGATAGGTGCACAAACATTCAAATACGCCAATAATAGCTGGCGATTTGTTAAAAGGTTGATTGCATATCTTGCACTTGTCGACAATATTAAATTTCACAACAAAACTGAAAATGCAACTTTAACCTTGTGGCCAGGCTAAAAAGAGTAAAACCGCTTCGATTGAATACCTTCACGGGCAAATGGCAGAAAAATGCAGAGCGTTCATTGTCGGAATAAACATACCATAAATGAGTGTGCACTCCGCGCGCATTAGAAACAATAAATGCGACCTAGCCAAAATAGTTGCCAGAGAGCCGTAGCATTTCCAGTTGCAGGTGAGCACGTGAGCTGCAAAATGTGCATCAGGTATCATTAAGTATATTTATTTATTTTTTCATAAGAATCGCAATTGAGTAAATACTTCGACCAGTCATAGTAAATCTAATAATTGCTATCGTGCTTTTGGCACACAGAGCATGGACGCTCTATGCGAGTCAAGTGTATGTCATCTCACTCTCCAAACTCTTTGCAGAATCAAGTTGTTGAATGGGCATCAACACCAAAAACAACAGATACAAGAGAATGGGAAATAACGGTCACAAATGTCGCGAGAGCGCCGGTTCTCAAAGTGAAGCTTAAAGCTCATAACAACAGCACAAACCAACAACGTAACGCTGTAACACTCGAAAAGTTCTAAAACCAAATTGAAAATTGTGTACACCACCAGCACCTGCAGCTAGTCGGCTTTTAACGTCAGTTAGTGAATACCCATCGATGTGAAAACACGAAGTGTCGGCAGCAAAACGCGAACCCGTCTTTAAAAGTCAAAGTGCTTAGTCGTTTGCCGAAACCGAGAAAACCTACTAAAAATCACAACAAATCCGACTGATAAACATCAAAAATATTCTTTAGCTGTTCCACTTGTTAGAATTGCCGCCGCTCGCACACTTTGTGTGTGTGACTTGTTGCTATTGGCTATTGAGTGTTTAAGACTAAAGACAAATAAATAAATTCAATACAAACACAACATCGCTTTAAAGTCCAAGTGATTATACTTAGAGATTTTATTTTGTTTGCGAATCATTAGTTGGAATTCGGTATTCCTTTTGACGTTCTCGACAAAAGTAAAACCCAAATACGCACAGACGCCAGGCTCTACATACACACATTGAAACTTGAATTATGAGTTTTACACGGCAATTATCAGAGATGTCGGCAAGTGAGTTAAACGAAGCAATTGATGACTCCAATTTCCCCCAGGCACATATCCTGTCACGTGGACGCAACAATAGCATTTGTTCGACAGGTTCCGCTTCGGGCAATTCGTCTCTATTGGATCGCAATTTATCACAAACGGAGGAAGCAGCAGCCGTAAGTGTTGTTGGCAATGTTGCAACTGAGCCGAACAACGATGGAGGTGCCATAAGCAAGACAATAGGCAACCGTCCAAAACTCATAATAAAAGCAAATGGCACAATACCAGAAAACGATTCCATACGAACACCAATGACCCCAAGGACATCAACCACTCCAGGTACTTGTCGTATTCTGCTTCTGCATAATTTCATAATAGCTCTTCTTATCCACTTCTAAGTGTAGTGCTTAAGTATGGCCACTAGAACCGAGTATTTCCCATTTCCGAAAGATGCTCAGGGGGGTCGATTTATAAAACCACAGTTCAGACCAGAAATATTTGTTTTGGTCTTATAAATCATAGAACACAATTATTGTCTCATAAATTTGAAGACTAACATTATCGCAAAAGAAACCGACAAATCACCCTGGTCAGATTTAAATTGAAATAAGTATTATCATTGATGGTGCTTGTATGGACAGAAGTGGACGTTATTTATTGACTACAATATTTTACAAAATTTGCAATATTGTATAAAAGCAAAATGCTCATGCTGAAGTAAATAATACTTTTGGATATATCCTATAACATATTTAATCCCGTTTGGTCCTTTTTTTAACGACTACACTGGTATTTGTTATAGATATTTTAATTCATTTCATGTTTTTTTTTATTTGATTAATTTCAGGCCACGAAAATTGCACCTTTCATCACGATTTGGAACTGGATCATAAGCCACCAACTAGGGAGGCGCTTTTACCCGATATGGCTAGATCATATCGTCTACTATTGGGAGGCTTGGGTGAAAATCCAGATCGCCAGGGTCTAATAAAAACACCGGAAAGGGCCGCAAAAGCTATGTTATTCTTCACCAAAGGCTACGACCAAAGCTTGGAAGGTAAGAAGTTCAGTTCAGTTAATAAGTCTGTCGAATTGAATCATAAACCAAACCACAAATTGATTCCTTGGTGAAGCGTTTACTTTCTCTTTCCTTGCAAATTAATTTAAATGCGAAGCTGGAAAATAATCTATCTCGAGCTTCTGGTGTACGCGTGTGTGTGTGTGTGTGCACATCATATCAACAGGTTGCTCACACTTACTTGGTGTGATTGTTCAATCTTAGGGTTTTGTGAACGTCATCGTAATTAACAAACTTGATTTTCACGAAGCTGAACAAAAGTTCCCCTCGTTAAACCGTCGATTCAACTGAATCACTTTTTGCACATGCGTTAAGAATTGTATTAACTGGATTTTCCAGACACTAAAATCCCCTCTGAAATTAATTTGTTGACAAAAGTTAATAACCGACTGAATCAATTTTCAAGGGGTGGAATTGGCTGGCAATTATTTTATTATTTTTTTATTTTGTTTTTGTAGACCATAAATGTCTTATGTCAGTGAGTTGTGGGCTTCCGTGGATAGTTCTTAGCTTACCTATGAATTTTAAATTATGTTGTTTTTATGTATTTAGAACTGGAATTTTATCAAATTGAATTTTTTACAAAAATGTGAAGATATTAAGATGATTAAGCTAATTTTGTATTTAAGTGTGTTAAGCTTACCAGTGTGATTGTGTAGCCAATCAGTAGTCTTTTGTAGAAACTTTTATGCAAAGTTTTTAAATTACAAAATTTCAAACGGGTTACTTTGAATCGCAAATAATATATATATATATATATAGCTGTAGAACTTCATTTTTGTTACAAACTCTGAAAGGTTTAGTGTAGTCTACTAAATTCCAATCGTCGTCATTACACAGATATTAATTTTATGTGCGCAGTATGTGTGTTTGTAACAACACTCAAGAAATGTTTGGCATTGCTCGCTAATGTTCCTTGCTTCTACACTGGCAACAAGTGGAAGTAGCAAGAAAAATGTTAATGTCGACTACCCACCCACAAGACATTTTCAACTCTGCACTTTACTTTTTTACTTATAGCTATGAATTTTGATAGCTAACATTTGCCTTTTCGTGTCATAAATCTCTGCACATAATCAAGGATGTTAAGCGATGCTTAAAAGGAATAACAATAGACCAAGCGTTCTATTCAAACTCTCTTACATACATACAAATGCTTGTGAATGGGGTGGATGGGTAGCTTAAGAAGGGGGGAGAATTTCTTTGCTTTGGACATGAATGAATATACACCCATATGCATTGACTTTTGGGCAATTGTAGTGTATATACACACATTTTTAGCCTAGTAAATATGTTTCAATAATCATTCTGGAGCGTAACAAATACATACATTTTATTTACCGAGGACATTTGACACCAATTGCGAAAGAGCATATAATTGGTTTGATTAGATACTTATTTATATATTCTTCTGAAAGATGGGATGTTGTCGTAAAATTGAAGCAATAAGACGTGCTACTTTAACTATACACTTCTTCATTTTTGTATGTAGCAGGGTACTAAGAACATTAAATATTTAATTTGTGGTTACCGCTTTTTCCAAGTGCACATTACGTAATTTTGAAATTGTGAATGAAATCATCATAGCAAACATCTATCAGAAAGAAGATTGTATTTTATATAAATACAATACATTTTTATTATTATTGTAATTTGATAAAATTGTTCTGTTAGATCCATACAATCTAATTATCGTAAAATATCTTATTGGCTATATACATATATATTTTCAGATGTATTAAACGGAGCTGTTTTTGATGAAGATCACGATGAAATGGTGGTTGTAAAAGACATTGAAATGTTCTCCATGTGCGAACACCATTTGGTGCCCTTTTATGGAAAAGTGTCGATTGGGTATTTGCCTTGTAACAAAATCTTGGGTTTAAGCAAATTGGCAAGGTATTATCAATAATCAAATCAAGCATTTAATTAATAATATATGAATTAAATATTATTCTTTTCAGAATTGTGGAAATATTCTCTCGTCGATTGCAGGTTCAGGAAAGACTTACAAAACAAATTGCTGTGGCTGTTACACAAGCTGTACAGCCAGCGGGTGTTGCCGTGGTCGTTGAAGGAGTGTAAGTTTATTTTTTGGCTATCATCAAGTGATTTGCAAAAATACATTTAAATAAATATTTCAATATTAATTTGATTTTCTTTTTCGTAGGCATATGTGTATGGTGATGCGAGGTGTGCAGAAAATCAATAGCAAAACGGTTACTTCTACAATGTTGGGCGTGTTCCGAGACGATCCAAAAACACGAGAAGAGTTCTTAAATTTAGTCAATAGTAAATAAATATAAAATAATATGCACGCACACATTGTCCATAGAAAAACTATCTGCTGCTTCGCCCTCAGTCGATGGAAGTACTTAAAAACAAATGTAATATTCGCGTGAGGGAGGGGAAAATACTACTGTTACCATTTTAAATACAATACAACTAACATAATACATCAAATATAAGTTTTATGCTATGCATTGATGCGTACTTCCATTCCACCTCTGTTGATACGGTACCGCTAAACTATTCTATTTTATTTTCATCAAGATGTAGATGAAGCAATCAAAATTAAGGAAATATATTAAAAAATATATTAATTATTTGATTGTTAACGACAAATCTTTACAAAAACCAATTTACTGTTAAGAGAGAATCTAAATATTTTTGGAAGAACATACATACAATATCACAACCGTAATGTAAGGCGGTGGAATTTCTAATTAGGTTATTCATATTTATTGGGTCCAATAGATAATTGTAAGTCAAAGAAGTAGTTGTTAGTCTTTATCAGGACACTTGATCGAATTTATTTTTTACCTTTTGTATTTGGTGCCTGGGTAGCTTAAAATATTAATTGTTTTATATACGTCACATATGTATTTCTGTTATTTTTATATACATTCTAATGTAAAAACAAAAACAAGTGTGAATTTCTTTTTTTATTAAGTATGCATATACGTATGTCTTTAGAGAAGATGGGACTTAAAGTTTCTGCATCTAATCAAGTGTCAAACTATGAAAACGTTTTAGGGAATTTACAAAAAATTAATATAAAAATAATCAAAGTGTTTACAATTTTATAAGAAAACGATATATGTATATATATATATATACAACAAATTGTATCTTGAGCTCATTTAATTAATCAAATATATTATAACAATTGGCTTTTATGTATGTTATTATTGAAATATGTATGTGTATTACAATAAATTACAATAAATATGTTGATAAAAACGTTATGTTTTATTTCAAATATTTATGAATATGGGGATATTTGGTTTCCTGTTACTGGATGCTGTGTGTTTACTCCAAAGTCCAGTAACAGAGAGTGAAATGAGAGATCTAGTTTGACTGATCTATGCTGAGAACTTATTGTATGTTACTGGTTAGCTTTCTTCTAGTAAATATACATATATCCAGCACAGTTCGATGTATTTCAAACTGCCGTTTTTAAATTTTGACCAAATTAAAGGCAAATTTATTTTTACTTATTTAACACTAGATTGCCGAAGGCGGTCATTTTGACCGTTTTTCATTTCCAAGTACAAAAACAATTGTGTATATAATGACACAGCTTTTTAAAATTTGGTGACTTTTTGTACCACATAGAACTACATTTATTAATCATAGTAGCTTATTTCTTTCATTCCCCGTATTCACATGTGCTATACCTTTATTGCCTAAAATCTGTCATTTTGACCAATTGTGAAATATTTAATAATCAAACTACTTTTATTATTGTATAAAGTAAATGTCTTATATGACCAGATCAGTACAACAACATCGAAAACCGTTTGCTACTCTAGAAACACAAACGAACATACAAATCGGGAAAATAAATTTTATATTTCCCGTCGATTTTACTCTTACAGTAAACATTTACTCTTTTTCGAACATTTTGTCCGCGATATTATTTTTCAAAAAGGGAAGCTCGAGAGCCCTCCCACCGACAACGAATAATAACAACGTTTTGTATGATTGTAAATAGTTTAAAAAAAATTTCTTTACACAATAAAAATTCTTTCAGAATGAGGTCATTTTGACCGATTTTAGGCAATATAGGTATATAAAAAAATCCAGTCTTTCTAGTGTTAAAAAAGTAAACTTCAAAAAAAAAATAAGTGAAAATACGGAATTATTTGCCAAATCTTCCTGTTTACTTTTCTCAGTATTATAGCAAAAAAGGAAAAAACGCCGTACTCTCTGAAATAAAACTAATTTAGTAAATGTTACTGGAAAAGTAACCATTCAAAACTAATAATACGGCTGATTTAAATCAAGGTTTACCAAACTTTCCATGGCATAATTTTGAACTCATCTATCAATTTCAAATAATTTTTTTTGTTTTTTTCACATTTAAATCATGGTATAATAATAAAAGGTAACAGCAAGTGTTGTTGTACAAAAAACGATACAACAACCACATGGAAATTTGTTGTTGTAAGTTCTACTAGTGTCAACTCATTTGACAGAAAAATGTAAACAAACAAACAAATTATCATCAAATTATTTTTATTTTGAAAATGGAATATTTTCGAATCCTCAAAATAAAAATTGAAAAACATGAATGAAAATCTATCAAATTTATATTTCTATCGCTTCCACATCTATCCTTTAATTGAGCCATTGCCATATATATGCTGGGAATAGCGAGTAATTCCTTCAAGAAAGATTTGCTTCCTCAAACTTTCCCAGCAGGCAGATTGAGTAAATTGAATACGGGAGCACATTAAAAAAGAACAATTTCAAATTGTATGCGTTCCCAATTTTCCTGTTGGGTGATTTTTAAAAACATAATTTGTCAAATGCATATTGACACTAGTATTACGTTGGAATCAAATCAGCAGCGATTTGCTGTTACCTTTTATAATTGTACCATGCATTTAAATATATATAAAATGTCAACAAATACGAAATACACAAAACGAATTGCCAGAAAATTGTCGGTACGAGCATTTTTTTTTCATTTCTATTCCCCTTGCCCTCTCTCCTACAAACAAAGACTTTCCGCAAATAAACTCGTCTAATCTAAATTGGGACATACTTTCTAAATCTTTTAAGTATTTTAAGATGAACAATTCTTTTCATAACCGTATATAAATATACATGCTATGTACAGATATACTTATTTTTAATCAGGACATGTGGTCAATATATTCAATGTGATATATTTTCAATTTTTTATCCACATTGATGGATGGAAGTCTAGTTTAGAGCACCCTCGTGAATCGTTTTGAAATTCTTTACCACAAGTAGTCCTTGGACCCTGATTTTATTATTTTTCTTAGGAAATCGGTATTTCCGGAGATATGGGCCTCCAAATTTCCGTTGGACCCTTGTATTATAAATTTTTAAAATCCACTAAGGCAATATGGGTATCATTTTAAAGCATTTGAAGCCCTGATTACAAAAATATAAAATTCATATCAAATAAGTCGATACTTTCTGTGATATGGATAGGTAAGTCCACTTCGTACTACTACTACTGCTAAATATATTTATTTATTTTATTTAAACTCTTTCATGTACACAAAGCCTTATTTGGCCAATTATTATGAATACATTATGCGAAATCGTTGATATATGACACTACTCTATCATTAATAAATTTTTAATTCGAGCGAAGTTGGTGGATTTTTGTACTGTATTTGTGTAGTCGGTTTTTTACTTCTCATTGATATTCGTGTTCAATATGATTCTATTTCTATTGTAGACGAACAATTAGTTTTTTGTTACGGAAATCCAATTCGATTCGAATTAGAGTGATAATGTACTACTATTTGGCATAGGATTCAAAACATACCCAATTTTTTTTTTTGGTAAGCTATATTTGTAAATGTCAAAATACACGATTTTCTCCATGTATAAGACGTCACTATATACGGTATTTTTTCTAATTTTCAACTAATATAACATTTACATTGCACCAGATTTTGTTAACCCAGTGGGTTTTTGTCAATTCCAGTACATATATGCCAAATGAATCATAAGTGTGGTTTTATATTTGTCGGGATCGGGATCGGTGTTGAGAGTTTCTCTCTCTCTCAGTGGTAAATTGTGAATTGTGTTGGAAAACATTACCACAGGTAGGAACAAAAAAGTGCGAAAAGGTACCTAAAATTCTACTTCAAATGATAAAAAATCATAATTATCGAGAAATATTGGCCAATATTTATACCAATTATTTGCATAAATAATATATGTTATAATTTAAGCGTAAATGTATTCACGAATAATAAAAAATCTAATTTTTGTTTTGGTACGTTTATGTCAATTCGTACTTTTTGTGAACAAAAAGTACGCTTGTTACAAAATTAAAAATAGCGCAACTCTAATTACTCTCTCAAGAGAGAGAAACTCTCAACAACGATCCCGATCCCGACAAATATAAAACCACACTAAGAAGTTCTAATGTCAAGCCCATGGTATAATAATAAAAGGTAACAGCAAGTGTTGTTGTACAAAAAACGATACAACAACCACATGGAAATTTGTTGTTATAAGTTCTACTAGTGTCAACTCATTTGACAGAAAAATGTAAACAAAGAAACAAATTATCATAAAATTATTTTTATTTTGAAAATGGAATATTTTCGAATCCTCAAAAAAAAAAAAAAATGAAAAACATGAATGAAAATCTATCAAATTTATATTTCTATCGCTTCCACATCTTTCCTTTAATTGAGCCATTGCCATATATATGTGTAACACATATGACAATGCTGGGAATAGCGAGTAATTCCTTCAAGAAAGATTTGCTTCCTCAAACTTTCCCAGCAGGCAGATTGAGTAAATGGAATACGGTAGCACATTAATAAAGAACAATTTCAAATAGTATGCGTTTCCAATTTTCCTGTTGGGTGATTTTTAAAAACATAATTTGTCAAATTTATATTGACACTAGTATTACGTTGGAATCAAATCAGCTGGGATTTGCTGTTACCTTTTATAATTGTACCATGTGTCATGCCGTGTAATTGAAACATTATTAAGTGCTACAGCTACTTGCTTATAGCACAGTTAGTAAGCGTGGTTTTACATTTATCGGGATCGGGATCGGTGTTGAGAGTTTCTCTCTCAGTTGTAAATTGTGAATTGTGTTGGAAACATTACCACGAAAAGGTACCTAAAATTCTACTTCAAATGATAATAAATCATAATTATCGAGAAATGTTGGCCAATATTTATACCACTTATTTGCATAAATAATATATGTTATAATTTAAGCGTAAATGTATTCACGAATAATAAAAAAATCTAATTTTTGTTTTGGTATGTTTATGTCAATTCGTACCTTTTGTGAACAAAAAGTACGCTTGTTAAATAAATTAAAAATAGCGCAACTCTAATTACTCTCTCAAGAGAGAGAAACTCTCAACATCGATCCCGATAAATGTAAAACCACGTTAAGAAGCGCACGATTGACTACTACTAAAATATATCATATACTTGTGTTACAAAAATTTGTGTAAAAAAATCTTGCCAATCTGTTTGTTTTGGCAAAATATTTTTGGCAGTTAGAAATTCGCCGATGCGGCTACCTTGTATATCTACCTTGTTTTCAGCAATTCGCTTCTTAAGCGGTGTCCATCATACCTCATTCGTAATATTTGTATGTTCACTTTGAGTTCCTTCTTTATTGGGCATCTTCTCTCTTCGCTCTATCCGCTATTATTTGTACGAATTCGAGCGAAGTTGGTGGCAGTTCTTGCTACATAGCTGTAGACGCGCTTGGCGAGTTTCATTTTCATTGAGTTGTTAAAGTTGGCGAAGAAAAAGCAAATTGATTGTCTGTGCAAATAAATAGTGCAAATCTGTGCTGCAATACAAGCGTACACCGTACAATTTGGCGCGTTTTATTGATACGTTTTTTGTTTGGTTTTCTGTTGTAATAAGTAAATTAACTTTCCCCAAAGTTCCCTTCTGCCGAACGATAAGCTAATCTATACACACACAAGGACTTTGGAAATTAATGCATATCCATCATGGATCTAGCCAACTTGGACAAAATGAAGGTGGTCGATTTGCGAAATGAGTTGCAATCGCGTGGCCTCGATTCCAAAGGAGTTAAGGCGGTGCTAGTGGAGCGATTACGGGCCCACTTGGAAGGTGGTAAGTGAGCAAGACAGTATAAAGTGCGGAAAACATGAAACATACAATGGAAAACAAATCGGCGCTTGCACAGATGGAACATGTGTATCCAATGACATGGTCTTTCTAGTGAATGTGGTTGCCACATGGTTGGGCGCGTTTTATGTTGCAATTGCAAGCTAAAAACGGGCAGAGTTGCCATGATTTCCGAATTTTTTTAAGTGTATATGTAGACTATCTTAATCTACTGGTTTCGAAATTTTCCTTCTGCTACTACTCTCTTGTATTTATTTCAGATGTTCCTCCTTCTCCTGGCACACCCGGAAGACGTAGTCGACGTACAAGATCAATGACCAGGTCTCCATCTCCTTCACCAGTTAAGAAGAATGCAGAAGTACTTGAGACTTTAGAGGAAGAGGTTACAGCCGCTGAAGAAGCGGCAGAAGCCGCCAAAACGCCCGAAAAAGAAATAAATCAACAGGAAGAAACTACTCCGGAAAATAAAAATATAGAGACCCATGAATCAGATGAATCAGAGATATTACGTGAAGAACCAGCAAACGAACCGGAAGATAAACAAACAAATGGCGCTGAAACCAATAGGCCTATAGATGAAATAGCATCTGAGGAGAAAGAAAGTGAAAAAGCTGACGTCGAACACGAGGAGCTGAAAGACGAAAATGAAGCCGCCTCTTCTAAAGATAACGATGAAAAGGTGGAAAAAGAAGAACATGCACATGCAATACCGAAAGATGATGAAAAGCATACGAGAGAACGTTCTCGTTCAAGAGACAGGAACTCCCGATATTCCCGTTCTCGTTCACGATCCAAGAATCGTTCAGCTACACGATCTCGCTCGCCAAAGGCTCGCAGTGCTGGTGGACCCAATAGCCCAAAAGCTGCGGAGGACACTTCAACCCCAGAAGATGAGCCGACAATTGAAGACAAGCAATTCGGTTTAAGCTGGTGTAAGTGATATATCCCCTGTAATGAGTATGTCTGTGTGCCAAACAAAATCCACAAAAAATTACAAATCACCGGTTAACAATAACAACAACAGCACAACTTGTACATTTACTAATCCTATTTTACAAAAATAACTGACCTACTAAGGATAATTTGCAAAGTAGTCAGGCTGAATCCCAGTTGTTTTTATAAAGGCAGGCGAGGGGTAAAGCAGGGAAGACTATAGTGTCGGATCTCGGACTATAGTGTCGGATCTCGGTCCCTACTAATAAATATTTTTTTATAGAAACAACGTACTTGGATTCAGCCTGACTATTTTGCAAAAACAAAATACACACAAAATTTGAACTAATTAACTAACGTTTTCAACAAACTTGAAAATGCTAATGGGTTTTGTGGTCTTTACTTTTTAGTTTTAGGAAATAAAATCCCTTTACCGTAAACCTTTTATTTTATTTTCAGATGATTCGGATTTACATCTTCGTATTGATCCTGTTACCTTTACATCGGCTAAACCCATAAATCATGATATATACGCACTAGTATGGTCGGGTGCACGAACCAATTATGGCGTACGTGAAGGTAAAGTCTGCTTTGAAGTTCGCTTGTCAGAAGAATCGAACATTGGGCGAGATCACACATTCCGGGATGAACCACACATCAAAGGTTTCCGTGTTGGTTTCTCAATGCCGTCATCAAGTCTGCTTTTGGGCGAATCTGAAAACTCATTTGCTTATTGTGAATCAGGTCGCAAGGCGACAAACGGAGAGTTTGTGGATTTCGCCAAACCATACCAACTAGATGATGTTATTGGGTGCTATTTGGATTTAGAAAGTACACCATGCACCATAAAATATACATTGAACGGCGAAGATTTAGGGGTTGCTTTTGAATTCGATAAGAATATTCTGGGGGATAACAATGCATTGTTTCCACACATTTTAACCAAGGGTTATGAGTACCAAGTTAATTTTGCTGATAACGACAATCTTTTGGTGAATGTAGAACGCAAAGTTCGGAAAAGACTTAAACCAAAGAAAATCGAGGAAAAGATAGTCGAAAGCAAGTCCGATAGTCCAAGTAAAGACAAAAAACCTGAAAATGCCGATGAAGAGGATTGGGATAATGAAAAGGCTAATGTAAGTGAAGAAGAAAAACCAGATTGTCAAAGTGAAGATGCTAAAGTGGGAACAGAAATTAGCGGAGATACTAAAGATGAGTCTGAAGAAACCCCAGATGTGGAAAATAAGGGTACAGATAAAACTGGCGATGAGGAAAACAAACCACAGGAAGATAAATCGGCGGAGAATAAAGAAGTAGTTGAAGAGAATGTAGAGATGCAAACAATCTCCAAATCTGAAAGCAACGAAGAAAAGAAAGAGAAGAGTAAGTAAATTATAAGCCCCTACAATCTTGTATAGCACTGACAAAATAACAATTTTAGGCGAAACTGAAGAAGAAGAGCCCAATAAGGAAAGTACTGAAGAAGGAAAAGTCGATGACAGTAACAAAGAAGATGATAGCGGACCATCGCCTTCTAAACGCAAGAAGTTGGATGCAACCGAAGAAGATGATGAATATGAAGATATTCACCCCATACCTCGTGAAACCATGGCGCTCATCGATGGTTATGAGTTGATTGCTCTAATTCCAGAAGAGAAATATATAGCCGGACCTCAGAGGCCGGAAAGCCGCAAGGAATGCGAAGTCATTCTAATGGTTGGCTTGCCTGGCTCCGGTAAAACTACTTGGGTGTTGAAGCACATTGAGGAAAATCCAGAGAAACGTTATTACGTTATTGGGGCTGATGCCCTAATTTCCAAAATGACAGTACGTTAAAAATATTCTTCGGCAATCGTTTAGTATATTATAATTAACAATATGCTGATTATCTTTCAAGGTGGATGGAGCGCCCCGTAAGTCTGTTCACAAAGGACGTTTCGACCGCATATACGAATTATGCTTCAACGTATTGACGTCACTGGAGGATATTGCCGTCAAACGCCGTCGCAACTTCATCCTTGATCAGGTAAAAATCTATTCAAAACAAAAATGTGCACGGGCTTAAACATATTTTGAGATATAAAAATACAATTATAAAGTTATGGTCTATTAAGAAAGCCGCTAGCTATCCCAACAGTCACGTACAATTGGCTGCAACGCTCTGCAGGTAGGTCTTAGTATATAAGTGGACCCCCTATATCTGTGTAAGTATACGTAAATACATACGCTACAATGGACTCCAAGTTTGTACTGATAATGGTTTATCGTCATGAATGATGTGGATCGAGCGGCAAATTAGCCAATTTGTAAGTAAATCATTGAACTGTAATGTGCCCTTTGGAAGAATGCAAATAATTTGCAATGAAATTATTGAGTGATGTTACTCTACGGAATAGGTATGTGTAGATTAAGTTATAGAACTAAGAGAGGAGATATAGAGGAAACAATGTTGTTGGAAATTTGAAAATATACCCGGAGAACTATATCAAAAGATATGCAATATGAACAGAATAGAACACAACTACCTTATACTTAATTATTTGAAACAAAACAAAAATGTATGCCCTGCACATAACTTATTACGCAACGTAATCCATAACGTTGCCTTTACTACTTTTTTATTTAAAATAAAACTGAAACAACCCCAACAAAACATCTACTAAAACTCGTACAAATGATCAATATTTACAACCCTCTCCGGAAATGAAATAAAAAGGGAAATGCATATGCCTCTGTTCAGCGACGTAAAATGAAAGGCTTTGGAGATTTTAAACGTAAAGCTGTTGTTTGCATACCCAGCGAAGATGAGTTGAAACGTCGTCAGGAGGAAAAGAAGGAAAAAGGACATACGTACACATTGAGAGAATCAACTTTACATAGTTTCCAAGGTAAATATATTGATGTTGACATTTCAACGACCATAACTACACCTATTACTATTCCAAGAAATTACATTTGAACAGCTAATAGTTAACATGTCTAGAGACGATCGATCGCAGAAAATTCCCAATTCAATATATAGCAGAAACCTTCACATGATGAACGGCGAAATTTTCAGTAGCCAGAAAATGTTAAGATCAACTAAAACTTTTATTATTTTCCCTCAATGTTCAAAATTTGTTTACCGAATTCGTTGTTATCTTCAATGTCTGCTTCTGCATAGTTCGCCCAATTTATTTGAAATACGTCATACCTTTCAAACTAAAACACAATTTAATCCATGCAAATGTAATTTAAAAGTTAACTGTAAAACGTGATAATATGGTTTAAAAATATTATCGTTACATTTGGTGCATAGTTGATTGGCATTTTAGAATCTCTTCATTGATTCTAAATAAGAAGCTTTACTATAAAGACGACGTATGTCGTTAACATCGACCACTTTTAAATGTGGACATTATCATTTCGAAACAATGCTGCATACCATTACAGGCTGGTGGTAATGGTGTGTGTGTATGCCCGACATCTGCTTTAAAGTGTATCGTTACAAGTTCTATCGTAGATTACAAGAATCTAATCAGAACTTGTATTTAAGAATAAACGGCCCATGTTTTAATAATTTTCCAGATAAAAACAACAAACAATGATGCTTAAATGGCAGGATTCATTTTTGACTGTTTTACATTTCAGCTAATTTTACATTGCCCTCTTTGGAGTTTGGTTGGTTTGATGACATTATATTCACCGATTTGAGCGGTGACGAGGCTAAGGAGGAAGTGAAGAAGTACAACGAAAAGGGCAAGAAAGCTTCCAACAGAGACAAACGCCAACGTCGCGACAATTATGGAAACGACAATCGGCGCCGCTACGATGACCGAAGGCGTTATGATAATCGAAATGACAATCGATGGAATGACCGACGTACTGTTGGCGGAGGTGGAAGCGGCGGTTATGGTAATAGAGGATACAACGGTGGTAACAGGGGATTTGGAGGTGGCGGCAGCGGCGGTGGCTACCGAGACGATCGTGGTTATGGCGGCGGTGGAGGAAATCGCGGTTATGACCAACGTCGCTACAGTAGTGGCCCTCAAAACTGGGTGCAAAACAACCGAAATCGCTACGATGACCGCAATACCAATCGATACAGCACCGGTGGCAACCGTTATGATTCGTATGGTGGAGGTGCAGGATCTCGTGATTATCGGAGTAGTGGCGACAATAGGGACTACCGGGATAGGAACAGAGGTGCTGGTGGTGGTAATGGTGGCCGTCGTGATAGTCATCGCTCTGGAGGTAGTAGTACTAATCAGCGGGATTTTCGGCATGGCCACCGCGGCGAAGATAGTCGCGGTGGCCCAGGCTCAGGCAAAGCCGCACCAACTTCATCTAATTACAAGCCCAGTGCGGCTGGTGGAGGCAATTCCTCGAGTTATGAAATGTACAATAAAAAGAACGTATGTGATGATATGAATACATAAAATAGTCGTATATTTATATTTTTTGAATCATAGACACAGGCTTCAGCAAAATACAACCAACAACAGCACCAACCCCAGGTCCAGAACTGGCAACAGTATAATCAACAGCAACAACAACAAACCAGTGCGGTAGGACAACAACAATATTGGAATTACGATATGCAAGGTAAAAACATTTGGATGTTTGATTGGTGGTTTATCTTATCTAAATTAAAATTCTTGTTACAACAGGTTACGCAAATAATCAGCAGTGGCAATCCATGGATCCTCAGCAACAACAGCAGTGGATGTCCTGGTGGCAGGTAAATGATTTTTGTGCTCAGCATATATGTTAATTTATTCTAACATTTGACATTTCTGTTTTGTAGCAACAAGGTGGTTCGGGGAACAACGCAGCCCCCGATCCTAACCAGTACTGGTCTCAATATTGTTACACAACACCGGAAGCTGCAGCAAATCCAACAAACAAATAAAATGGCGCAAATAGCAGACTTCTTTGTTAGTTATAACAACACAAGTACAATATTTCTATCAAAATAAAATTTCCAAACCCTCAAGCACCAGATTAAATTATTGTTAGTCGTATAAAAATGATTCCCACATCTTTTTAGTTTAAGTTATATTTTTCTGCTCTTGTTAACAGAAATGTTTCCTTTAAAGAATATTTTCATCCTTTTTAATTCTTTGTGTTTTGTACAACGTGAATGTTGTTAATTTCGAGCAACTTAAATAAAATATATTTTAATAATTTGTAATTTAGATCTTTTTAGAATAGAATTGATGCAAAACATTTTGCGGAGGAAAAACAAACGGCTGATACAGCATTTTTTATAATATAGAATATAAAAAAATAACGTATTTTCAAAATCAGATTTATAGGAAATCCCATGGTACATACATCAATACAATATATATATATATATATATATAGGTTAACTAGCAAAGTCTTGGTCCATTTGACTCACAAACAAATTGGCTTCTAGAGTCTAGAAAACAGCCAACGTTTTGTTCATCCCATACCCTACATAAATAACAGCAGTTCTTTTCTGATTTTTATCACGCAAATTACTCTCAAGCAGACCATGTGTGCGTTGATTTGCCCGATGCTGTCATATGGACAAGCAAACAGTTAACACGGCGTGCCAGGGTAGGGTTACCGTTGTACGACTAAAGTTGCAATTTGCCACCTTTTTGATGACCTGTGACTCTATGCCACTTATGTGCAAAATAGTACGATGGCGATGATGGTTAAACACATTCTCATTTCCTTAGTCATTCTTGGTGACGATCTCTCAGTTATGCTCTCACACAATCCCAGTTCTTGAAGTCTCAACAACGACTAAACCCGAGAAAAAAAAACGACTAAACCCACCTCATTCGTAACTTTCGGTCCTCCACTTTGACTTCTTCTTTATCGGTCATTTTGTCTTCTCCCACATTCGTTAGCTGGTGGAACGTTTTTCAATTTTTGTGTTGTGTTGAACTAAAAACAAAGGAAGTTAACATTAATTTTTCCCTTACATTTCGTTCATTTTTATAAAAGTAATCAAAATATTTATAAGATTTACTCCCACTATAAATTAAAAAACCAACATTTTTTGAAAATTCTGCTTTGGTGTTCCTGTGAATGAATAATGGCTGATAAGTACATGCAACCCGTCAACAACCACTTTGCATTTGAAGACGTAGATGATAATGTATTTTTGGCCAGACGACCAAACAACAATGGAAACACTGGTAAGTGTCTTCAATCGAATCACCTTCTCGGTATTATTTCCATGCTTTTTGAAAATAAAAAAATCTAGATATTACTGGAAGTAGCTCTGTCGAGAGCAGTATTGATCGAAGTCCGAGCTTTGAAGACCATCGCCTGCAATCCTACCAGCAGAAACGTCGGGAAATCGAGGAAAGAAGTTTGCAATCGACCCAACGATCGTTAAATATGCTTTACGACACCGAGCAGGTTAGTATTGCTGTTGCTTTTTGCCTTGAATAGAACAGTCTGGTCACCGCCCATACCACAAAATTACGTATTGTCTGCATGTGAAAATAATACGCCATTACATTTTAAGGTGGGGAATGCCACTGCGGTTGAACTGGCGAAACAACGGGACCAACTGGAGAGGACAAACAAAAACTTGGACGATATTAATGCCTCGTTGAGATACAGCCAACGCCATTTGAATAGCATAAAAAGCGTTTTCGGCAGCATAAAAAATCATCTTTTCGGAACAAGGGAAAATACAGTGCCGAACAATCCGAATACTGAAAGGAAATTGTCTGCCGATGCTAGTGCTACTCCAAAAGCACGAACGGAAGGTGTTAAAACAACAATACCTTCGCCTTCTGATAAGTATGACCAGCATCCAATATCGCGAATACGCGAGGATAGCTCACACCGACAACAGCTGATGCAAAGTCAGCAGGGAAGGCAAAACAATCCATTTGAACAGCAATTGGAGGCAAACCTAAATGAGATGAGCGACAACCTATCACGTCTGAAAGGTCTAGCTACAGAATTAGGGTCAGAGATTGAATACCAGAATGATTTATTGGATAATATGACATACAAAGTTGAAGACGTCGATCTAAAGTTATCGCGACAGAATAAAGACATCTCAAAACTCTTGGGTAAGAAATAGTTTTTAGTGCGCATTTCAGTGATAAGAAGCTTTCATTTAAATTAAGGAACCACCGCTGTAATAATGTTTGTTATAATAATCTCCATTAAAACCACCATATGTATTCCAAACGCATTCGCATTTTGTTTTTCTGGGTCGTCGTATAAGACCAATAAATGGTAGGTAGACATACTCATTAAAATCGTTCTGTACTAATGGTCGCGACTAAGCCTGTATGCTGCAACCCAATTTCTATTCACTGATTCAATGCTAGTGCTGTGTATATCTTCGCCGAGTAACCGATGCAAATATGGCAGTCTGGTAACCCTTGTTGTTTGTATATTACGTGTGTATGTGTGGGGTAGGAACTTTGGACTTTCACTTAATACGAGGTTTCTCTGTTATTGGTGTAATTGGTTTTGATTTGTTTGTTTGTTGCGCCAACGTTCAGAGGTCGTCATAAAGAAAATATGATTAATACGGGTAAATTGGCTGGAAGGACTCTGTTTATAACTGGAGCATCGAGAGGAATTGGCAAAGCTATTGCATTAAAGGCGGCGCGTGATGGTGCAAATATTATTGTAGCTGCGAAAACCGCAGCGCCACATCCCAAATTACCAGGAACGATTTACAGTGCAGCTGAAGAAATTGAGAAAGCCGGTGGAAAAGCCCATCCATGCATCGTTGATGTCAGGGATGAACACCAAATTCGTCACGCCGTAGAAAACGTAACAAATTGCCTGATTTAGTCTACAAAAAATCGGCTAAAATGTGTTTTTTTTTTAATTTTAGGCGGTGGCCAAGTTTGGCGGCATAGATATTTTGGTAAATAATGCGAGTGCCATTTCCTTAACACCCACACTGAATACGGATATGAAGAGATATGATTTAATGCACCAAATAAATACACGAGGCACCTTCTTGACATCGAAGGAATGCCTTCCATATTTGTTGAAATCTAACCATGCACATATTCTTAATATTTCGCCGCCGCTAAATTTAAATCCTAAATGGTTTGCTCCCCACGTTGCCTACACTATGGCCAAGTATGGAATGTCAATGTGTGTATTGGGAATGGCTGAAGAGTTTCGGGATAAAGGCGTATCGGTGAATGCATTATGGCCCCGTACAGCTATACACACGGCCGCAATTGAAATGTTAACAGGGCCTGACAGCGCACAATTGTCTCGCAAACCTGAAATCATGTCAGATGCGGCTTATGCCATTTTAATCAAAGAACCGCGAAATAATGAAACTGGCCGCTTTTATATTGACGACGAAGTCCTCCAAGCCAACGGCATTACAGACTTAAAACAATACGCCTGTAATCCGGAAAATGCCGACAAGCTAATGCCTGATTTCTTTTTGGATGCTGCCGAAGATGTTAAGAATAATGCAATGGAAAATACAGAAACCACCAAAGATGCCGGAGCCGACGCTATTCCTAATCTTTTTAATAAAATTCAAACTCTTTTATCTCCCGAAATAGTTGGAAAAGTACAGGCCGTATACGAGTTTAATATAACTGGCGATGAGAAGGGCACTTGGTTCCTAGATCTGAAAAACGGATCGGGTTCATGTGGCCGTGGCTCTGCCCCCGTCCAACCAGACGCAGTCTTGACAATGAAATCGAAGAATTTCACCGATATGTTTGAGGGAAGACTTAAAGCAGCTCCAGCCTTTATGAGTGGCAAGTTAAAGATAAGCGGAGACCTACAAAAGGCAATGAAGTTGGAAAAACTAATGAAATCCTTAAAATCTAGGTTATAAAATGAGATTGTTTCTAATTATTTGTTAAATGCGTCAAATGCATATTGCCTTATATATTTATAAAGCTATTTTCTATGTTTATTCATTTCATTTTGGTTTTTTTTTTAATTTACTAGAATGTAAAAATGCATTTTATTTTGTAAAACGAATCTTGTTACGCCTGCCAATAAATTTACAATACAAAAAATACTTGTTTGAAAAATAATAAATAATGATTCACAAATTGGACTTTTGAACCAAAATGGTGTAGATAACTGGTTCAAAAGATCGTCATTTGAATGGTGGCTTATCAGGAAAGCACATTTCAAGTTATCGCAATAAGGACTTTGAAGTGCTTTTATTTAAAGTTCATTTGGACGGTTGAGTCTGGGAAAACATTTTTTTTTTTTTTTGATTAACAATTATGCGTTCTTCAAGGATGTACAGTCGAATTCGGATAAGCGAACGCCGGTTTTTAGAAAAAAAATCGGTTAATTGAAACTAAAAATGTTAAAGAATTTTCAAACACTATACTTCGCTTAAAAGAAAGCCGGGATTATTTTTGTTAACGCGACGAAATTAATTAAATTCTGCATAAGAGAAACAAATTTACTGAAATTACGCGTTTTCGCTTAATGAATACAACTGTACTTTACTTTTTAATATTGTAAATCTTGGTAAAAATAGAAGGTAACAGCAAGTGTTGTACAACAAACGATACAACAACCACATGGAAATTTGTTGTTGTAAGTTATACTAGTGTCAACGGCATTTGACAGAAAAATGTAAACAAACGAACAATTTATATTTATTTTGAAAATGTAATATTTTCGAATCCTCAAAATAAAATTGAAAAACAAGAATGAAAATCTATCAAATTTATATTTTTATCGCTCCCACATTCCCCTATAATTGATGCTGGGAATTCCGAGTTATTCCATGACAAAAGATTTGTTTCCTCAAACTTTCCCAGCAAGCAGATTGAGTGAAATGAATACGGGAGGCAATTTAATAAAGAACAATTTCGAATTGTATGCGTTCCGAATTTTCCTGTTGGGCGATTTTTAGAAACATAATTTGTCAAATTCATATTGACACTAGTATAAGGTTGGAATCAAATATTATATTGAAAATATTATCGTACTGACCTACTGTTGCAGCACATAATCTACAGACACCTATTTAATCTACGAGTGATTTATAGACCCCTAATTCTTATTAGTATTGTTTTGGTCAGACGCGGTGGTTTCAGCTTGATTGAGGATTCTGGTTAACATTTGGGTTTCGCTTGAAGATTCAGAAGATTCATTAGAAATGGAGGATGCTGGAGTTTGCAATTTCCTAAAGGACCCATTATCGATCAAGTAAGTCAGAAATATATTTTTAAAACAAAACCATTTTGGCATTTTTTCAAATGCAGGAGTCTAGCGTCGTTTTGTTGGCGGGACTTTTTTGAGATATTGCTTTTGTGAAATGTATGCGGCATAAGTAGGGCTACATGTGGTATATTTAGACGCTTTGAACCTAATCGCCATTCTTTCTCCATTGGATTTGATAAGTTACGAAAAAAACACAACAAAGGTTGAAAGCATTGGTATCGTTTTGGGAATAGAACACATAGTTTGGTACAAGAGCCACTGTATATGTATTGATGCGTAGAGGCTGAACGCATTGCATTTTATAAGTTGCCATAAAAATATCACAACACCACAGGTTGAATTCATTGGTGCAGTTTTGGGAAGGAGACACGCACAGTTTTATTATTCGTGTTCCAGAACGTTCAATGCTACAAAACGTTCCCTTACGATGGAAACTAGCAATGCCAACTTCCAATTTTGTTTTGTGCTCAATTTTTATATTTAGGAGTACCAGTAGTCGGCTCTTTGGAACGTTCATATTTTCATTTTTCTTTCTAAGTACATTTTCTGTACATTTCTAAATACATTTCTGCTATTATAAGTACATTGTAACTTCTTAATTGTATTATGATTCATCTTCTTCAATGCAATAAACATAGATCTACTGGGTTTACCAAATCCAGCACAGTGTGAATTTACAATTACACATAGTTTCAAGGTTATATTGTAAACCCCACTCAAAAACATTTTTGTAATTAAATAGTAATTTGAATTATACACCTGTCGGCTACAGGAAAAACCTGACCAATTTCCTCCTCCTCGATAGGATAAAACAAGCTATCTTTTTCGATTATATTTGCTGTTCCAGAACCTGCAAGAATCCTCTATTAATGGAAACTGTATTCCATATATACTTTATAAAGTTTTACCAATTGCTTGAGTAGGTAACCGACAAATTGTATAGAACCATTTAAAAACATTTCCTTTTTTTGTATAAATGGATCGGTCTTTAGAGTTATTTTGAAAAATATATCCCCTATATAGTGAACACCTTGATATAGTGAACTCCTCGAAATAGTAATTAGGATTTTCAATACGCAGTCCTCTAAACGATAAACCCCGTAAATCTGCTTCTAAAGTCAATCAATAAATTTCGGAGCGTAAGAAGCAAACATTTTGTAGCGAAATCTTCCAATCAACTTAATAACAAGCTGGATACTGTGAAAAAAAACGTTCACTATGTCAAGACGTGTCGTTACAAATCGTTTGAAACAAAATGCTCACCAATTTGTTTCCTAAGTAATATTATGGTAATGATGGCGTCTACTGGCACATGCCGACATTAGGAGCCCTTACCGTGTATGATGTGAGTGAAATGCATTTCTTAATGAAGTTGTTAAGTTTATTGAGACTTATAAAAAAACATACAACGCATTAACAATAAAATTTCTATACATATATCGGCCACTTAAAACTATAATGTATTGTTTTAATTTTAATGTTTGGAGGATCAAGTACCAATGGTCAAACCATTTTAAATTGTATCTTTCCTTTTATGGACATTATCACTCTGATTTGTAAGGTGCAGTTGGCCACATATTCATAACAGTCTATTGTCGTTTCTAGCGATTTAATTACCAGCGGCACAAATTTTGAGATAAACACAAATTTCGACGAAGGCTTCACCAACGATATCTATGACGAACTAAATTTAGGATCCGACGATGAGCAAGAAGACGATTCTAAAAGTGGCATTGATCAGTCGTTGTTGGTTTCACCATGGACAAAACCATTTGAGGAGTTGAAGAAGCACATGCTACAATTAAATGAGAACATTTGGAAAAAAATTACCAAGGCTGGAGATAAAAATGAGGGCGTTGTGCCCCCCATCAATGCTAGAGCGTGTATTCGTTATAACGCCTACTGGGAAGGTGAAGGTACGCCATTTGACTCGACGTTTTTAAGAGGCTCCTCCTACAGCTTTTACACGGGACGCAACGAAGTCCTTCAAGGTTTAGAAGATGCAGTCTGTACTATGCACAAGGGAGAAAGCGCACAGTTTCTTATTTCATACCATTTGTTATTTCGCGAAATGGGATGTCCACCACGGGTAAAGCCAAAGGCCGACGGCTTGTTTATTATTGAACTGGTTGGCTACAATTTGATTGGAGACATTGACGCCGAACAGCAAATACCCGAAGAAGATCGCGACAAATATTCAGTGGTAATCGATAAAGTCAAGGAAATCCATTTAAAAGGATTGGACTTTTTCTCCCAAGGAATGTATCGCAATGCATGTCGGGCATTCGAAAAGGCACTCGACCTTCTAAAATTCAGTCGCTTATCCAACGAAGACGAGGAAAAAGAGCAATCTGCATTTCTTCTCAAGCTCTATACTAATTTGGCTGTATGCTACATAAAAGTAAATGCTCCTTCAAAAACCTGCATAATGTGTAAAGAAATCAGGCACTTGACAAACAATAAGCCTTCGTGTAAAGCTCTTTTCCAAGAAGGCAGAGCCCTCCATATGTTGGGTGAATATGAAAAGGCTCGAAGTCTACTGATTAAAGCTCAACATATGGAGCCACATAATTTAGATATTAGCGCAGAGTTAAAACTACTAGAGGAACGGTACAAATCCTACAAGGAGAGCGAGAAAAAATTGTGGACAAAGGCTATGGGTCTGATCAAAGACGCAGAGGGCGACGCAGCAAAAAATAACACCAGTGACATCGATGAACTCGAAAAAGAAATGTTAAATCTCATGACAAACTTTAAAGACGACAAGAATCAAAAAAATTTGAAATTGCCATCGGGACTAACAACCAAGGAAATCGAAACACTCGATAATTTAGCCAAGCGTTTGGATCTGAAGCTTACGCTAAATACACTGGATACTACCCAATACATAATCATAAAGAAGACGTGAATGTAACACATACATGTGTTTGTATGTATTCTCTTATATCTAAGAAATATACATGTCTGGAGTAGTGGTAACGAATCTCCCTTGCGCTGTTATATGAGGAAATTTAATTAAATGAATAGGAATTTCGTTAACTTGTCATATTAAATGAATTATTTTTATTAATGTATATAAATAATAAAAAATGAAAAAAGCAATTCTGCATTTGCTATTTGGAAGTATGTACATACACAATTATGTATTTACTGTAGGAGGATCCATGTCCGACATAATATAGTTATTCTGTATATCTGCAAAAACCAAAAGAAGAAGATGACTCTGGACTTGGCAAATTAAATGAATTATTTTTAATGTATATAAATAATCAAAAAAGTAATTCTGCGTTTGCTATTTGGAAGTACATATATATAATTATGCATTTACTGTAGGAGGATCCATGTCCGACATAATATAGTTATTCTGTATACCTGCAAAAACCAAAAGATGACTCTGGACTCCACACGTGTTTACGCCAAATAAATCATTATTTTTACATGGACGTGATGGTATGGTATGGACATCACTTATATCGACGCGAAATGTGTAGAACGAAATACCATTGTTTTCATGACTCAGACCATGACTCCATTTCAGAAGCAATCAAAATCTGATTTCGCGTTTTTCTTGAAAGTGAAAAAATGAAACACATTTAAACCTTAGTTATGTTAAATAATCATAATTATTCTATTATTTTTAAAGTTCCATTCTGATAATTTCTTGTTATATTAGTGCCTTAAACCCAGTGTCATAAAATATCTGTCGATTTAATTAATACAATGGTCATCATTTAAAAGATATATAATTATTTTACATGTTGTAATGAATCAACCACCCGCAGGGTAGCGTTAAAAGAAGCAGATAAAACATATTTTACAAGGCACATTTAATTTTGTTTTATTTGTTGTTTCAGAAGCCTACATAGAAAATCCAATAAATAAGTACGATATTAGACGAGAACCTAAGCCTAAAAAATATTCATGTTTGGTGAAAACATAGTCTAGAGTATTAAAAGCCTATGATTTACATACATAGGTTATTAAATATAACATTATTTACACTTAAATTAGTACTAGGTATTGAAACTAAAAATCGGGATCGTAATCTCGTGGGTAACGCGACCTGCCATTTTGATTGTTGTACGTATACATCTGATGGGCATCGGCAAACGCATCAGGATACTGGAACTGATGGCCATACATTTGCTGTTGATGTTGTAAACTAGCAGAATATTGGGAATGAGGCTGGTGCTTCAGAGACCGCTGCAGTGAATCTCCTTTGTGCGAGTAATTATTCTGGGAGTCGTAATAATAGTCACCATGGCGTGTTGAACGCCAACTGTCATAAATATTAGAGCCACTACTGTCGTGCAGGGAATTTGTGAAACGCTATTTTGGGGAATACCAACCAGATTATTGTTATTTGTCGCTGAGATGTAACATTATGAACATACCTTGGGTTTTATTGGCTGCTTTGTGTCATTCCAGGCATCATCTATATTATAGAAGTCGTCGACGCCATAATTGTCCACTCCTCCCATATGATTGATCTTTAAGTCGTTGATCATGTCATTAGTTAAGGGAATTGGTGCCTTCTTGGCTCTCTTCTGACGATTGAGGAGCTATATGGTAAGGAAATGTATTGATTGTGTATTTAAGGGTCCCAGTGGTATATACGAGTTAGTGTAAAACTTACCACAGTCACGCCAAATATAACAACGAATGCCAGAGAGCCAACTCCAATAACGATTACGACAATGGCCCATTGTGGTATCAATAAATCTTCTTCAGCGAATTCCACATTAGATGTTTGGGATTTAGGTATAACTATAAGTAAAGATGAAGGTAATCCATTATATATCGATTATATATATATATATATATATATATGTATTCCATACCTGAAAAATCGGTGGCAACAGGATCTATGACATATTTTCCCATCACAAACGATTGTTTGACTAGTTTCTCTCCTTTAGATTCGGAGTCCTCATTTCCATCGTTGTCTGTTTCATTTTCGGTTTCTGGTGGCACAATTGCCTGCGGCATTAAAGCGTCATGGAAAAGTTGCTTGATTTCCAGAGTATTTACGTCTTCTGTTATATTTGCCAGTTCCACATAATAGTCTACCAAAACGCTTCCTTTGCTAAAGCTGTCAATGCGAACCTTTTTGTACCACTTACTTAGCTGGGGAGCCGTGGAGTACACCTCATTTAACTGTTGGAATAATAAATTGAGATTTATCGAATGTACTGAATTCCCTGTTTATTCCCATACTTACTTGTGCTTCCACATCTCGGGCAAGTGTTTTCCATTCGACGGTATTATGATCCAATAATTCAGGTTTCCAGGAAACTCCATTAATAATTTTTATGGTAGCCGCTAAATCACAGTCCGTTGTACAAAAACCGGGTTTAGTTGGTTTTGGTGTGGTGGTCGTCGTCGTGGTTGTAGTTGTTGTCGTAGTCGTAGTTGTTGTTGATGACAGGATATCACTTAGGTCGACCGTTGCAGTTCTAGCCTGTTCCAAAAGTTTTTCTATCGAAATTGGTGTGGTTGAAGGAGTTGGCCATCCTGTAAACTCGGTTGTAGCCCGAGTTGGTGGACCTTTCTTAATAACGATAGCTGGTGAATTGGATCCGTCACTGGTGTCGGTAGACTTCGGTGTAGTTAATCTATGAGCGCCTAAACGTTTATGGAATCCTTTGGGAAAAACGACTTTAAGACCACCTCCTGAGGCACTTTCTGTCGAAGTAGTGGCCTTTTCGGTTGTAGTCGTTGTACTGGTACCACTTGCAGTGGATTGTGATGTTTCGCTGCTAGTATTATTAATTTTAAAGTCGGGAGGTAGCAAAGAGGCAACCTCTTTAAATTCAATCTTTTTCAATATATCACCAGTTGCTCCATTTGTTGTTTCCGTTGGCTTAAAATCTTTTGGTAACAACATGGATATGTCAATGGGCTCAGGGTCAGTTTTTACATTAGGTTTCTTTGTTGTTCTAAGCTTATAACCCGGAGGCAAGAATTTAGAAATGTCCTCCTCTCCGACATCTTTATAATTTTGGTTCAGTTTATTTCCTTTCGTAGTGGGGGTTTCTGGTATTGCTGATACTGTTGTAGATTCTGCCAAGTTGTAACCTGGAGGTAAAAATTTAGATATATCATCTACCAATGCTATGTCTGGCTTTGGAGTCGATGAAGTCGGTTTATAATCCTTTGGAAGCAGCTTTTCCAGATTATCCTCGAATGTAATTTTACTGAGAATGTCGTCCAAACTATTAGTCGTCTTTTCCGTTGTCGTTGATAATTTATATCCCTTTGGCAGTAAGCCTGCTAGTGAAATATCTTGCACTGCAACTCCCGTATTCTTAAATGATCTACTTATAGTGGAGTTGCGCGCCGGCTTTTTGGTCTCTTCTAGTTCTTTGACATTTATTTCTGTTGTCGTAGTAATTTTGCGATCCTTGTATGGTATTTTTGCTTTATTATAACCCGGTGGAATCAAACTAGATAGTTCGTCCATTTCGGTCTCATCGAAATGATGAACCTTGACCTTCGGTGCAGATGTTGTTTTCGGTTGGAATTTGCGAATGTTGGGTGCAAATTTCGAGACCGCTGTCGATGTTGTCGCTTGGGTTGAAACGTCCATTTGGCTAATAATGGGGTACTTTCCAGCCAAGAGACCACTTGATAGCTCCGACTGGACGCGATCTAATTTGTCAATGATGCTTTCCGTGGAAGATGACAATTGCGTTGACGATGAGTTTTCTGATGACTGCTCAATACGAACGGTGGTAGCTGGTTCGGATTCCTCACTGCCATTGGGTTGTTCAGAAAAGCTGTCCTGATCTTTTTTGTTGGCTTTTGCTTTGGCATTTCGCTCTAACTCGGATAGTGATTTCTTAGACTCCTCCTGCTGAATAGCCGGGAAGGGCAAGAATCGGGCACCGTTGATGCTGCGGCTTGTCTGAATGGAAGCAACGACGACGTAACCTTCGGTGGCGTTGTTCTCTGAATTTTCCTTTTGGGTTGGAGGCGTAGGTGTTGTTGTAGCTTCATTATCGCCAGCGCTTATTTCTTCAGAAGCGGGTGAAGACTTGTTGTCCGTAAATATAGCATCCTCCTCCATTGCGATTGTAGTAGTCCTTGGTGTAACAGGTGGTATTATGAGAGTTGTTCCGTTAACAATTGTTTTACTTGTAACCACTGTAATTATTTCCCTAATCTCGATATCGGGTTCTTCTGTGCTTGCTGGTGTTGTTGTACTTGTTGTCATTTGAGCTTCTCCGCTATTCAAGTTCTGCGGCTCGTTGTATCCTTCGGCGCTTTCTTCTACGGTTTCGTCATATTCCTCTTGATCGTATTCAGCACTAGTTTCATTCAATTGACCTTCGCCTATAGATTCGGTTGTTATCGCTAACTCTTCCGTGGTGGGTGCGACCTTTTCTTCGTCTGGCATAGGCGTACTTTCTGTAGTTGTAGTTGTTGTAACAGACATATCAACAGTAAGAGGAGATGTTGTTGTAGTAAGTGGAATCACAGTGGCCTGAATTTCGTCCTCATCAAGCTCGTGGTATTCTTCTTCAGACTCGGATGACTTTACTGTTGTATTCTCAACCAGCTCTGTCGAATCAATGAGAGTAGTATTCTCTTCATTGCTATCATCGCCATCTTCTTGGCTTTGTCCGTATTCTTCGGAATAATTTTTGTCATAATCTTCATCGGACTCTGCTGGGCCTTCATGTCCTGATGTATTTTCAGTGGCATTTGTATTAGAAAAATCTCTCACCGCGTCGGTTTTTGAAGTATCTGCACTGGAAGACTTAATGTTCGGATTTGCTTCAGCTTCATGCAACTGCAATTTCTCAAAAACGGGTTCCTTGACCTCGTCAGTTGTCGATTTATTATTTTCAGACACATCTTCTTCGTCCTCGTAGCTCGCACTTTCATTTTCTTTACGGGTGAACTGTGTTTGCGGCAATGCCGGCCTAAAAGGCGTCGAAGATGGAGAGATCTGCTGTTTTAGGATTTGGCTTTTCAGCGGTATTTTAACCCGTCCAGGCTTAGGCGGCGCATAAGGTTTCTGTATTTTGGAACTTTGTATTGGTTCATTTACTTCGCGACTAATAAAGGCTGGCCTTCGACTAGTGAACTTGTTTTGCGAAACCCTACTAAGTTCAGGGTTGTTAGAGCGCAAACTACTCGGCGACGGTGACGCTTTAAAAGCATTTCTGTTAGAGCCGAATCTGTTGTATCGTTTTGTGGTAGTGCCCTCAGTCGATGTAGTCGGCGTACTCGGAGTATTGGACTGAAAACGTGTCCTTGTATTGCGGAATGGCGATTTTTGTGGTAATGCCGGGCCAACTGGACTGTCTGAACTATGCGGTTGTGCGACAGCAGGACGATTGCGATTCACGCTAGGTTGAAACCCTCCACCGCCGAATGGACGAGCTGCTGAACTGCCGAAACCTGTCGACGGCAAACGATTAGAAGCTTGCTTATCACCCTGAAATTTAAAATTTGTCATATTAACGAACAGATTTGTTTTGTGGAAGTATTAAAATACAAACGAAAATAGATTGGATTGGTATTGATCTTGATACTTTTGACAAAGGTTTAATTACAGGAAATGCTGATGTTGATTTAAAATGTTCACTTGTTTGTTCGCTTCTTGATTGTCTTTTTACGTTTGTTCCTATTGTTAGGAAAAAACTTAAGTACTTTGGAGAACCTTGGATGGATTCTAGTGAGGGATTTAGCTTTTTTTGGCGTTCAAACTGACCAATCTCAAATAAGCTGACAAATCTATTGCAAATACAGAAATAAGGCTAAATAAATTATACGCAAAAGGAGGAGACTCCATTTCGCTGGGGTTTTTGGAATATGGACACAACTATGGACCCAAAAGTTCTTGATGTTTGGGGAATGACAGTGATAATACCAATATTGATGTTAATGATATTAACGATTACTTTGCGAATACTTGTAATACTAATACTGACGTGTTTTTGAATGTTGATGAATTCCATTATTTGGATTCGTCATTTTCGTTGTGTTGTGTAGATGAAGGAGAGGTAATGGAGACAATGGATAAAGTGAAGTCTAACTCTGTTGGAATCGATGGCATACCTATATATTTTATCTAACTTATATTTCCTTACATCTCTGATATAATTTTAAACCTTTTCAACTCTATTTTAACATCTTCTGTTTTCCCATCTGCTTGGAAGGCTGTTCGTGTGGTGCCCTTTCCCAAATCAATTTGATCGACTTTATAAAAAATAATGGAAAATGCTTACGGCATGTGTAAACCAGGTAAATGAATGCCAATATGTCTAATGCTTTCAATTCTATCGATCACATACACCTTGTAAGTAAGTTAAGAGATGAATTTATGATCTGGTTGCAAATTAACTAATGGTCAACTCATCTAAGACTAAGGCTATATCATTTTGTTATAATAATCTTGTTTAGCCTTCTTTTAAAAATTTCTTGAACCAGATTAGAATAGATTTTTTACATCAGCATTATAGTCTCGGTAATTATTGACTTTAGAAGTCACATTGACGCTTTCTTCGTGTGGAGCATGTTACGCAGGATCTATGGGTAAGAATGTATACCTTCCTCACCGAATAAAATTAATGCCAGCTAATTCTCTTTTACTATCTTAGGGTTTGTACGGACTTGAGGCCTATTCGGGTACATTCAGTATAAATATTGATAAATTAAAACGTATTGTGAATACTATTATACGTTTTGTATACAATTTTTGACGCGATAGTCATACCTCTGCCTATGTTATTGGTTTCCTTTGATGTTCTTTGGAAATGTATTTGATTTTTTATAATCTTATTAAGAATTGTATACCTTGCGTCTTTAAACGTTTATTTCAGTTTTCACATTCAATCAGGAATCCTCAGATTTATATTTCTAGGATTTGGAAAAATATATATTCTCGGTCAGTCTTGGTAAGAGTTTGTCGTTTTTGGATTTTTTGATATTAGAATTGCTCGTTTTTTCTCATAGCAATAATGTTTTCGTCTGAAAATGATAGAGTATTTTCAGGAATTACTCGAATAGCAAGTTGTATATAACTTTATTACGTTATTACTTAACCAGTCGGATTGTGCTACCACTCATTGGACTGTTCTTCTTATCATTCCAATTTTTTTTCTTTTTTATTGGCTGGAAGCCATTATATTTGAACTACTGTTAATAATTTTATTTTAAAATTATAAGAAAACTAAAATTTATTGTTCATAAGGGTATGTTTGCTAATAAATCCACAAAGGAAGCGTGGTCAATTTTAAATAAAAATGGTTTGTGTACTGATGACTAAGTCGGGAATGTTGATGTTGAGGTTCTGAATTCAGCTTTTGTTTTTGTATCCGTAGATGTTTTTGATGTTTCTTGTATTCCTGTTGATGCTTTTGATGGTTTTTCCTTCCGTGCAATTGATTATGCTGAGGTTGTTGAAGCTTTCAATAAAATCAAGTCCACGGCAGTTGGATATGATGGATTTCAGCTAAAGTTTCTAAAGCTTGTGTTTCCCCTTGTTGGTCATTTTTTGTTACACGTTGTCAATTCTATGTTAACAATGTCTGTGTTTCCAGAGATGTGGAAAATTGCAAAGATAGTGCCTATTCAAAAAAAGAATGGTGATTCTAGTGAATATAGGCGTATGTCATGAAAGATCAAATGTTAGTTTATATTGGCGAAAATTCTCTTTTACATGAGAGCCAGTATGGATTTAGGAGTAATCGCGGCACAGCATCTCTTCTTGTTGGATTGACTGACAATATAAGGAAGACTGTTGGTGCGGGAGGTTGTTGTGTGTTGTTGTCAGTAGACTTAGAGAAAGCCTTTGACAAAATTAATCATGCTAATTTAATCAGAAAATTGCATCGTTTGTTCAATTTTTCGTCCTCAGCTTGTAAACTTATCTCGTCGTATTTGTTCGGAAGGAAGCAGTATGTTTGTTGTAAGAATGTTGTTTCTGCAATGATCCCTGTGAGTAGTGGTGTACCTCAGGGGTCTGTGCTTGGGCCTCTATTGTTTGTTATGTATGTTAATAATTTGCTAAGTTGTATTAGTAGTAGAAGCTGCATGTCTTTTGCATTTGCTGATGACTTGCAGATTTTGTTTAAAGGAGAACATGTGTTTTTAGTTGTTTTGCAGTCCTCTATACATTTAATGTGGACGTTACTTACAATATTAATGTGTAAGTAACGTGGTTATCTACAAACGGACTCTCAATTAATACACGAAAGAGTAAAGCTATGTTTTTTTGGAACTTGCAAGAGAATTCAGTAAATGTTTCCATTTATAATAATTCTATAAATGTTGTAAGCTCTATGAAATGTCTTAGTTTGTTTCTTGATAGTGGTTTGGTGTTTGACGTGCATGTTAATTCATTGGTGTCCAAGGAAAACTTTATTTTAAGAAAGTTGTACTCTTTGGATATGGCTCCACCTAAGAGCATTAGAATTCAATTGGCCCATGCATTGATTATGCCAAATTTTTTGTATTGTATTGAGATTTTTTTGGGGTTGTTGTGGATATGTTTTACGTAAAATTAAACTCTTGTTCCATAGGGTTATGCGATATGTATATTGTCTTAAACGTCGTGATCACATTTCTCCTTACGTTAAAATGTTCCTCGGTTGTACCTTTGAAAGTTTTGTGAGTTTGAGGTCAATGTTGTTATTCTACAAGGTATTTAAGTTGCAGACTCCTTCCTCTGTAGTTGATTTGTTTATGTTTTCTAGATCTGTTAGAAACATACAAATACTTGTTCCTCGTTTGTGTCCTTTATTGGAAAAAGCCTTTTTTGTGTGAATTTCTAGAATTTTCAACACCTTACCGCCCTTCTTAAAACATTTAGCTCTTCCTTAAAATGTTATCGAACACATTTATAAGATTACTTTAACCTCAATTCCTCTTAAAATTCATGGGTTTTGTTTAATTTTTTGTGTTTTTATTGCATAACTGATTTCAACATTTAAATAATTATAGCTATAAAAAATTATATTTCTTTTATATTGATGATTGTTATATAATAAGATATTTAAACCTGTAAATTGTAATTAGTGATTGAGAGTAGATATAATATTGTAGTCCATGGCCCTATGTGCTAGGTCGCTACATCAAATAATCTAATTATAATAATAAAAATGTTTTTGAAGTACAATGGTTCTGAACCCCTACAACTAAATATACGTTAATATATTATTAAGATAATACGTTGTTAGTTTTAAGCTTTTGGATTAGTCTATATTTTGTTGTCTTTTTGAATCGCTCTAGGCCCTTTGTGCTAGATTCTCGTTTATGAAATAAATTGAATTGAATTGAAAATTAATATAGTTACATAGTTTTTTACACTAATTTGGCCACGAAACACAGAAAAAAAATTGTAACCATTTGATAAAAATATTCAAAAATCCAATTAAAATTTGATTGATTTTTCGCCGATAAAAATAATGTTCATATTTACAATCGCCGATAAAAAAATTGTAATCCCATTCGAAAATATTTTGATAAAGCAATTCTCATATATACTAAAAATTTTGTTGAATTTTATTTTGTTAAATAAAATACCTTGTTTATCAAATTATTATTATTAAAATTTTCAGTATTTTAACGGCTTTAAACTAAATGTGTAGCTAAATGTGTCTATACCGAATAAAAACTTATATTTGTTATCCATCTTTTACAATCTATTCAACAAAGTACTTTGTAATAACGTAATAAAAAATAATATGGCATATTACAAAAAAATTATTAAAAATTGTCCAACAAATTTAATAATTTTTTTGGTCAAACTCGTTTGTTGATGGTTTTTTTGTGAATTGTTGGTTTTTGATAAACATTTCCGACTACGTTTGAAATATGTTATCGACATCTTTTTGTCGAACGCTGATGAAGCTTTTAATCAAAAATTTCGGGGTGGCTTTTTTTTCTGTGAAGGCTTTGTATTATATATGAATCTTTAATAAATAAATAAACGTAGCTACATGATGTGGCAACCTTCTGTTCTACCCTCATCTATGTAATAATCTTGACTATAAATTAGTATTCGGCAAATAAATATACAATTTGGAAATACACATTTAATACAATGCCATTCCGGGGCATGTGGTTTTGGACCCCAAGTAAGACGGAGTTGACTAGAGGTTTCAACGAAATATCAAAAAACAAATTATTTCGCCATTCTTGAGAAAAATGCTCTGGTTTCATGCGAAATATGCATGTTATTTCAATATTATTTGCGAAAACGAATGGCAGTCAACAATAGTTCCAATGTTGAAATTATTGTTTTTTCCTCTTCGTTTTCATTCGAACAAAAACGAAAATATTCCCACGTCCCACGTTGTTGAGTACATGGTATTAATGCTGCTGTGTGTGTTGGCATTTGTGTATCTTTGCCACTACTCCACATTTGTTTCGCACTATTTTTTTTCTCTTACTTTGGTGGCGGAGGAGGCGGGGTCATTGCTGACGGCAGTGTGGAACTTTGAATCTTTTAATTCAATTGGTGGTTTCAATACAGAAACCAAAAATCAGTTCATTGTAATTCCAACAAATTTCATGGAGTTAATACAGGGCAAACAAATACACGCTTGATGATGAAATCAATGATGGGAGTGACATTGCATATATGCAAAAGATAGAAAAAAAAAAATCACAACACGACAGGTTGAGGCAGGCGAAGGGTCAAATTGATTTGGGTGCATTTTTATGAAATATTGGCAAACAAGCAGAATTTGGAGCTTGCTCTTATATTGTTCCAAATTATGGACAAGGTTACGACGTTGCGAAGTAATTGTAATAATATTATATAGCTGCGAAGAATTATAAAAGTGAATAAAATACTTACCACGGGCTCATTGTATTGCTGAGCAAATTGTGCTTGCTGATGGGGGATATTAGCTCTTTGGGGTACAAAACTGCTACTGGGTTTGAATGACTTCGTACGCACTGACGATGTACTGCCCGTTGCAGGTGCTCCAAACGGCCTAGGCGAAATGTCGTAGTAATCATTGTTGCGATTATTCTAAAATAAATGTAAAACCTCGTTATTCGACAAGCATCTACAATTAGCATAAACGATTCCAAAACAAGTTATAATGTGTGTGTGATGGTTAAAGATACGTTATTACTAATTTGTAGCACATTTGTGCCAATTTTGGACTAGGACATATTTAACACTTAATTATATCAAGGCCACTACTTTGAAATCATAGAAAGGTCAGTTCACTTAATAGTTCTGTTATCGTAATAAAAATCTGATTTCATGGTCAATAGATAAAGGATTTTTTTAAATACAGAAATAAATCTATTATTAAATCTATATGGTGTGAATAATAACAGTTATATACGATGCCTGGGTGCTTGGAGAAATTAACTTCTGATTAAAGTCATTTTAATATTAACATTTAAGTTAAGTCGATAAATTAGCTGGTGTGTGAAGTATGTTTTATATGGCTACATAACAACTAATCTTATCAACATATCATGGTACAATTATAAGAAGGTAGGTAACTGCAAGAAAATATCTTTCTTCATTGAATAACTCGCAATTCCCTGCATTTTCATATGTGTTACACATATAAGTGGCAATGGCTCAATTATAGGAAAGATGTGGAAGCGATAGAAATATAAATTTAATAGATTTTCATTCATATATTTTTTTCAAATTTTATTTTGAGGATTCGAAAATATTTCCTTTTTAAAATAAATATAATTTGTTTATAATTTGTTTGTTTGTTTAAATTTTTCTGTCAAATAAAGAATCTACTAATTTTACAAGTTTTGCAACTTTTTTACTCAAAACCGTTCTTTATTAAAAAAGTACTGGAACAGTCCATATGTTTTGTTTACATTTTTTGACACTTCGCCGATCTTATATAGGCCTTTCCGTATACCATGCCATTATAAAATATATTTTTAACACTTACCGAATATTGAGGGTTATTAAATGACGAGAAAGCTGGAGATGTTAGTGGCTGACTCTGTGGCTTAGCTTCATTGCCAATGAATAAAATTTGTTCCTGATATGAACCCGGTTGACCTGGGCCACTTCTATATTGTCTCCCGTTTTGATAGTGAGAAGATGGTACAAATCGGTTTTGAGTATTTGAGCTGGCCAAATAGTATTCTGAAATTAAAAAAGAAAATGTTTTTATTCGTAAATAATGAAATACTACAGACATTTTATTATTAAATGTTCTATCAATAAGAAAAAACACGGCTCTTTTGTTTCCTCTTAATAATCGGAAAAGCAGTCTATAAATTAGAGGTATTTTGCTGATGTTCGTTTTTTACTACATCTACATCTTTCTTATATGTTCCCAATAGTGTAAACGTGCAACTTGCTTGTTTGTACATATACATTAAGAATATCACTGCAGCAATGAAATATTTTCCATGTAGCCAATGTGCATTCACGGCTTTGCATTTTTTTATATTTTAGTTAATGTAATATTGCCAATCGTGTTAAATGATGGTGTACTGAAAAAATAGGAACAATTAGAGCGTCTTAGCAAATGCTTAACTGGTGGTATACACGCAAGTAGATGTTGCTTATTATCAGCAAACATTCGATATGCAAAAGCTACACCCTATACAAATACATTTTTGTGAACGGATCCATTTTTGTTGTTGAAAAGTCTTAAGAATATCAAAACATTTTATTGTTGCTGAATGTGGTTGTTATTTCTTGGCCGATTGAAATAAATTCCTTTCATGCTGTAACAGCATTTAGTGCAATCGTCTACCTACATCAACTGAAAATAACACAGCCGACTTTTACAAATCTGTCACAACTTGTTTGCTGCAGACGAAAAAATAAAACAGCAAAAGCTGTTATTTCCGAATTGCCTTTTTCCTTATTTAGACAAATCCAGAAGTACAACATTACATCGACACACACACATTAACTGTTTAATGGTCTGCAAGGAACATAAAGTTGTAAGGTTATGCGGCACCCGTTAAGCGTATTTAAAGCTTTTTTTGCCTTATGTTGTAAGGAACTGGTTATCAACTCAAGGACAACTAGTGAAGCGGCAATTGCCCTGTTTTCATCATTATACATGAGTTTGTAATGTCCACCGCCTTGAGATTATATTTTATGCAGTTGGAGTGTTTTCGAGATGCGTAATTTAATTCATAAAATCTGGAAAAGAGTAACTGACCACTGACTGAAAACTTTTGTAAATATTTAGTTTTGTTCTATATTATTTTTATAGCGGAAATATGTTCGTAGGTTAAGGATTTTTTAGTTGTTAAGCCACAATTTATTTATTGTGTTCTCAGTTTTCTTTGTTTAAGAGGGCAGATGACTAATTGCTCAATAATGTGTTTCCCAAAGAGAGCGTTTTTTATATATTGCCAAAGGTAATGTTCATATCTCAAAAAAGCTATATTTTGTAACTTTTTTAGGGACTTATTTAATTTTTAATTTGGGGAGTTGTTTCATTATGGAAAAACTCGCTAAATTCAAATTCCCCACCTATTTTCACATTAAAATTTTGCACATGAATAAATATAGCCCATAAGAACGTATATTCAGTAGATTAGAATGATTATATTTAGTTGACCTTGGCTGTGCTCCGACGAGGTACGATTTGTACGTGCGTCAACGAAAATAAAAAATGTTTTTTTTTTCATATGTGATTAACATTATATAGAAATGTGTGATTTGTTTGTTCGAGGGCACGTTGCATGGGCTTTACTTTCACACTTCCATAAAATTATAGCAGTCTGCATTGCAAGCTTCCGCTTTTGCATTAGGCATATTGGGCTATTTGGCTTTGGGAATGTCGTATGTTGATAACTTGTAGTTATACTCAGTTAATGCGAAGTTGCATCTGCAAATTAAATGAAATTTTATCAATTCTATTTTATCAGAGGACATTTCTCTTCTCTCTAGAAACAGTAATTTTCAAAGCAGATTTTTATTACTTAAAAATAATAATATCCCTTACAGGCAAAACTCAAATAAATATTATATTTTGATTATTTAAAATCTGTTTTCAAATTACGCTTTGAAACTATTTTTGTTAGTTGATAGAAATTAAAAATCTTATTTGTCATAGATGTCATATGTGTTTATGTCTCAAATTGAAAGAAAAATTATGTAACTCCTAGTTAATAAATTCTCTGATTGATAATAGGAGTGTTTCTGTTCCATGACTGGATTGCCCACATTCCAGCACTACTGCTGCTGCCAGCAGCAGCTATCAACAGAATCGCATTCGTCGCCCATACATACATACAGACATAGTTTATACTATAGACTGATCTCTTTGTTACCCATTCAGCAGCTTGTTGTTTTTTTTATTTTGTTGTCTCCAAACTGGTTTGAAATGAATGCATAAATCTCTCGTTTGGCGGATGAAATTTCAATGAAGTGATCGCTTACTTAAGTTTATATTTTTAATGCTTGAATTTGTCTTTTTTCCAGAGACACCAATGTTTCATGTTAGCTTTGGTTTTGTTTTTTTTCTCTCCAGCGTCAATTTCTGCCTGGCGTGATGTAATTTTCGTTCGTATTATGTAGTCAGCGTGGATTTTGAAATGGCCTTTAATTTCTTTGAACTTCCTCTGGGATTTCATTATAATTAATAACATAAATAACAATAATGATGAGCATGCCATCATTAGAGCCAATGTTGATGGTCGTTATTGAAATATTTGTTAAAGCTAATGACATAATAGGCGGAAAGATCCTATGTTCAGGTGGATGAATGCATGTTTTGGAATTTTCATACTTTTTCCAATCAATAAAATACTTAAAATACATGCTCTATCCCAGAACATGGAGCAATTTTCAATTATTCGATTTACTGAGTACGTGAACGAGCCAATGACGTATGATTGAATGCCGCGTAAAGACAATTAACCATTAAATGTCACCATTCTACTGCAACGGCTCTCTGCAGTTGACAAAGCAAAACAATAAATGTAAAGGGGGCTTACGTACAAATATGTGTATAGATGACATTTGCTGTTGTCGCACAAAAACAAAACGCAACAAGTGTTTCATTCGATGTTATGATGTTCATGGCAAATAAATTGTCAATTTGCTAATTGTGGTGTTAAGTGGATGGAAGCGCTTTTTTAGTTTTGCTTTCGTCATGTTAACAGGCGAAGGCGATAATGATAATGCTACGACGACCGGGTATAAAAACCTGAAGCGGTTACATTTTCATTTTCAACCTTTGTTCATTTTACCATAACGAACAGTTATCGTTGTTACCGTTAAGCTATGCCATTAGATTAGAATCGTTAGTTAATTGAGGAGAACTTGAAAAATGGCTTGGATGTTTGCCTCTTTTTTTGTTTGTTTGGAATCAACCAGCTGTTGTTGTGTCTGTTGCATTTGTTGTACAAAACAAACATTGCTCCAAATATCCAATGATCTGACCAGAAAGGGAAAAGTAAAATAAGGATTTTAGAAAAAATAAAACTGAACTAACTTAGCTGATTTGTTCCTTCTAATTGTTGTGGTGTTATCGGAGCATTGGTCGCTCATTCACTTATCACTAATAAGATAGCAAACATTAGTTTGTTTATGTCCCTCAATTCAATTAATAATCTTATTATTGCCATTAAATTACATAATTAAAAATTTTCTTTTTTGTCACCGATTTCATAGAAGGGCCGCCGACCGAGCAGTCTTGTATTCGACAATAACTTTCATTTAATTGGTTTCACTTGACATTGCTTTTGCGCTTAACTTTCAGTTTTCTCTGTTGTAATTGGCGTTGGGTGTTTTATTTTCACAACGGACAATGTCACATGATACAACAACAAGCTAGGCAAGACCACGGCTGTAATTACATTGTTTTAGTTATACGCATTATGACATATTTCCTAACCACTGAAAGAAAGTGAATAGTTAATGTAAAATTACAGGCAACATAAAATACAATATAGTTTATTAAAAAATATATCAATGGTTTTCTATAGTCCTCATATCATATAAATTAAATAATATATTTTTTTATGAAAACAAAGTTATAAAATTTGTTTTTCTTTTTCTTATTATTTATTTAAATCTTTATTATTGGAAAATATAAGCATTAAAACAGAATTAAATTTTTTTAAATTAAAAAAAGTTGGAAATGCGAACAAAACTTAAGCACTCCCTAATTTAAAGTACAGAAACTATTAAAATGAAGAAGAACTTCTATCGAATTGTTGAAGAAACCACTCCTTAACCATTGTTAGCGTAAGTTTTGGATCGTTATCTCCCTTGGAATGTCAATCTAAGAGGCATCTCTTCCTCAGGATAAGAAAGAATCACGTTTGTTAACTCACTGTTCTTTAAAAGAACGCAAAAAAATGAGAATACCACTGCAAATGAATTTCTCCAAATTATCATTTTATTATTGTATCTTGTTCTATACTCTAGCTTTAAGCTAATAACCAATTTAATTGAAAAATAGTCATTTATTAATAAAATATTTAAGTTTTAAAATCCATTTTTTCTACGAATACCCTTATATCATCTAAATCCTTTAAATTGGGCTTAGATTCGTCATTGTACATACATTGTACATGTACCAGTTAAGATAGACGTTGACGAATTCAAGTCTTTTTTTTAAGAAATATAAGTTTTCCTGGTCGTTTACTGTATAACCCACCCTTTAAAACTTTTCTGTGTATCTTTATTTGACTAATTTTGAAATGTAGACGGCTCCAAATTTGACTAGAGGATGCAGTGGAATCATTTGAGATTATCCTTTTAATTCCAATAGCTATTCAGATCGCCATATTTTGCGTGGCTTCCCCCAATACGAGTAGAAGAATTGCGAATAGTTTTCAAAAACATGTTAATTAGCCGAGAAATTATTGATCTGTTATTGGATGAATATATCGCATTTCCGATTTAAATTTTTCAGCATTTTAAAAAAATCGTTTTAATGCTGAATTCTTTATGTTTGTATTTTTCAATAATTAAGATATAAATAATAAGACATATAAAAACAATTTGTATAACTTTGTTTCCATAAAAAATATGATTTATAGATTCTAACGATTCTAACTTTAATAGATCAATATGAAATACCCTTAGTTTCTTTCTTTAATACACTTATACATGGTACCATGTCCAATAAGTTTTAAAATTACGATGGGCTTTAATTACATTGGGACTTGACTGGCAAGAGAGGGTCAATTAAATTTATACTAAAACATATTTAGAAATCAAAACAAAACCAAAAACATTTCGCTTTCAACATGTTTTTCATTTTCAACTCAAATGGCTAACAACAGGTGTCTAAATTTATGTAAGCTCCTACTATTGGCGCGCAATAATGCTAAATACTAGCACAAAGCACCTAGCAAACGGCTTGGTTATTTTTGTTTTTGTATTATTTCTTAACAACCCCCACTGGCTTATTTCTTTCTGAGTTCCAGAAGCCAACTTGCTCGAATTGCAAATGCTATGTCCAAATCGAGTTAGTCTAACAGCAGCAAGTCGGTGCTGTTGAAAACAAGAAAAACTCGTTGGAAAATTTGTTTATTTACAATTTTATTGCAAACGCCATTCCAACAGCTCCGTTTATAGTCCAATACATTACGCTGGCTGTGCTTGTTGTTGGTTGGACTAAAACGACATTATAGACGTACACCAACACATGCCGACACAGATACATCCAGTCTCGCATCTCAAGAGATACGTACTGCACCCGAAGCTGTGGTGGTGGCGGTCTAGTGTTATGCTCTAGAAAAAGCATGTCTGTTTTCAGATATTCGCAACAAAAAACAAACGCAAACTCACATTATTACTAAAAGATTTTTTTTTTTGCTTGAATAAGAGGTTGTTTTTGTCGTTTTCCCTGAACAACACTGGTCTATTAAATATTATTCTTTTTTTTTTTCTTTGGTGATTAGATGGAAAAGAAACTACTTTCGGTTAGATTGTACGTACATTGTTAGTGCAGGAATAAGTAACGACAACTTGAATCTAATGCAAAAGACTCGACCACTGACAGCATTTTTTTGCAGTGAGGAAATGTAAATTAAAACGACATTAAGTTAGGGTGGGGGCAATGTATACCCATTAAATCCTTTATACAATCACATATAGGGCGTCATTTTTTAATCCAATTGATTTGTATATCTTCCACCATACTGTGGTACAGGGTATTATGACTTTGTGCATATATTTGTAATAATATTATTTTCAATAATGGTTATTTTTAATTTTTTGACTATCGAAAATCGTAACAAAACAACAACTTCCTAGCAGTAACAGAAAATTCCCAAGGATTGTTTTCATTAAAAATGCAAAACAAACCATAAAGAAATTTTTAAAAGAAATAATTTAATTAAATGAGGAGAAGGATTTATACAGCACATTGAATTATATTTAAATTTTGTGTCCATTCCTAAAAAAAGTTTCAAATAACTCATATTGTATTTTATTTCAAAGCTGTGAACGGGAACACGTGTTCTACGCGAGCATCGTTGTTGGTACACAAATCATATTTGATACTAGTCCTATCATTTCTTCAAATAGTTTTGACTCAAGAGCACCCTGAGATAAATTAAAGTTGCTCCAAAAATTATTCGATTTTATTCTCTCCATTTCACACATTTATTATTTTTTTTCATTCCTTCTAAAACTTAAATTCGCTTGCTCAAATGATTTGCAATAATAATATTATCTCCTGCTCAAAATCATATACCAAGTTCATTAATTATATCGAATACATAATCCCCTGATCCCCAAACCAAAAAAAATCGATCCCCATTTGCACACAAAAATCCCCAAATTGGGGGAAAATCCCCTAAACTGGCAACACTGCAAACATAAACTGAAAACCATATTACAGCATTCAGAGACAAATTTTTAAGGATCTTGGAAAGAAATATTATTATAATCATTTTTCCGATATTTAACTTATTAAAAAAAAACTTGTAAAAATACATCAAATAGACAAAACAACCTGTTAGATATGTTTATATGTAAATATGACATTACACAAGACTACAGTTTTTTTAATTTGTCAAGTAATTTACAAGCTGTAGGTAAAATCCATGGTACATATACACGGTAACTGTTAAACTACACCGAATCCAACTTAACAACAAGCACCAAGGTGTATGCATCAGATACAACAACAAATATTTTACAAAAACAACATTGTTGTTATAGAAATTAAATTGTCATGCTGACAATAAGTTTTTGACAAAAATAAACAAAAACAATTATTAATTTATTTTTGTCAAGAACTATTCTTTTAGGAATAATTAATGAATTTGTGTATTCTTGGGTTATTGGCGGTTTTTAGGTGAATGAAAAAGAAAGTTTAAGACCTCGTCGCGATTAATTTTAAGTTTCCCACATGCAGCCCATGGCTCCTTGTGATGTTGTTTATTGTATGTCCTTTAATTTCAATCCCCGCCCAAAGACTAAATCATGGAAATTGTGTTAACCGTATAAAATCATTCTATTGGCGAATTTAACCTCCGCCGAGGATTGTGACAAGCACCAAGGGGCCGATTCCAATATAGGCTAACATAATCTCCACGATTTCATGAGTAGATTTCCGCACATAACATAAAATATGTGGACCAATCGGCGAACGGGAATATAACTCATTTAAGCATAGGTTTCCTTTCCGTCCGCCTTTATGAATGTATTTTCTTTAATTTTTATTATTAAAAAAATACTACATTTAAAGACCATTGTTGAAATCGAAATGTAATATTGAAAATGTTTTTGAAAATTTACTTTACAAACAACAAGGAAAAAAGTTTGAAACCATATGATTATCACTTACACCTTATTAAATTCGCCTTGACAAGCACATAGAAACATGTTATTGTTTTTTTGACATGTTGAAAAATGAAATTTCAATAAATATATTTATTTTCAAAATGTAATATTTTAATTTTTATTTCACTGTTAAAATATATCCTATCACCTGAGCTTTACAGTTTTCTTGTATAATTCTACCGCGATAAAAGGTTCGTTAAAATATATTATTTACATTAGGCAATTTTACTTGCGGTGAAATTTTAATTTAAAAAAAAAAACTTTTCAACTGAGGAACTCGATTTAAGAACTCATAGTAATTGTTTCATGAAATCATAGACGAGAGGTTTCTCGACTATTTGAAATTACAGATTCAAATGTCATATTTCCCACAAAATAGTGCTTAATTTTTTTCTTTTGTGTTAAGCGACAAACGATGGCCAAAATAATCAAAAGTCTTGGCCGACAACTTGCTTATTTGTTAGCCAGCAGCTAAAACAAATAAATTTGAAGAAACCATTTGGCTTTTCTGCAATAAGTATCGTTGGAAACCTGCAGTTGACCTCATCTAGCCTGGAGAAGAATTGATGCTATTGAAGCATACTCCATAATTATTACACTTTACAGTTTTAATCATAGCCAACAAGTAATGATTTGCAGCGTCTGCTACTTCTCCTGGATGATGTTCGTTTGCCCAAAAGTCCAGTAAGGGAGAGCGAGTTGTGTTATAGATATATATAGTGTCTGTATATATATAGTGTCTTCGGATATTGGTGTTATATATATATATATATAGTGTATTCGGATATTGGTGTTAAAAAAAATTAAATACATATACCCTTTTAAAACGTTCCAAAATTATATTAGAGAAACCCTTAAATATCTCTAATTATCTAAAATATAAAAATCTTCACTTTCTTCTGCATTTCTCAGATTGTTTGTGAAAGATTCACTGCGTGTGCAATTTTACATTTCGATATTAAACATTCATTATAACCAAATGTGAAACCTTAGTTTATCTCCCTATACCTCATCCAACCTTGAACTACAACTGAAGAAATGTGTTTAAGCTTGGTGCCAACTAAATTCTCGATTTTAATTTAGCCACTTCATAGTTACGGAATTTCAAAATACCCGGATTTATAAGCAATCAACACGTTGTCGTTGTATTGTTAGTGTGATTATGTTCTTGCTGTATTTCCGAATAAACTGAACAAAATTTAATACAAACATGTGTGACTAAACTGGAGGTTCTTCTGAAAAAGAATCAGACAAGATTCCATATAAAAATGAAATACAAAAATACACTTATCAAGATTGTTGTTGTAATTAAACAAGTGTAAAAGCCACTCACCTTGTGCGTTTACGCCAATACCCATCATTGTGGTCGTCAACATCATCAGCATGAACCCCAGCGACGGCAGCGTTATAGCCGCTACACATATATTCACATAACGAAAAAGCCACCGCCAACAACAAACGGAGCTGCGTTGTTGGATCGGTGGCTTTTTTGTAGCCGGCAAAGTCATTATTAATATTTAACAACGAAGATTTCAACTCTTTAAAACAACGAAATAGAAAAAGAAGAAAACAAGAAGAAGAGAAGGGTAAAAATAAATAAGACAAGTTTTAGTCAACACTTTTTTTGTTTTTATTCACTCGGAATGCATTGTTTGGTGGTGTGCTGCGGCTGCAGTTTCATGTGGGGTTATGACAAATGCCAAAAATTTGCTAACAGTCGGCAGAATCAGCAATTTCGGCAGCAGCAACCACAACAGCACTAACAAATTTGAATGAGTGAAAACTTTTAACTGGTAACGACGCTATGGATATAAATTTTTTTTTTCTTTATAGCTCGATAAGTTTTTGACGAATGTGTCCGATGATTCACGGCGACAAAGATGTGTTTTTGTTATTGTTTAAATTTTTGGGATACAATTGACACCGTTACTTTTTATTGGACATTTATTGTTCATTGAATAAAACCTGTTTGTTTGTATTATTTGCGGGCTATTCTTTATTCGCGTATGGGCGTTTTGCCATTTTGTTTTCTTTGCGTTTGTTTCGTGAAACACACACATTTTTTAATCATATTCCAGTTCATTTTGTAATTCACCTTGAGCGGGACAAAGCCGTTGTTGGTATACACACATACGTGTCTGTGTGTTTAGTTTATTTGGTATGTTTAGCATGTATTGGTATCAGACATTTATTATTTCATCCACTTGAAGTTGCTCTTTAAGTCTGGTTTCTCTTTTTTCACAGTTGTTGCCGATGTTGTGATTTTGTTATTAGACGGTCATGCACAGCCAGCGATAGATATCAATAAAAGATATACACATCCACTGTTTTGCTGAACTTCTCAAATAATATCCGAATGCTAACAAATCGAACTAACGACCGATCGACCGACCGACCGAAACGCAGACATGCTACAATCCATATTTTTGTGATCTTAAAATAATTTGCGCTGTTTCTTTTTCAATTTAATTCTTTATTTCGTTATTTATTTCACCGTCTCCACTTGTTGCTGTTGTTGTGTAGTGGTTTTCTTTGAGATCAAATACCAGTTGTCTGGCTCTGCGCGTTAAAGGTCACGCGTTGGCTTTTGCTATTTTATTCGTTATTAACGACTTGTTGATGTTGTTGTTATAAAATATAAGCAAACAGACATAACTACAGACATTACAGTTGGCTGTATGTACATATATACCCAATTAAATGTTAATTGTAAATGTAGTTATTAAGAATGAAAGAAATAAAAAAAACATCGATATTTGTCATTTAAGTTGAGACACCGACCCTACCTAGCAATATCTTGAGTCAGCCCGACTTGCTGGTTTGAACAAATCTGGTTTTGATTTCAAGACGGAAGACGGAATATGTAGAATGAGAAGGGTGACTAAGAACAGACATTTGCATTGCTCATTTGTGCTGTGCGGTGTGGTTGAGATACGATTTGCCTTGAATCAACTTGAAAGTTTTTTTGCCTTGAATCCATTTTATAAGTTAGATATGTTTTGAAATGAAAAGCCTTTATTTTTCATTGGATCCTATACCGTGTCAATGTTCATAACAGTACAATGAAATTGGAGATATACCCAGAACACCTAGTTGTATACCAGTACCTGTATAAACATCCAATACCATGTACACAAATATATATATATATATATATATATTTAATAAATATATTTGAAATATGCCTACAATTCTACAAACTGATAGATTCTTAAATAAAATGTAAGGCAATGGCTAGATCATAAGGATAGAAAACAGCCGTTATTGTCGATAATAAGAATGTGGAGATTCAAGGGAAAATAGTGTTGTGATTTATTTATTTACTTGTTATTGTTGTTGTCCAAATAGAAAGACTTAAGACACAAACACGATCATACATAGATTCCTACATACATTTGACATTGTCCGTCTCCGTCTCTTTCGCATAACATATCTATTGTAGTTTTGTGCACATTTATGTATTTACTGTAAAATTATATCAAATGTATATATCAGTCAGCAATTTATTATGTTGAAAGTGTGTGTGTGTATCTATGTACATCTGCATATGGCTTGCACATAAACGCAAATTCAAATATGCATTGCTATGTAAATTTTACTATTTCTTGTGGGGAGGTACTTCTCACCAAACACATAGATGCAACTTCACTTTGTCAGGCGACGGTCATTACGTTTTCGAATTTCTTGGATTTGATTTCTTTGTTGGTTTATTTATTTATTTTTAGTCGCTTTTGATATGCCTTTTTTATTCCGACATACATACGTATGCATGTAATATATGTATAGGTTCCTTTTTTTTGGTTTGGTATAGAAAATGAATGGTAACACACTTTGCATATCAATCAGTAATAGCTTCAACATCGGACCGAATTTTATGCGATTAACAACAACTGAAAAAATTATTTTCCAACCGTATTTGTGTCGCACGAATACATTTTTATACGAACTCATACATACGATTCGATTGTATTTGAAAGAAACTCGATGGTTACACTCTCACGTATACGCTCGGTGCTGAAGGTGTATGTGTCATATGCACAAGCATGCATTTGTATATGTTATACCTCTTTGTGTGTGTATGAGTGCGCATGCGTGTAGTTATTTATTTTGTAATTTTTTCAACCGACAACTGAAACGTGAATGCTAACTTTGCCGTTAAAGTTTTGCTCGAACCACCTCTCTGAAACGCGTATCACGACAGACTAAACTCAAGGTGGTTTACCAACTTTCAGTAAAAGACCAAATGTCTTAGAGACGTCAACACCAGCAATGAACGGTAACAACCACAATCGCACAACCGCAACGACCGTAGTTGTGGATTTGCCACAGTGAAGTCGGAGTAAAGCGAAAAGAGAGCGAGAGAATACATTTAAAGAAGTGCCACAAGAGATTCTCTATGGCTGACTGTAAGCTATGTATATGCATGGGTGTAATAAGAATGAATGTCACCGTAATATGGATAATATGGATACATATATTGCACCCACAGATGACTTATGGGTTTACCCGAACCTATGGATCGATCATCCATACCAAATGTATGGTTTTCTCATACAAAAAACCACCATATTTGTCCAAAAAGAGCTGCATTTCCAAACAATTTTAATAATGAGATCTTTTTGGTTTATCAATTTATTGTTTTTCCATGGTACAATGGCACATAGTGTCAAATGTTATTCTGGGGGACATCTTAAACCCTCGATTAGATAATCGTATTTTGGCGCGAGGATCGCAGAGCTCTATTTCAATGTTGAGCAGAACTAAATCGTGAGTAGATGTGTGAGAGCGTAACTGAGAGATCATCATTAAAAATTTCAGGCGAAAAGTGAAATTAATGGTCTATTTTGATGGAATTTACTATACAAAATCAAGATATCCCCCCACATTACTGTGATATTTTGCCAAACTGTTTATTAAGGATTTTCTTGGGCGCTCTTTACGCATAACATCCAAATAATAAATAAATATGGTATCACAATTGTGAGTTTAGATCCATTTTGTGTATATATTTCAAGATTTAAAATCATTTACAAACTGTTGTTGTTGTTCTTTGTGATTAAAGAAAACCCCTTACAGGAACATCGGAATCCGAAAATACTTAGATCACTGTGCGCTTCTTATCGAAACGACATCTGATCGATCAGATATGACGTACATCCATTGCATGAGACAATTTTTTCGGTTCCAAGGTGTTTTTGTATATGAGATGTAAGTGACAATCAGTCTGTGTTTTTTTTACTTTTTTGTAAAATAAATTGTCAGAATATATTAGGGTCTTAACTTAAAATAATATCTTCAATGAACATATTCTAAATTGGTTCCAAAACGTACCAGAAAAAATGACAGATGAATTTTAAATGGTATGTTTAATTAGAGGATTTGCCTAAGGTGTTTATATATTTTCCGAACACATTCGATGACCAACCCTAATATTCAATTTCAGGCATTGACAATTTATTTTCTATAACAATGATGTTGCTTTTATAATACAATTAGTATTGCATACACCGTATTAAATTCACCTTGATTGGTTCCCAATCGAATTAGTTTAGGGAAAATCTTTAAAACTGCCTAGTATAATAATAGGATTCGGGAATTTTGATTGTTTGTCTCAAGATCAAATCGATTATATGAAGAAATTCTCAACATTGGGAAGGATAATAGCGTGTTCCTGTACACAAATCTTGTAATGTTTACACAATCTTTGTTCTTGAACGAATCCAATAAATATAGACATTATTCACAAGTCTTTTTTATTATTTGAGCTGAAAGTATCTGAATATCGTAACATGGCGATATTTGTCATTTACATCAAATATATATTTTGAATACATTCGGAAAATTTAAAATTTCATAATAAAAATCCAAATATGAACCACGCGGTGAAAAACAAAAACAAAGCCGGACGTGAAGAATATCTTATTCAAGATTTTTTACATAACAAAGATGTAGCTCCATGGTTTCGAGGTACTTCCATTTTTCATTTGAGAGGTGCAAATCAGCTCTTTAATGCTATACGTGATGATGCCGAGCAGAGGACATCTCATCGTGTGAAAACATGTTTGAATTTGATTGGTTTGGAGCCCATACCATCTTCCAGGGATCTGAAATTTATCATGCACTTGAGTCGTGGTAATGATTTGGCATTCCTTTGGTTTCTTATGGAAATGCAGTACAAAGGCTCCGATCGCCCCACCAACGCGTATAGTCTTAACGAACAATTGATATGTTCTGCTATATGCCATTTAGATATGGCTACAACGCTTCGAGAACTGGATAAAATTCTACCTAAAGGTAGAACATGCACCTCCAAAGAGAATACGAAGTCCAAACACCAAGGAAGGAAAGAAAATTGCCGGTTCGAATGCAAATCAAACCATAAATATTTTTCAAAACCACAAAAATGCTGTAAACATCTGGGCATGGAAGAAGAAAATCACCAGAGGGAAGCTAAATCCGCCAATAAGTATATTCTACCTTATTTTGAGAAACTATCTAGACCGCAACATTATGGCAATCCTCTAAACATGTACATGCCCAATTTCAAAGTTCAATTCAGAACATACGCATCTTATGCGGATCCCAACCAGACGGTTTACAACGAGAGTAATCGGTGGTTTGCCGATTATGACATTAATCCCGGACGGAGAGTGGCCTATCAGGCAATTAAAAATGCAATTGCTCAACTGTTTGAAGATTTCAAAAAGGCCAACCCTAATGAAGGGAACGCAGATGTTCTGTGCGCCTATCACAAAACAATCAAAGAAATCGAACAACTGCACAAACATGAGTACATGGTGAAACTCAGGGACAAATGTCTTAAGAATTATTTCGGGAATAAACTGGATTTGACACAGGTATGTCCTGATTTTGTGTCCACCAAGTAAATTTTGAACTAATTTCCGTTTTTATTCAGAAGCGAAGTAATCTTATGAAATTGTCGCTATACAGAGCCATTGAGGCGGAAATGTCAATGATACAAAAGCAAACAACGTCCGGTAGAAACCCGGATTTCCTAAAAACAATTACCAGCGAGGGTAAAATGCTGGACGTAGATGTAGGAGGGGAATACGGAACATGTTGTACAGAATCAATTGTTGCGACTACACAATTGGAAAATGAAATTTCTACATCGCCAGACTCTACATTAACTGCCAAATTTGTGCAAAATTACGATTTCGGGAATGTTGGTGATACTCCCGAGACCTCACAGACATATTTCCATGGTCCCACAAAACACGCACCAATAATTTTTGAATATAAGAAAATATTCCAAAACGTAACAAAGATTCCAGAAGGAGATTGGGTAAAGCTGGGTTTTTTAGATGCATTAGACCAAGACATATCTAGGATTAACGATGTGCGCGAAGCCGCCCAGCAATGTGCATCTGATATCTGGCAAAGAGAACTGCAAAAGTTCACTAGTGAACATAATGATTCAAAAATGTTGTCATCCAGTCCACTGCCGCAATATCCACCTAATGGAAAATATGATGCCGGCGATAGAATACTCATGGATAAAATGCTTGCAGATGCATTCGAATATATGCGAAAAAATCCCAAGTTTGTTTTGGTTCAACTTCACGAAGCGCATAAACTTCCAATGTTAAGGGAATGGATAGCTCGACGTTATGGAAAGGTGTATACGCCTAAAGATCGCTACGAATCGTTTCGTTATTCACTGAACGTTTTCCATGCCTTAGATCGAATGTCTTTTGATTTCCCGACGCCCACTTCCACACAAATAGGTAGACACCACTTTGTCGCTTACAATTGCAAAAAGTATTTGGGAATGAAGGTACGTACCAATGTTTGAGACAAACTCGCTAAAAGTTATGTCGAATTACCTACAGTCCTATGTTCTAGGTTGATGAAATTAAAAGACAATTTTTTCGGCGTTTGGACAACGCCATTATGAAGCAAAGTCGGACTTATTGGTTTGCAATGCGTGGGTATTTGTGTTCTGGCCCTGGTCCACCAAGACAGACTTTTTTCGCCTATATGCCATCACGCCTTAGAGACATACAACGGTTTCGTCTGTGGAAAATTTCGGAACATCGATCAGACAAAGCGGCGTGGGATAAACGTAGGAAATCCAATAGAATATTAAAATCAGTCCTTTAAATCCCCATTCTTTTCTTTCTTTGGAACAATTTGAAAAAAAAAAATATTTGCTGAGGGAGCCGAAATTGATGAATCGGAATAGTCCGCAATTTGGTATTTATGACGTTGGTTTCTGTATAACTTTCGGTGCTTGGATTGAGAGATTTTTATGTGCATTTAATCAGTCCATGTTAAAAATAACAATCAAAATTACGAATAATATTTCTAGTTCGTGTCTATGTAATGCATGTAGAACTGAGAAATAGGCCACAATAATAACATTGTAATTTTTAAATGATGTGGGAGTACAATAAGGCCAAATATATGTATATAAATATATGCAGAATATCAACAAGATCAGTTCTCGTTTCCTAATTTAGATGTATCAAAATGTCCACCTCTGCTTTAAATTACGACCTAACATATTTCTTTTCATTTGTAATATCTGTTGATTGCTCATTATTCGTCCAATATCAACAATAAGGTCTTCTTTTAAGGGGACCCCCCCATTCTCGGAGTCAATTTTTTGTTGTTTTTATTTATTTAGTTTTTTTTTACTTAATTCGAATCTACACAAAATTTCAAGTAAAAATCTCAAGAACTCTTAAGAATATAGCCGATTTATTGTGTCATCATCAAGTGGCGGCTAAAGGGCTTCTCAAACTTTAAACGCGTTTTTCTCTTTTGCGAATGGCAGGCACGATAACTCAAAAACTAATAACCCAATCAATTCCAAATTTGTACATGTTTTTTTTTCTTCTCTTTTAAATCTTCAAATATATATATATATATATATATGTGCAAAGTTATGAACCTTAACAAGCATTGGTATTGATTTACCAGCCCATTGAAAATCTTGAAAAATTAAAATCGAGAATGGGTGGGAACCCCAAAAAACAAAAAGAAAACATTGATGGAAAGAAACAATGTACCACACAATAAAATAATGTATGCACTCACAATTTTATTACGGGACCTGATAGATAACCACTGAAGAGATTACCGCAGGTACGGCTATGAGCGAACGATTCTATCTACCTTCTTTGATTGAGTTTCATCTGCATGGGACGAGGAAACTCTGCCAAACGAAGAAGGAAAACCCCGCCCCTTGTGACGAACTACTAACAACGAAATGGAAAACAACGTCGCATTTACCATGCTGGGAATTGAACCTGCGACACTGAGAATGCCGTAACAAGCATTAAATCGTTCGCATGTTAAACGTCAAGCCCACGACGTAGCCTACCCTATAGCCAAACAATGGAAACATATTTTCAAATTTCAACACTTGAACACTTTCTAAAAATAGAAACCTACCACACGAGGTGGAATTCACATTCTGGCAGAGATGGAAATGTGAAAACTACAGCGATTATGCGTTGCCATATGTTTTTATTAAGTATGATTACTATCTCGGGGTTTACACGTGCAACTTTTGAAAACTGTCGATTTTTTTTTTGTGGTAGAGAGATAAGAAAAGTGACAAGGGGAAAGAAATTCAAAAGAGTATCGTAAAGAGCAGGAGCAGAGTTAACTAAACAAATTGAAGGGCTAAGCAGAATGCTCGCGTTGAGCCATCCGTCGCGTTATATGTTATCGAAAATACAACAACCACAAGGAAACGATAACACAAACGCATATCGTTTCCTTGTGGTTGTTGTATTTTCGATGACAAATAACGCGACGGACGGCTCAACGCGAGCATTCTGCTTAGCCCTTGACTGTGTAAACCACTAGGATGTAAACTTCCAAGGTATAAGGTAAGTGTTGTTGTACAACAGACGATACAACAACCACAATGAAATTTGTTTTTATAAGTCCCAATTTAGATTAGGCCAGTTTACTTGCTACAAGTCCTTGTATGCCGTAGAGAGTGGCAAAGGAATAGAAATTTTCTGGCAATTCGTTTTGTGTATTTTGTTTGTAGTGTCAGTAATTCGAAATACCAATCCAGAACATTTTCGAACATAAACATTCACAAAATGTAAAAAAATAGTTGTGAAACCGAATCGCCTTGTATAGAAGCATGATGCAAGTTCAAAAGAGAACGATAAAAATGTCCGCAAGTAAAATCGCCTAATCTAAATCAGGACTAATACTAGTGTCCACGTCATTTAAGTAAAAATGCAACCAAAGCATACAAATCAAATGTAATATTTTCGAATTCTCAAAATAAAATTGAAAAACATGAATGAGAATTTATCAATTTTATATTTCTATTGCATTTACATACTTCCTCTAATTGATCCACTGCCAGATATGTGCAACACATTTGCAAATTGTAAACAATTCTATGAAGAAAGATTTACCGCTTCAAATGTTCCCAGTAAGCAAGAAATAAATAAAAAAGTAAATTAAAAACGGGGAAAACATTTAATAAAGAAACATTTCGAATTTCATGCGTAACAAATTTTGTATTAAGTTGAAATCAACTGGGTTTTATAGTTACCTTGTATAATTGTACCATGATAAGCATCAAATGGCCCCCACATACTATACTGCCATAGTTTTTCTAATGCAATATAAAAGGGGTTCTTAAAGTACAATTTTTTCTTCGGGTTTGTAACAGAGCAAAAGAAAAATCTATTACAAAATTTGTCGTTGTCGTAAATTTTACATAATACCGACCAAGAGCTGCCGTACAACGACTACGCCTACCGTAAAAAGGGTGAATGCGTCTGGCAGAATACAAAAACGAAAATCGTTAGTTCGAGTCTTGTCGTCGACAAAACATTAAATATGAGATAAAAATTCCGATAATTTAAGTAATAATAAAGTATCTAATTTCCCTTAATATTTTTTCTATCAAATATTGTACGCCCTCAAAAAGTGTATCGAGATTGAACATTGAAATTCCATTGTATTTTTGTTTATTAAACAAATCATATATTTCTATAGAGTTTGGATGATATATCTTATAAATAGTGTTTCCTTTCGATAAATAACAAAAACTTCGAGAAGGAAAATTTGCAAAACTTAGGAATAGTGATATTTGAAGGTTAAATAAAGAGAAATGCCATGAAATTGAATATTGAATATCAACGTAACAAATTTCACTCGATGCATAACACTGACGTGTATGTGTAGATAGTTGAATGTAGTTAAATTTTACAAGCTACACAGTACATCCGCTAGTAAAAAAAAATTAAATTGTCCATTGCAAAACGAAGAGACTGGATACGGGTGTCCTACGATATTTACTTTCCAGTTGTGAATTTTGAAACATTTTCCAACAGACCAATATATAAGGAGTGTTCATAGGCTGTGGCAAGATCCGACATTTTCTCTACAAATTCATTGCTGACACCTTTCTCTTCCAACAAATTCATAAGCAAATCGTAAAGGTACTGGAAGAAAAAAAATATAAAGCGGTCAGGTCAGTTTAACACATATGATGTGTGAATCTCTTACGCCATCCAAAACATCTCCAGCAACAGCGTAAACCTTTTCATTCCATTCTCCTTGGTAGATAGTCATCTCGTCGATGCCGAATATGTCATTGTACTCTCCTTCTTCTGGGGTGCCTTCCAAAAAGGAGCATGTGAACGACAAGGTTGAATTGCCTCTCACAATATCCACTTCAAATTGTGGTTTGCTACGCATTTCTCCCAAGTCTGGCTTATCAGCAGAGGGATTAATTTCTGGCTCCTCTTCAGTATCGACTGTGTGATTAACGTTAAAGTTAATAACAATCCTGCAATGTGAACAAGTAGTACATATGTGAGAATCCCATCACGGTCCACTATAGTATTTACTTACTTCTCCTTGTCTCCCTGTTTGGTAAGTTCAACTTCAGCACCATCTAATTTAACGGCGAAACCTTCCAGGGTTGTAGGAACTGTTTTGATTTTTTGAGCTTTGCGTTCAGCCAAAATCTCTTCAGTCAGAAATTCAACCAATTCCCGCTCTCCTGTAATCGAAACAGAAAAACATCATTACCGGCAACATTTCATCATTTCGATTTCGTTGAGGTTATGTAATGTTGTATTCTCGAAAGATCCTTCATTATTATTTGGAACATACCTTTGGTGTGCATGTGCTTGGATCCACCACAACCGCAACTGCAGCTAACACTGGGTTTGGCCTTTAATATTCCACCAGAAACATGGCTGCCTGTATCTACATTCTTTGACATGTGCCAAAGAGTTCGTGTGAAGTCGCGCTTGCCACCGAAAGCATTCCTCAACGATGTTGTGCTAACAAGACGCACTGCAGCTTTAGTCAAATTGTTCATGTTTTTATTGAAGTTCTCTTTATTCTATTGCAAATGCGAAGAGCTCAGATTAGTGTGCCGGAGTTATGTCAGTTAATGAAATAAAAGCCGTAACCTCAAAATTGGAATGTTTTGACAATTGAAAATGATAATCGATTGTTTGTTGCACAGTAAGATGATAACACATTCAGCATGCGAATACAGTATGCCACAGATACATGTGTTTGACAATTGTTTAATTCCTTTCATTCTGGGTAAATTTTTTGAATCACATTCTAAAAAAATTGATAGTTTTATTTGTTTAGTGGGTACAGAAATCGCATTCGAGTAAAAAATTGCAGAATTTGTAAAACTATCGAATTTTTCCGGTTCTGAAACAGAACTTATGTTGTTGCTTTAATTAGGTATTCACTGTAATTCAACAGTCGATACCCGAATTATCGATAATTTCTCTATAGTTGAATTTTCAGTTGTTCCTTGGTGTTGATTTTGTGAAAAATACACAAAAAATTGTTTTAACTCAATTGAATTGTGACTTGATTGAAGAACATCAAAAATGAATAGTCTTGGTGAGGATTGTAATGAACTCAAGCGCAAGTATGACGCCTGTTTTAATTTATGGTTCTCTGAGCGATTCCTTAAAGGCGACAATGACGACAGCATGTGTGCTCCTATATTCAAGGTTTATCAGGAGTGTGTTAAGGTAGTATATCCACATGTTGAAAGGCTTATCTCCAATTAGCTGAGTTATCTTGATTACCATTTCCAGAAAGCAATGGAGGAGCAGAATATTGAGTTACGCGAAATTGAGGCGGATTACAGCACGGGCGACTACAACGAGAAACCAGAACATAGTAAAAGTTGACCTTTGCTTGATAGCGATTTTTCGGAAGAACCCCTATCCCACAGGGGTAGGAGTTCTAAAGCATCTTTGTCTCATAAGAGGGGCTATTCAGCATAATTTTAAGTGGAGTGCTTAAATGTTTGTTTTAAGTCTTGTTATTTACTCTGATACGTACAAACACTTGTTTTAAATCATTGTTTTTCCTATTTTATGTTAAAAAGTGTTAGTACATTGATAGAGCAATAATAAAATAATCTACTACTAATAGAAGGAACACTTTTGTTGCTGAAAGCAACTCATTGAATTGATCAACAAGGGATGTGGAGGAAAACGGAGACAACTGCGTACAAATAAAAACCAACCGATTTTAGTTTTTGAAATACTTGCAAAAAAATATGTTTTTAAAAATTACCTAACAGGAAAATTGGGAACGCATACATTTTGAAATTTTTCTTTATTAAATATGCTCCCGTATTCAATTTACTCAATCTGCCTGCTGGGAAAATTTGAGGAAGCAAATCCTTTTTTTATAGAATAACTCGCAATTCCCAGCATTTTCATATGTGTTACACATATAAAGGGCAATAGCTCAATTATAGGAAAGATATGGAAGCGATAGAAATATAAATTTGATAGATTTTCATTCATGTCTTTCAAATTTTATTTTGAGGATTCGAAAATATTTCATTTTCAAAAAAAATATGGGGTCTGTTCCCGTACTGCAAGAATCTACTCGATTTTACTATTTTCAGCGATATCATAAAGGAATATTCGTTATCGTAGTAAAAAAAAGTTTGTTTACATTTTTTACAAAAACAAATTTCCATGTGGTTATTGCACGGTTTGTTGTACAAGAACACTTGCTGTTACCTTCTATTATTATACCATGAATACATTTATGTTTGTCAATTGTCTAGTGGCTGTCCTGAATATTTTATAGAGAGTAAACCAGGATAATTTATGACATTTAAAAGGAAAATAAGAAACCAATATTTCAAAATATAAAAACGTGGGCCGAAATGGATTGAACATTAAGAAATTGGAACATTGTATAATTCAATTGTAATATAATTATTTGTTTCATTAATAATTTCAAAATTATTTTTTAAATTATCTGGACGCCTACCTCACAAATACAATTAATGCATGAACTCAATCGTCTTCGACTGTCCTGCCACTGGCAGACGAATGGTAAGGGGGCAAAATGGCGTGGGGGTAATTTCAGTACAGGGCTAATGTAGTGTACGCAACATAAAATTATATACAATTTTTACAGTACGCTGCTCTACTTGGTTCACACTTGGTCTACCGCTTTTCACACTTGTTCTTTTTTAGCTACCTCTCATTACAAGGTTTTTTTTTTGTTATAGAATGAGAGTAGCGAAGGCCATAATTTCAAGCCCCTTCTTCGAAAATTCTTCAAATTTGTTGTCATATGCCTCTTAAAAATATAGTACAACCACTTTTGTAAAATACGACTTTATTGCAAAATTAAAAACAGTTAAAACCAATATTATTTAAACATTAGATTTGACAAGAAATTGTTATAGATAAAAAATCTCAAATTTTACAAAATCCAAAATTTCCCTTCGTCATTTTAGGAAGACCGAATTGTACGGAAATTTTGGATTTACACATTGCGCCGAATTTGAAAACAAAAATATATTTATGTGTATAATTTTTCCATTCCAAATACAAACTATCACAACGAGTTTTTTTTTATAAAGAAGGTAATAAGATCAACTTAAATTTGTAAGCTGTTTGCTTAGCTGAAATTGTGTTTACAAATTGTAGATTTTATCTTAGCCTATATTCATATATGTTAATATTTTTTTTTATTTTTATATTCGATTTATACATTTGTTCCATTTGTAAAAAAGTAAAAAATATATTTATGTATCGGTTGGTAGTTTTCTTAATGTAATGAATTAATGTTATTATTTTAATCATTTAAATATAAGTGGGACGGACATGCACTTTGTTCTTAATATTTTTTACAATATATATATATATATATGATTACAAAAAATTCGGTATAAAAATTTAATTGACATGTGATAAGGCATTTTCTTCTGCATTCCAGATATAAAATCGCAATTGATGATTCTCAACCAGTATTGCTTCAGTGGGGTTTGCTTCTTTGAAATGACTGCAGTCTTTTTAATTATAATTTATAAAACCGTATTTGTTTTTATTTTTTATTTTAAAGGCCGCATAATAATTTAAAGATCTTTTCTTATTGATAGGCTGATTTACAATATGAAATTTCATTGAGCATGTTTGTGGTAGAGTGTACATCAATATTTAAGTGTCCAAAAATAAGGCTGAGTACATGCTGTTGCTAATAAGCACATGTTCTTTTCTCTTTACAAATCGTAATTTTTTTCTATATATTTATTTTTTTAAGTCTAGTAATCGTTATTAAAAGAATTGTTGTGTTACAGATTATTCACCGGCTTCAAACGGTCATCAGGATCACCTGCATGCATGCAATATTATTTTTTTTTTTTCGAACACATACTAATACTAATTCCAAATATACATCGTATCGTATGTATGCTTAAGTGTTGCGCTTCAAGAAAAGCATATCAAAATAGTGATCAGTCTAATTAGGTTTTATGTATAAATACTTGTATTTGTATGGGGTTACGATCGGTAATGGATAATATACAAATGTTCGGGCGATAACTAGACAACGCCTTGACGTCAAACAATGATATGTACGAAAGAAAGAATGATGCGAAATAAACATTTGAACTTATCGAGGGGTTAGGTCTCTAATCGCATAGGTTGATACATATTGAATTTGTACTGAATTTTAGTCGTCGATTATAACATGTGTTTTGTTTCACTATGTATGCATATGATACGATAGTTAGACTCCCTTGGGTATTAAAATTACAAGCTATGAATTATGTAAACTAAAGATTAAAGATTCGGGGGATAAACGTTTCAAACGTCTCGTGAAAATTATAAAAGCATATACCTAAAATTTAAGACTAAAACGAATTGCGCTCTTAATACGCGTCCACATATATACATAACGTAGGGGAAAGAAAATAACAATAATTTTCAATAATTATTGGAAGATATTAATTCAAGTAATGTTTTTGTAGCTTCTTTGGGGAAACCTAAGTAGATTTTCTGTCAACGTTCTCTGTCAGATTCGTCAGCACAAAACATTAGTCGAATAAATATCAATTGCGTGATAATATGAGCGTCGTTCGTGCAAAAATATAAAATTAAAACTAATTTTAAACTAAACAAAACAAAAACGTTTTATAAAAAATTTTACTAAAGAACTGGATGTATTTAACACTACCTATGACCCAGAGTCGATGCCAGCATGCAATAAGTCTGTACGATCATATGTATGTGCGTTTGACTTTAGTCAATGTTGACGTTTTGCAGGGCAATTCTTTTTCGAGATTCTCCGTAGAATTCTTGCATTCGTGACTGCGATCCTTCTCCAGGTCCAAGCTGGGTTTGCCAGGGTGGCAGTAGTGATTCGTATTCATCAGTAGATTTATATCTTTCCCGTGCTTTAGGCCGAATGTTCTACAATAACGAACGTATACAGTTAATACAGTCCATGTCCATAACGGAATTCTGTGATTACTTACGGATTTGCATTGAATTGATTGCGATGACTGCTATGTATAGAAGGAGGCTTGCAATTACGCTTCGAAACATGAAGTCCTACGACCATTCCAATGATGAAAACTAAAGCTAAGGCCAACACTCCAAATCCCCAATAAAAGCTCTTCCCGGCCAACTGAAGTCGCTGTTCCTCGCCAATTGCAGTGGACTGAAGAGGATCTGTAAGGAAACACATTTTATGAAATGTGGTTGATTTAAAATTGCACCTTGAGATTCCTACCATTAACTGAGTTCATCAAGTCGTGCGGATCTACGGACTGAAGGGTGATTTTGTTCTCATCGTTGAAAACATTGAGGAAATCACCACCGATAGCTGTTGGTATTTCTATTCCGGGAGAATTAATATCATTGCCGATTGTTGGAATGCCATTGACAGAAGCCACATTTGTATACACATGCTTCCTAGCCAGTTCTTCTTCTGTGTGATGTTGAGTATTAATTTGCGGATCGACATTGTTGTCTGTTACTGCACCAAAGTTGAGGACAGGGCCATCCGCGATAACTGTGCCCCGATTCGCTGATTTCGGGCACAACGATTTAGCTGCCTTCTTGGTGCTATTCAATGACTGCAGAAAAGATTTAGTGCCAAATTTATGGTTTGAAAATGACAGACTTTTGCACTCGTGTGTCTGCTGGTCCCATGCACAGTTGGGATCCTGTAAACTCAGACAACTAGCACAGTCTACAATATGGGCACAGTGGTGAAGAGGCACCGTCACAATAGACCCGTCGCTTACCACCAATAGCGTGTTACCCTTGGATGAGACAACCATCTCACGAACGGGTGTACCCAATGGCAGAACTTGCAATTCCGAAATAAAGACTGTCTTGATATTGCTGTCATCTTCGTAGTTTGCTCCACTGGAGGCCGTTGGTATGTTTATGAACTTTGTTATTTTACCGTCGTCCGTACCAGCGTATATAACATCGTGAAAATCACCATTTAAGGCCTGCACTTGAGGATCGACGGCTATTGAAGTCAATCTGTGGAGTAGGTGAACTTTCGTTAGCAAAGGACGGCCGAAAATTGAGGGTACCGACGACTCCATTAATGGATGATTTTTCACAAAGTTGACAGCAACACTGGACAAGGTTCGGGAGTCAGGAACACATTGCCCTGGGCGGGGTTCGGGGACTTCAGTATCTTGCACCGGAAGCCATTGAGATTGACTGTCTTTCTGAGATCTAAATCGACCCTCAAATGCCTCCATTATATCGTCAATGCTGAATGCGCATACCGCAGAACCTGGTATAGCATTTACGGATGTGGTAAATATCGCGTAGACCAGGGCATTGGGTCCACTCTCAATGACTGGACTTATAGCTTCTGCAAATAGAATATTTGTTAGAGTGGTTCTGCTAGGCGTAATCTACAACACAAACACTTACGTATTTCATCAAAGTAAAATGGATAATCACCAGGAACTGAACAATTAAGTCGGGCCTTCAAAAACGATGTCCACGTTTTGCTTAGGGTATTCCGACCGCCACGGTCGTTCTTACATACTCGGCCAACTCGGGAATAAATTGTTTTACCAAAGTTCATGAACTCCATTGCAATTTCCCGGAAGAAAAACATAACGTAGCCGTTGCGCTCGATGGCACCCACAAAGTCGGGTTGGTTAAGTTGCTTTAAGTCGTATTGTTCAGTTCGAAGATTTTCTCGGTCGCGATAAATCAGGGGATCACCACCCGAAAAATCGGCAACTGTGGCACTATACAGACTGCCATCCGCATAGGCGTATGTGCTGTTGTGTACTGGACTGTAGGGACATTTTCCTTGGGCTTCCACATCTTCCACAACGCTGTAGGCTATTGGAGCATTTGGATGGACATCATCCGAAATCGGTTCGTAATTGCGACATCGAGGTTTGTACGAGTTAGTACCACAGACCATGATCATATCATTTGGCAAGCGGGCAAAAACTCTTATGTAATTGTGACAATCCGATTCTCTTTTGCCCTTAAGGGCACATAATTCCCGATCGGCGGCAGATGACGACCACTCAATGCGGTTGTTTTCACGTAATCCATTTATGCTTATATTATATATGACATCCCTGTGTAGCAGACAGTTAAGATAAACAAAGATAAAAACAATCAGTTAAAATACGCTTCCGGGAATGTTGTTTAAATATTTACATACCGAGCACCGACCAAAATAGATTTCTCGTCATGATCCAAAATTTTAAAGTAGTCCGTTGTATTTCCTACTAGCTTGGCTAGTATCTTATCTTGCTCTATAAGAAAAACCCGAGAATAAATTAATATAGAGATCAGCATTGCGTCAAGTTGGATATTCCGGACGCACCCTCACTCGGCACTCCGAGCAATCAAATCTACTTACTTGTTTGCAGATCAGGTCTGACATCAGGCATCCAAGCGGACGAGAAATTAATTAAATCTGCTACACAAATTAGCAACAGCAATGATATACATCCCTGCCTTGTCGTTCTTGGTGGGTTTTGTGCGTCTGACATATTTTTATTCAATCTATTGCTACTTAAGCTAAATAGATGCTGCAGTTTAAACATTGCCTTTGGTGTGCGACTCACAATTATACCAAGTAACAAGTAAATTAAAACCAGTAATAGAGCTCAAGTACATTGGTGGTCGTTATTCCGCAGTGGTTGGGGTAATGCAACCGGCTTTGTGTTTCTCCTCCTAAATGGATTTTGCTCGTTTAAACCGATGGGGTGTTGTTTTTGTGGGTGGTTTAGAACAATTAAAGGGGTGTTTTAGTTAATAAAATCCATTATTTTCTGCGTAATCCAAGCATATCGCGGCCGTCCAAATACAATGTTTAAACCTTGCTGACACTGTTCTTTAAATTACGCAGAGCCGTGGGATATTGGTCGATTAATCTGCAATGGAAGAAAATCGAATATGGTTTTATTACATGTCAACTGGAATACACGTGATGTTCACTTTGATTTTATTTCACACATCAGTTTTGTTTTACTATTCATGTCTTCTTCTCCTTCATCTTACATGGTATTCTTCTTCTTTAAAGGGGCATTAATAAAAACACTAACATATATTGTTGTGAGAGCATGTTCCATTGAATGCCTAGTGAGATTATAGTTCTCGTTGATTCGTTTATGTGTTCTTGTTACTTTTCTCTACTCTAGCTCTATACACACTTGACTTCCTTATAGTTCCAGGGTATCTAAACAACTGCTTTAAGGCTGTTTACATTCTGTCAACCCATCATAATTTCCAACGTAAACTTTTATGACTGTTTAGCCAGCCAACTAGAAGAACGAGGGCTGCTGTGGTGTTCTTCTACTGCTATTGCTGACGCTGTTATTTACCGTGGTGGTAGAAAAAAGTTAATAGTAAAAAGAACTATAAACTGGTGTGTAGTTAAACACATCGAACGACCAACTGTCTGTCAAACGCCTTAAGCCAGGTAGGTACAGACAAGCAATGGAGATTGTGGTGAGCCAGCCATTGGCTTTAGATAGGTTGTGTCTAGATGATAACTACAACAACAATGGTGTTCAATGGCAACAACAACTGCTATTAGCATAAAAGGTACCGTCATAATTTAAATGAGCGTGTAAGCAACCAAATGCAAAGAGAGAGAATACCGCATACGAAATGAGTCAGCCAGAGAGCTGTGGGATGGAGAGCGACAATTCGTTGGTGTGCGTCAGTGGTCGATGTAACAAGAATACAATAAAAAGAATACACCCAACGAATGAATGACATGTCTGTCCAATGCAATATTAAGGTAAAGGTGAACGAAGTTAAAACTGACAACATTTATCACAGGATTTTCCCCATTTTATTTGTATAATACCTTGGGAAATTTGATCGGAAATCACGTGCGGGATAACGTTCTAATATATCACAGGATTGGACGCAGTCCGTTTCAAGTACGTGACAAAGACACGGTTTTATTCGATATTGTGGATATGTTCACATTGTTCCCAAACACGTAAATTGATCATACGGATGCATGACATAGGCATGTAAGACACTAACAGGTTGAATATTTCGGTAATAATCACATTTATTTAATTCCTTGGAAATTTGTGTAGCAATGTCATTGTCCTAGTTAAAGGTGGTTTACTTTTATTTTAATACGCAAATTAAATGCAATTTTTTAATATAATAGAACAAAATAAGAATATATTCTACATGGACATAGTGAACCTACTTAAAACGTAAAACTTTACACTCGGCACACACATATTCAAACATGTTGCCAGTGTAAAATATTATTATTATTCATAAAACGATCACAGCAATTTAAGTTGCTTTATATGACTTCAAACTTTTACCACACACACACAAATAATTTTTATTATTGAAATGGCAGACAAGCTGTCAACTTATTTATTATTTTTGCGTCTTTAACATATTCAATTCGATTATGGTCATTCCAATTCCCGTATACCGCTCATAACAATTTCCATTAACGGCTTAGCCTGTCAGAAAAATGCTAGAAGTATTATTAAACTAGAGAATAGGTATATACACATTCGTTGGATCATAACGACTTTTCTAATTTTTAATTACAAATAATATAAAAATCGACTGAATGGTGCAATAAAGCCCTGTACTCGACAGTACACGAAGTACAGTATTTGAACAAATCTGGTAACTAAGAATGTGTGTTTGGGAATTTGAGATAGCATGGAAATCAAAATAGATTTGATTTAAATAATAAAGTTAAGTTATATTAAGTTCCCTTTTTTAGGTTAACATTAAAAACATATTTTTTATATATTGTTTGATTTGTAAAATTGCACTTGCACAAGATTTCATGAAAAGTTGCGGCAGTGTGGCAATAATTAAAAAAAAAAACAAAAAAACAAATTTATTCCTGTTTGTATAATACCCTGTTATTCACTTTATTCATATTTGGTATTTTTGAAATAACTGCGTCATGCATTTGTTAAATATAAAAATGCTGCATGATAGGTACAGTAAGTTTCATCTAAAAGTAAAAAAAGTCGCATGCGGGGTGATATACGCACCATAATAAATTTAATTAAATTATGTAGCGTCAATTTAATTGACTATTTTTTGGAATGAATAAATAAATAAAGATAGAATTCTAGGTAAAACGGCGTTGAAATTCAAAGGTGTCAAAGAATATGATGCCGTTTAGTGCTATATATTATTGTTTTTAGTTCGTGGAAAATATATTTATCCATTCTTATCAATATTAACTACATATTTCGAGAGAGAAAAATATATTTGTTACCTTTATATGTACATTTCGACACTAATAGGGTTATTTTATAGTTACCGGTAGCAGATTAGTTCGCAAGAACACAATTTAGACCTTTCAGAATTTAATGATTGTAATTAAGTAGTATATCTGCCACGTAAATTTTCAGTTTTAGAAAGTGTTACATGTTTTCACTTTCAATCCTTCCAGATATGGTTATTGTACTTATGTTTACTAATCATTCGAATAGTAAAGGTCATACCGAGGTTTCAGTAAGTTGATTGGGTTCGGAAATATGCAGGTACTTGAAGTATTTTGACGTTTCGAACTGAATATAGAAATCTGCAGTCAGAAACCCTGCCCAAAAGATTTAAAGGAGAAAAAAATCAACTAATCTCATCAGGTGGGAAATAAACAGTCCTCCTTGTAATAAGGTTAAATCAGTGTTTGTTTTTGAATATATTTTTTTATATAAATTTAAGCACCCCATTTCACACAATCGTGAATGTAGCGTATAAGGTTTCGGATTCCCCCATCCGTTGCCCACAATAAACAAATATCATAAATGTAAATAAATTGTTGTGTGCGTGTTTGTGTTGTGAAAGATGTATGCTTTGTGTTTGCGATAAGCTTTATACAACGACTCTAATTGGGTTACAAGCAAATGCACACACCCGCCATCGTCTCGAACGCCGATACAACGAGAAGAAAGAATGGATGAGAGAGAAGTGGTTGAGAAATCTTCACGGTGGTGTTATGCTGCTGCAGTGTATAAAAATACAAGAAACAGCTTAATGATGTCTGTCCGGGATAAAAAAATACACTTAACGCGTCATGGCGGGGTGGAGGGGGGTTTGGTAAAGTATGAAGACTATCAAAATAGAATGAGGAGAAAACATGATCAACGGAAGTTGTGCGTATAACGATTGCGACTTATGAACGTGTACTGTCCTCAAATACATTACGGATGGCAGATTCCCAAGTATAATACCAGCCATATGTAATTTGTAGTTCGTAAAGTTTTATTTCGGGTGTTATTACAATTGTATGATAAACTTCACGACGCGGATTTCCTTATTTTGAAAACAAATGCGCTGTGAATCATGCAATTTGTGTATTTCAAAGGAATTTTATGTTTGCTATTTCCGAAAAATGATAAGGGCTGGTAAATGACAAATGAAGTTCGATTTATTTATTTATTTATGTCGAAAAGTGTTTTATTTTTAATTTAAAAATATCAAAAAGGGTATGCCGACTAACAATCCAAACCTGACAGGAAAACATTCCCCATTTCACGTGGATTAGGAACTTCAGGGTTAAAAACTAAATTTTAATCAGGACCTTGAATTCGTCTAATGATATACAGTTGCGGTCAAAATAATAGCAGCGCAGCCTGTAATCAATAGTTGCAAAATAGTTTTATATGGTTATATAAAAATTCCCGGTCAAAGAATGTTGAGCACTTTTGAAGCTTTGAGCGTTTTTCTCGTACTGAGAATTTGGACCAAGATATTGGAATCAAAATGCAGATTATGCCGCTCAGTGCTGCAACATTTTATGGTTCTATATATCTAGAATATGAAATACATATAAAATGGAAATTACAACAGGACAATGATTTTTTCAAAGTTTCTTTATTTTCATATACGTTATAATGAGTATAAAATTTACATACTTTGAAATCTTATGACTAATAAAGAATTTTCAGCTTGGTTTAATTAAAACCGTCTGCTGGTTTATTGAGATTATATTATTGGTGTTACATTTTTTTTTAATAATTGTACTCATCTATTAATTACTATGATCCAAAACACAAACCAGTCGATTAGCAAAATATTTGTCCAGGACAACAGTGCAGGGCCTATGCAGCCAACGGATCTAAGGACCTTACATGAATTTATGTTATGTTTTCATTGCAGCTGCTATTTTTGACCAACCTCATTTTAAGAATAAACCTCTTTTAACACAAAATTTTCAAAATATACCTATTACAAAAATTATTATTACAATAATGTTGACTATAATTTGGCCAGAGAACATTACGCAATTTCAAAAAAAGAAGATGATTTTCTTCAGTAAGAATATTTCAATACATTATGCTGCTATTATTTTGACCGCAACGGCAACCAACTCAATTGTCAAGTGTTATGACTAGTAGTTGTACTAAAAGTTCAATTGTTGTTATACAATGGGCTGAGGGTGACAGTATAACTCGGGATCGTAGTTGTTCCCTTTGATTAATTCAGTGTAGAAGTCTTGAACAATATCTCTCCAGTAAATGTAAAAAATGTACTTACTTAAAGAAATTGGATTTGTTTGGTTTATATCTATCTAATTCAATGGCTATTGATGGCACTTTAGGTCCAAAAGCGAATTTGAATTTTATGTTTGCGTTTGCTTTGTTTCTGTTAAGCCAATTGAAAGTTAAGTACGTATTTATTTTCAACACACACACGCACACATCCACATATACACATCCAATTGCTATTGTTTATATTATTGATTGCATACATTTCTTCAAGAGATTTTGAAACACTATATTACACACAGTCGTACCGACCGTAATTATAAAAGAACACTTGAAACAAGCAAGAACCCAGCCAAAACATATAGAAATCCATTTGTTTATAGTGCATAGAAGAATTTACGACACTTGTATTTAGGTACACACACGCTCGTTGCTGATATTACTCCACTTATTTGGTGTTCACACAAGATCGAGGGGGGTAATAAGTATTTCAGTGTAGCACTCTTTGGCTTGTTTGTATCATTGGTATATACCTGTGGTCGAAAACTTCTTGTACTTCGTATTTTTGTCACCGAACAATTTTTGATTTCTCTTTTCACACATTTCTATGCATTCGAACTGGCATCATAACACTCTTCTTCTAATGCACCTGTAGCATTAATTCTGCTGGTGGCCAGTTGTACTCATTATTCGAGTAAATGGACCTGTTTCTCTCCCTCTACACATCGTTTTATTCGATAACTAACACTCAGGCTTCAGATGTTTGGAGTTTGTTTCAGCGATCTTGCCTTTTACGTTGAATGGTATGGTTGTATATATTTATAATTATATTGACGTCGACTTTCAAGTTTTACTGCTTTGTTTCGTTTCGTTTGGCTTTTTTTGTTTTGCATAAATTAACAAGAGACCAACACAACAAGTACGACACAATCGTTCAATATACACACACCGCCAACACTATTACGATATAAAGTAACATGAAACTGAATCTAGCTTTTATCGATGATCTTTGCTTCGTTTTGTTTTAGCTCTTTTAAGCTTGAACCACGAGAGAGCGGATTATAAAATGCTATATCTTACTTGTTTTCTCAAGCTACTCCCAAAACCAGTTCCCTGTATTCGACAATAGTCCAACATCGTAGAAATGCATCTACACATCAACAAGGTTTCCGTACCATTTACACACACACATGCACAAAACATACTACTTCGTATGTAGTTTTCTTAATATACTTTTATCTTATATGTTCACAATTTATTAACTCGTTTTATTTATAGGCATTTGTTTATTAACAAATTCTTCATTTTATAACAGAATTTGCTGACGCGTCTATGTTTTTACCTTTTTCGACAGAATTTCGCTTAAATTATTGAGTATAAAAATAAATATTTCACAGAAATACAGAACTCATAGAAACTCAAAACACAATTAATGTATAGATACCTAAACGCCAGGCACACGGTTGCATTTGACAATAATATAAGAGTTGCCAGATTGTTGAAATATGTTCAGTTCCGGATTACAATGCAATCCCTTTATTCGATTGCATTGTAATCCGGAACTGCTAAGCAGAATGATCGCGTTGAGCCATCCGTTGCGTTATGTGTTATCGAAAATATAACAACCACAAGCAAACGATAACACAAGCGCTCGAAGTTGATGTGCGCTATGCTTTGGAGTTAAATATATTTTAACTTTTTGCGTGCGTCAACGCGAGCATTCTGCTTAGCCCTTTAAACGGCATATATTATTTGACATATATGCAAAGGAATTGACACTTGAAACCCATTGGGTTAACGCAATCGGGTTAAATGTAAACGTAGTATTACGTACATGAATTATCCCGTTCATAAAACTCTATTCTTAATTCATATCATCAGAGTTTAATTTTAAAAAACTTTTTGGTTCTTGTTTTACAAACATATTTGCTCGAATAAAATATGGGTCTAAATAGAGAAAAATAATTCTCTTTACGAGTTCAAGTAGAAATTAAGAAATTTGACTATATTCAGCTGCGCTAAATATAGTACCAAGGCCTATAAATAAGGCTATCCAGGGAGACCAGCTGGAGTTGCTACTCAAGTTTGCTGTCAAAATTCATTGTTGTGAATTGACATTTTTGACATTAGACTTCAGAAAAACATCTGTTTTCAGAATTCTATTGCTACCTGGGTAACCTTGTTAATAGATCTTGTCAAGGTCTATAGATAAGGTTACACAGGGAGACCAGCTGGATATCAGTAACCACTCAAGTTTGTCGTCAAAGTTCATTATTGTGGATTGACTTTATGAAAACGTCAACAAAGTTAAATTTTTTGACATTAAACTTTAGAAAAAAACAGCTGATTTCCGATTTCGATTGCTACCTGGGTGACCTTATTAATAGATCATGAGATCTTGTATAGCGTGGATTTACACTATTGGTGATTGGGATTGGTGTTGAGAGTTTTTTCTCTCTCTCATTGGTAGAGTTGGAACACATTGCCACAGGTGGGAACAAAAAAGTACGAAAAGGTACCTAAAATTTTACTTCAAATGATAATAAATCATAATTATCGAGAAATATTGGCCAATATTTATACCAGTTATTAGTATTACTCAAGAGAGAGAAACTCTCAACAGCAATCCCAATCACCAATAGTGTAAAACCACGCACAGTACATATTTATCGAGTGCCATGCTATTGATATTTGGTTGCTGTTATCGATTGCTGATGATATATTGTCAAAAAAAACTTTTTCACTCAAATTTATGCTTACTAATATTAATAAGTTTATTTCCAAACAATATGAATTCGTTTATTTATAATCCAGTCATTATTTTTAGTGTTAAATTACAATAACATTTTTGACATTTATTTGCACAGCTGTGATGCTATCACATGCCATTCGTAAATGTATCTCCGACTTAAAGGGCTAAGCAGAATGCTCGCGTTGAGCCATCCGTCGCGTTATATGTTATCGAAAATAAAACAACCACAAGGAAACGATAACACAAACGCTCGAAGTTGATGTGCGCTACGCTTCGGAGTTAAATATATTTTAACTTTTTGCGTGCGTTAACGCGATAACAAATAACGCTCAACGCGAATATTCTGTTTAGCCCTTAAGGGCTAAGCAGAATGCTCGCGTTGAGCCATCCGTTGCGTTATGTGTTATCGAAAATACAACAACCACAAGGAAACGATAACACAAACGCATATCGTTTTCTTGTGGTTGTTGTAGTTTCGATAACAAATAACGCGACGGATGGCTCAACGCGAGCATTCTGCTTAGCCCTTAAGTTCCTCTTCTTTCTCTTGCTAAGCAGGTGATACGTTTTTTATTGCAGTCGGTGAATAACTAAAGGGCTAAACAGAATGTTCGCGTTGGGCGTTTTTTGTTATCGCGTTAACACACGCAAAAAGTTAAAATATATTTAAATCCGAAGCGCAGCGCACATCAACTTCGAGCGTTTGTGTTATCGTTTCCTTGTGGTTGTTGTATTTTCGATAACACATAACGCAACGGATGGCTCAACATGAGCATTCTGCTTAGCCCTTAATACACAGTCCATAAAAAGCATTCACACGGACAGTGTCCGTGTGTCGACTGTTAACTTTTCAATACAAAAGGTCGATTAGTCGGAAGTCAATTTACTTATCCCTATACACAATACATAAAAAATTCCATCGAATCCAGGTTCTGTTGATAAATAAAAGTATAATTAAGTTAATAGTTTTGGAATATAAACGTTATAAACCTCGGTGGCATTGTTTGTGAGCAGGTCATATATTCAATTTCATCAGCATGGCGAAGTAAGAATAATAATTGTTGTATCAAGTCCTGTTTTGTTGCCACTCCCCTGTATGCACCTTAAAAGCTTCTGTTATTTTTGTTTAATGCATTATCATTTATTTGCAGATAATTTAATTTGCACAATGTCTTTCTTTGATTCTATTTATCAAGAATTTATAAATTTAATGGGCAGCTTTTTGCTGGCGGACGATGAGAAGAGGTTATTTTTTCATTTTTTTTTTCACATTTGTTGATGTTATGCAGCGAAACCTCCCAACGGAAAAAGTAGAAACCGGATGTTTTCTCACTGTAAGGATGTATTATTGGTAGTTAAAGTGAAATAATTTTAATTGATTTATTAATTCGTTCTATGTTATATTACATGCTCATACAACACTCTATTCTTATGGGTTTGTCAATAATTTTCGTTTGAAAGGCGGCATCGCGAATAAAGGAAGTTTCACTGCATTGCAATGTATTTTTTTTTTCTTTAAATTGCATATGGGTATTTTGGCATGAGTTTTTAATAGTAGGTGCATAAATAAATAATACAATAGCAATAATTAAAAATCTTCAGACTATTTAAATCACTTTGTTAAGCATAACTTTTGTATTTATTTATTTATACAGAAATATATAAATTAGGTTGTGTTCGTTAGGGCAATTTAAACATTTTCACTAAACAAAAAGTTAAATATCATTTTTATTCTATTAATTTGTTTTAAATACAGTATACAGTCCTACACATAAATTATATTATTGTTGTAAAAATGAATTTGCTTGTGCCTTATTAGTCTATAATTGGAATAAAATCATAAGGTTGAATATTACGGGAGTTGCTTAATTATAGCATATGCCATAGTACAGTACTTTAGCGAGCTAAATAATTATTTGGGGACAATATTTAGTTTTATAAAGTGGCAAGGCAGAGACGTTACTATCTTTGAAATAATAACAATCGCAAAATTAGAAAGATAAGAAATGCACAGAAAAAGAAATCATCGAACTAGACTCTTTCACCAAGAAAATATGTTGAGTTGGAAAAGAAAAACGTCTAAAAGATGGCTTGAAACAGGAAATACCTTGGCTTCGAAAAAAATCCAGGACAATCAGAGGTTTTTAGGCAAATTCAGAAATGAATGGCTTCCACAATACATACCCAAATAATGATTTCAATGTATTTATTACATCGCGTATAGGGAGACAATGATCGTGTTCGTCTATGACACCGAATGTTTGAAAGAAGAAGCAGATGATCCTGTAAAAGCAGTATTGTACTTTCATCCCAGTTGGGTTTCCGACACCCAAAAGGTAGCTTTATGTGGGCAGTTAATGGGCTCATCGTATTTTCTAAAAGACTGCTTATTCAAGCCGCGAATAATCGCCTTACAGAATGGCAAGTTTGTTTTTAAGGAATTTGGCCGCTTTATCTTGGTAAGCAACGTTGCTCTAGTTTTGGTTTTCTAGCATGTAACAACTTTTGTACTTCTATTTCAGGCCGTAGGTACGGATCGCAACATATCCGATTATCTTTTACAACACCGGGCCGATTTGCTGTCGGCATTGGTTAAATTTTATCACCGTGGTTTGCAACTAATTTACGACCAATTTGCGCTTCAGTCCCAATACAAGAACCTATCCGAGAAATTGTACCACATATTTGAAACATATCTTCCAATCCTTCAATACAATGGAAACGTCTTCCAAAATATACCCAGGCTGCGTATACCAAAGACAGCTAGTAATATATTTCTGGAAGCGATACAAACCCTGCAATGTTGTCAGGAAACAAAAGGTGTCTTGGGTGGTGCAATTCTCTATCATAATAAGTAAGTTGTAATCGGAATGGCTGATGAAATATTAACATGTTCTGAACAAATGTTACGTTACTATTTTCTAGGGTAGTGGCATCGCAACTCAGTGATTCGCTAACAAAAAATATAATACTTACCGATCCACTGCACATTCGGACAACGGCGGAACAGTTGACCTCTACCGAGTTCCATATACCTAATGGGGTAGTAATGCTAGTAATATACATAGAATGTCAACAATATCGCAAATTACAGGCAGAGGCGCAAAGAGCTCAAAATCTGCAAACAACCCAACTGGGTCATGGCGCTTTACCATTTCAGTACAGCAAACGAAAAATGAAACGCGACAAGTCCCTTATATTTACGCACATACCGGAAGAAAATACCACGCAATCTATAGCTGAAAATGTCAACGATGAAGTTGTATGTCAACCAGCTCCGAGGGTAAAACCAATTATGAACCGGCCAACACATCTGCCGCTGCGAATGAAAAATTATAGCAACAAAGAATTGCCCGAATCGGGAATATCGTCGATAAACTTTGATGAAAATGATTCCTATCCGGAATATATTGGGCGGACAAGTGTGTGTTCCACTCCCATGGCTGAGAACAAAATATTGGCTGTGGGTAATATAATGTCAATTGTTGCGAATCCCGATGATGAGTGTAATTCCAATGGAAAAGTGGCAAAAACCAACAGCACCGTTCACCACATCAATCAAAGGAACTCGCTTCGGAAGGATTTTGAAAAGTTTTTCCATAACTTTATTTCAAATCCGAATAAAATAGAGAGACGCAGCTCTCTAACGGATATACACGATTCGTTGAAAACCTTTTCCAAGAAGATTTCCCTAAAACAAATTTCACAAAGTTTTAAGACCGACGTCAATCGCAACGGCGGAGACGCTTCTCCAGATTTCATAGAAAACGGCGACGAAGAAGATGACGATAGTTCCGAAAATTCGGATGATAATAATAAGACATCAAAAACGATAACCGATCCAACCAACCCGGTATTCAATGTCAATGGTCAACCTATTTCGCGAAGTTTGTTCCAGGAGTTTTTAGAGAAGTACTACAAATTATGGGGCGAGGCTAGCGAGGATGCCAAACAAGATGCAGAAATCGCCCAATTAATAGAAGAGTTTAAGGAGTTCGACAATGAATTACAGAAATTAGACGAATCCCTAAAGAAACCGACACAAAAGATAATACCCGATCGCAATCTCAACTTAGAATGCAATCAGTCGGTGGATAAAAGCGCTAAGACTCCACTTGATAAAAAAGCTCTTAGCTTGCCACTGAAATCGTTTTCGGATAGCGCACCAACCGCCCCGTCTCGTCGGCAATTGGGTGCTGTGCCATTGACCCCACTCATGGCCAAACTGTCTGTTTTAGCATTGAACGATGAACGTCCGACATGGGATGCTACACCGGGTGCTAACATTGAAATACAAACGCCTTTAAATACATCCAAAGGTATTGGCCGGCGAAGTTCCTTGAGATGCGATGACGCTGTGGATGCTTTAGATTGTATTTCATCGGACGCCACTGCTCACGGCGATGGTCTTCAAAAAGCCGAACTATACATATGCGGTCAACAAAATATGACACTAATACTGGTAATGGAGGAAGGTTGTTCGCAACAATCTAAGCTGGTGCACAAACTGGTGAGTACAACTTAGATATGTTAATGCGTTGTCGTATGTGCAATTTCGTTCTGTGCTACAATATTTTCAGTTCGACATTTGTGTGGCCAAGTTCCCACACATGGAGGCACATCTCAGTCAGACGCTGAATATAAACGTTGAATGTGAAAAACGCGATGGTAGCTACAGTTTTATGTGCCTAGATTCCAAGTGGGATGCACTCCAACGCAGCGGGCCATGGACCCCAGTAGAAATAAGCACTCTTGAATCTTTGCACAGTGATATGATAAATCATGAAGAAATAACTGACCTTATCCTGCGGTCGTACGACACAGTATTCTATGGTTACAAGTCAGGGCGAACGGAAATGTTTTACAAGGAACCAGCTAGAGAAATCAATGGAATTCCCCCACCATCAGATCCAATGGGGAATGTAGCAATGAGAGCAAAATTACGTCTGGAGCGGGAACATTCGTATATACTATTTTAGATGCACTAATACCACCTCTTCAAAGTACTAACACATATACTACTACAATGTCCGATCATTTGTGACATTATTCAAGTCCTTTACGTAATATTTGTAATATTCCAGTCGATTTTAAACTACTAACACTGATGATATATATTTTAAATACGGATTTTAATGCTGACATTCGCCATCTTGTTTAGCAACATTATTTATTATTTTAATATTATTTCCAATTTGTGTAATTCAGGTGTTCATAGCTATGTTGGTTCGTTTAAACGAGTTCAAGCTATTAAATTATAACTATTTTAATTGTGTTGTACTTTTGTTTCGCCTAATACATTGTGTATTGTTGCAAGGCGGTGATCTCCATCAGAAGTTTTTAGGAGAAGCCACCACATTCCATTTTTATTATTAGATAAATTATTCCAAATTGAAACTGTTAGATAAATTTACAATTTTAACCCTAGTTTTGCTATAACTGAATAATTTGTTCATTTTGTGTTTTTTTTTAATTTTATTATTATAAATAGTATAATTGTCATTTTATGCCGCAAGAGTCGGATATTTTGCTATAACCGACATTTTAGCACATAATGACACATCTCCCTTCGAAACCTGTTAACGGGTCTTGCTTAACCCAATTAATATTAGCAACTACAGATACTAATCCAAGAAGCTGCATGTCAAGTAGCCCAGATATTTGATAACCAGGTGTGTGTTTTTGTAGAATAACAATCCCAAGTAAATAAAAATAATAACAAACGTTTAAAATGTTGTTTCTTTTTCATTAGCTTTGATCGTATTAAATGGGGTTTGTTCCTTCCATGGATTATTTGTTAGGTAGAAGGGCAACGGAGGTATTTGTACGGAAAATTAACACTTTTTTCTGTCCCAAAAAAGCTCTACACATTGTTAATAAAAGCTTTTTGTTAAAATGTGAACTGTTAAACGATCAGATCTAATTCTGATAAAAACATCAAGAGGAACGTGAACGCGAAGACAGTTTTCCAACGCCAAACCGCTTTAAATTATATATTTTTGAAAATGATCGTTAGGTTTCTAATGAAGAATAGCAAATAATCGGAAAATAACAGCAATTCGAAATCTAGGAAATGCCGATATTGAGATAAAATGTCGGGAAAAGAAATTGTAATTATATCTTTAGCGATCTTGTCTTCAGCAACCAGGTGGGTACAATCAGTTTATCAGCAAAACCAATTCATCAAAAATTTGTATTGAACAAGAGGACTGGGAGATTTATAAATTCAAAAATCTTCTTTTAACTCGATTCAAGACATATCAAATTATATAAACAAATATAACTATTAATAAAAAATAAACAAAACAACTGTATTGGTTTAAGCGTCACAAGTTTTTTATACACCACGGAATGTTTACTGTTTTTGATGGGTTTATTGTCTTCCTAATTACCTAAACCAAACGTCGTCATTAATAATACAACAATAAAAGTTGGCTTCAACGCCTCAACTTATTTGCTTAGACCACAGAGTGATGTGTTCTCATTTGCGCACATTTTTGATTGACAATTTTCTAAATACATAATTACATTCCGTATCTCAATCAAATGTATGGTGCTTCCTTTGGACAACGAAGAATGTACGTTTCTTATTTATATTTCGATTTCAATGTACACATTAAAAAAACTCATAAATAAATAAAATAAAATTAATTTTCAATAGTAACAACACGGTCGGTGTTGCATGGAATTTCAAACAAATCCATATGTTCTTATGATGTGACCACTGAAACACGACTGAGGCCATAAAACTATAGTTTGCGAATCTTCAATACAAATTCAAATGTTTTTTTTTTTTCAAGGGCGCTGTTTCTGTTTATAATAAACCGAAGCGAAAATAAAATTATTTTCACTTCAATTGAAAAACATATAAAATAGGAGAACACAAGGCATTAAACTGTCAATTTGTGAAAACGAATTGTATCCGGAATATTGTGATGTGGGATGATGAAGCACATACCTTAATGTTTTGATCTTTTGTTGGGGTGTACATGTTAGTTTCATCATTAGGCAGAGCAAAGAGTATCTATAATAATTTGATCCATTTTTGGGAATTTGATAGATGTCCACCAAATGCCAATACCATGTTTTGATTTGTTTTCATTATATTATTTGATCGTTCACAGCTTCAAAGCTTTTGCAGTCAAGAGTCGTCGACATATATGTATTGTGTATCGTATGTTGGAATGTATATGCGTGATTTGTGAAAGAAGTACTGTGGCATTTGGTAATTAAGTGTCTATGAGTGGCAAATTAAATCAAAAATCTCAGTCATGAAAATAATAAAGATTAAGATCGTGAACTATTTGTGTTTATGTTTACTTTTTGTTTTTAGAAGATAAATTAACACTTTTATTTCCAGACCACTTGGTTGTATTCCCGCAAAATATGTACGTATGTACACTGCAATAAATGCTAATTACAGTACAATATTACTTTAATAAGCAAGTTCAACAATATTGAAGACATGTTTAGATTGTAATTAACTGAGATTTTCTCTCGACACACCTTGAAAACTCTCGTACACAATTTTTGATTTTCTGTTCCCCGATTTAATTTTAAATCATTTATATTTTATGTTTAAGATTTTGCATTGCCGATTATCAACCGCACTACCAACAATACAGCAACATCTCCTGCCTTGACTGGAAACAATCACCTGAATTAACTTCTGGAAATTGTACCAAATATAAATATGGCGCCTTAAGGTATAGATTGACCAGAGTCGATCAATTTTTATTTATTGTAATATAGTTTCGTTTTAGATGTTTCGGTAACTGGAAGAATTTGCAATCGATCAAGTGAGTAAAATATTCTTTTTGAGAAGTGATGATTCATGAATGAATTTTACTTCTGGATTATAGCGATCAAAAATATCGTGGACGATTGGAAGATATAATATTTTGTGGTTGGCCTGAGCGAGTTTTCAATCCAGTAGTCGACTTGCATGCATTTCCTCGTATAAAGTCACTGACTATCGAATACAGTCGAATGGCACATATATTTGATTTCCCGGAAATGTTTTATTTGCAAGTACATACCATACCAATGGGGTTTAATTGGAATTGAATATACTTATGTGACAAATTGTTGTTTCTTATATCAGATGATCAATATTTCCTGGACCAATTTGTCGCACATTGGCCAAAGGACGTTTAAAAAAATACATCCGTTGAGGATTGTCGATTTAAGGTGGAATAAACTGATACAACTCGATACTCCACTGTTGCTGCCCAGGGCCTTCGAGTACCTGTATTTGTCTGGTATGATGTGTATAGGGAAAACAAGTTATGATTTTTTTTTTTTTAACTGGGTGAGTTTTGTTTTCCCAGGTAACCCATGGAACTGCACAAGGAATTTGAAATGGCTTTTAATTCCGGAGAAGGCAAGTTATGTAGCAGATCGTGAATTACTGACATGTGGGGATCGCAAGTTCAAAGACCGGAACGTAATGACGGTCATGCACTATAAAGTGGTAAGCATTCAGTGCCATTTGATATATGAACACATATGCTGCCATCACTTGTGTTTGTTTTGTAGACATTAAAAACTGCATGCCAGTCCCATGAGGATTTGAGGAATTGTTCCTGTTCTATGCATCACATTATACCTAAAACGCACATGCCCTTGTATACAGTGAATTGTTCCCATTTGGGATTTTATCGCCTGCCAGCTTTCCTACCAGCAAACACAACCATGTTCTTTGCAAATAATAATAAGGTAGGAGCAACATCATCTCTATTAGCTCTTTTCCACAATTGCGCCAATACAATATGGCAACAGATTTCAGATATCTCACCGCTAAGAAATAACATTCATTACCGCTATGTTGTCGATGTGCATTTGGATAATAACCGAATCGAGAGTATTGATGTTTTGGAAGGCGGCTACTGGTTGGAGCACTTTCGCCTACTTAGTTTAATCAACAATAAAATGAGAAAGGTATGGTGGCGGAATGATAAGAACTACAAAAATATTTAATAATGCATGCCAATGCGTGTTACAGATACCAGTATATGCTCTCGACAATGCCCTTGAAGACAACGCCAACGCAAATCTCTTATTATTGAGTATGAATCCTTGGCATTGCACCTGTAAATTTGCCATGCGCTTTAGGGAGTTTTTAATAAAATACGGAGAGATAATGCGTGACTCTGGCAATATCAGTTGCAAATATATACAGGATGGCGAGGAGAAAAAGTCCAAGTTAATGACCATTACCCGGGAGGATGTTTGCAAACCTAAAGACGAGTCAAAAATTCATGTGTTGGATTGGGTTAATGGACTGTTGGCAGCGATGATATTGCTAATATTGGGCAAGCTGGGCTACGACTACTATTATTATAAAAATTATGGTAGGGTGCCATGGATTGTAATGAAGCTGCCATAGTCAATATGGACATTTATGTTATTCAGCAACATACAAGGTCCCTAGAACAAGTAGAAATAAGGAAACACGAAACTGATTGTATAGAAGAAATGCACTGTATTATATTCAAATATCCATAAATATAATTTATTTAAGTAAATTTGTGCTTTGTATATAGCTTTCTTAACAGACATATACAAATGTAATCTCTTAGAGGCGCAAGATAGAAGGGCAGTTTGAATAGGGATTTTTGAGCCATATCTTCATATAGGCTATACCACACAGATAACAACTATTCTACATAAATAGGTATTTTTTGCATTTCCTGAGTAGTTTGAATCTAAAAATATTCTTTGGGTAGTTATGTTTCATTCGTCAACTAACACTATTTTAACTAAGTATGCCTTTAAACATTATTACTTTCTGCATTATGTTGATTAGTGTTGTCCTCATCCACTGGAGCTTCATCTTCATTTTGGCCATTAAGCTGCCTGAGTTTTTTATTTGTCTCCTCTTGGATTTTACGTTCATATTCGCGCACATCTTCCAATGTCATGCCATACCATTCATCTATCCAGGCAAACGCTTGTCTGTGTCCCAACAACAGTACATCGCGAATAGATCGTTGAATGAAATCTTCAACTTTTGTCTGCAATCCCCATACTTCAAAGGAAGCATCAACTAATTTATAGGAACACATAATAGGTTTGTCAGTTTCACGCCATCCCTCCACCAATAGACCCCGATCTGTAGGAAATATTAAATATAAGGAATTAGATAGGTGTTTATAGAAATGCATTGAAATGACTGCATTACTTGTTTTAGTTGATTTAAATAATTTGGGGTCCTCTTCTTTTTTATAATGTTTGTTGTTGGGCAAATCGTCGAAGGCAATGTCCACAATGTCAATAGTACGCCTCTTTAGGTCATCTTCGGATAAATTTAGGCACTATTATTTTTATAGATTTGTTAAGAATTTGACAAAAATACTTATTTTTATTATATAATAATAAATATTTATATAAAACTTACATTTTCAGAAGTCCCATTGTTGTCCTCATATTTAGTTTTAATAAATACATTTAGCTTAGGTATAAAAGAACACTGCAATTGGAATAAAACTTTATTAAACTATGTTTTTTTTATTTTAAATCACTTTAACAGCACTCACCGTATATTCTGCATTCCATTTGAATAGTAAAAAAGTACAGAAATAAATCGAAACATATTAAAGAATTAGGTTAGTAAATGTGAATTTATAATTACTAAACATATACTAAAATATACGTCCGTCATTGCCATAACCGATTGTACACTATCGAAGCTTATAATTTTTAACATAAACTATCCAATTATAATATGAGTTCTAATTGCCTGTCCACACTCAGCTTGTCAACTATGTAATTGCAAGCATGTGCAGATTTTATTGGGTAACAGCTACTCCTGTCCTTCACCGTGCTCCGAGAAGGGATTTTTATGTTCGATATCGTATGGTGCGTGAGATTGCAGAGACCTCCATATAATAACTCCAAAATAGCCAAAACAGCTAGGTATATCAAAAGGAATTTTCTTTGCAAACTTTTAGTTGACAAACTGTATGTTATCTGAGCATGGCACTATTTTATAACCAACTAAAAGATTAATAAAATCAAACTAACACTCACCTGTCTTTGTGAATGGAAAGAAATTCCAGGATTTTTCTGTGACATAGAATACACGCGGACATATGGTTTGTATCCAGTATGGCAAACGACTAAAAAACATAGAAAATAGCCAATCACAAATACAATTTGTATGAAAAATCTAAATTGACAAAACCTTGACAAGTGTATCCTCTTTTCAGTGAATTGTCCTTTTCCATATTCTGGATCTTCACAGGCCTCGTTCGTGATTATTTCTACGCCTTCACCCTCTCCAGACTGCTCCAAGCTATGGCGTGCTATCATATACAACTGTCCAATTTGATACTGAACGGAATGTTGAAGATAAACGTTCACTTATTAACTTAATATATCAGTATATTTGTTTTTGTATCCAAAGAGATCTATGGTAGATTCCGCTTAGTGTTCTTGAAATTCCTTTGGACAATTTCATACCAACCTCTTCGCATGTTAGCGGCATAGCAATTCTGTACTCCTTTAATACCATTTCGTTCAATGTCTCTTATATTTTGGAGAATTAATTTTGAAAAAATAATATTACGAAACTAACACACGGCCGACCGAAATATCCAACAGATGAGATGAACTTCTTCAGCAATCAAATCAATACTAGGGATAAGTACATCGACTTTCGTTTCGTAAGAAAAAAACTTACTATTGACTACTACTAAGTGGTTCTTTACATTTAGCGTCATGATCCGCGAATCACGAGAGTTATTTTTTTCATTCACATTGTCAAATCGGCAAACAAAACAAAAAGTAAGAAAATTTATCTTCACTTCATATGATAATAAATCATAATTATCGAGAAATATTGGCCAACATATATACTTGTTATTTGCATAAAAATATAAATTATAATTTAAGCCTAAATGTGTCTACGAATAGTGAAGTAAATAATAAATTTATTTTTTGTTTCGGTACATTAATGTAATTTCGTACATATTTCGGACGAAAAGTACGCTTAGCACAACCCCAATTACGAAAGAGAGACGAGGCAACATTCGTGACCCGCGGATCATGATGCAAAATGTAAATGGCCGCTAAAATATATCATTTCTCTATGCATTCCAGCGAAGTTGGTGACAGTTATTGTCATACCCTCTTTCTCAGCAATTCGCTTCTTAAGTGCTGTCCATTATACCTCATTCGTAATATTTGGTATGTCCACTTTGAGTTTCTTCTTTATCGGTTATTTTTTCTTTCTCCCCTATTTGTATTAATTCGAGCGAAGTTGGTGGCAGTTCTTGCTTTGGTGTTGGTATACTTTCGCGATAAAATAAAAATAAAAAAATAATAATTGGAAAATATAGAATTTACGAAGGCAATTGGAAAACTGCATAAGCATAATTTGCATAAAATAATAAAATCAGTTAAAAACGTTTTGATAAGAGTTCGTAAATAGAGTTTAAAGAGAGCTTTGTGTGTGTGTTCGTGTGTTGACGATTGTGTTTTTTCGTTTTTGAGAAATACACAAAAATCTCCTGAGGAATTTTATAGAACGCAAAACAAATGATAAGGATCCGGAGGAAGATGGGTCCTCATCAGCCGCTGACGTCTAATAACAACAAGGAATGGATATGTTGTTTCAATCTCCATGTCCTAACTGCAACCATAATGATTGGACTCTGGCATTTGGTAAGTCCGAAAACCAGCCTTTTTAATGCACATATGTATGTAGTGCGCCGTATTGTCGTCGCAGAATATGCAAATAATCAATATTTCAATAATTGCTTCGGTGTGGGGTGTCGTGCATTTCTGTTTTCATTGGAATTCCTGTTTTTGTTTGTTTTGTTTTTGCTTTTGTTTCACGTAGCCTCCTCAGGGTCACCATGGAGTACTTTGTTGTATTGCATACATTGGTTTGTTGTTATTGTCATCATTATTGGCTTACCACATTTAAAATGTAATAGGGCGGGTCGACATATTTAATAGCTGCATGTTACTTTGGTTTTCGGATTTGTGAAATCGTATACGAGATACACAATTGAAAAATATAATTTTTACTTTTGTTTATCATTTTTACTTTTTTATTGGGTACAACTTTCTCTTTCATCTCTATTATTTTTCGAAATTGCGTGCGTTTGACTTTTTTAGTTCAATAAAAAATTTTACAATAAAATAAGTGACAATTATAATCTCATCCGATTAATGTGATAACATCATACTAAACATACATTCAATTTTTTTTATCAAGTTCTTAAATATCCTCGCTCTAAGCCTATTGGCGGTTATTATGCGTAATCCTCACATGATGGAAGAACTGGAAAACAGTTACGATTACAATGTCGACATGAATGCCCCAGCTTTACCTACCCCCCTAAGTAAAGTGGATCCACCATTTGCCTATCGTGATCACTCGCTTATTTACCGGAAACAATATCGTAAGTTTGGTCTATGTTGGTTGTCTGCATGCAGAATTACACGGTGTTCGATATTTTAATTGTACATTTCTGGCAATATTTTAGAGAGCTATGACATGGGCGGTTTAGTATGTACCTGTATGATTGCCATTACTATGATGATGATCTATGGTGCTATTAAGGGCAAACCGTCTCATCTACTGCCCTTCTTCTGTCTTCAGTTATTCGATTTTGCCATAACCACGTAAGTGCCAATGTTTAGGATAATGTTTAGGATAATTTGCAGTTACAACTGCCTAATATTAAATAATATCTTCCTTATTAAGCCTGACCGCTGCCGGATATTTGTGTTATCTTCAAGCTATTCACCGTCTTATAGAGGAATCCCATCGTTTGCCATGGCGCGAGAAGCTATTGGAATTGTCACCAGAGGAACTTGTCATTGTGGTCCTTATAGTTTTTGTGTGCATTGTTTTCCTGAAAGCGTATGCCATCGGCATCGTCTGGCGTTGTTACAAATACTTGACCTTGAGACAGCAAAGTATGCGTACATTGCTGCCATTGGGCATCTCTGACATAACTGGTAACAATTGTGGATCCGAGGAACGCGCCTATTCTACTCTATTGCCCAATTACGATGAGGCTGTAGCAGCATATATGAAGCAAGCTCCACCCCCATCTTATCAAGTTGCCATGTCGAACTTGCCGAGGGAGGAACCGATTGACATCCCCGAAATAAATGCAGTTGCTGGAACCGAAGAAGACAACAACAATGACACGTCAAACAACAACAACACGGTGCACATCAATAACAATACCCCAACCATGAGACGTAACGAAATCGTTTCCGGCGAGACTATGGGCGCTGTCGGTGGAGACCCAAATAATGAGTTGACTCCACCACCTTCGTATAATGAAGTTATTATTGAACCAGAATCACACCCACAAAGTGACCCAGCAACCGGGGGTAATGTCCAAATTTCAAATCCCTCCAACAACGCTCAATCTAATATCAATGAAAGCCACGCATAAATCAAGATTGTAGATTTGACCGGGGTTTAAACACATTTTTTAGTTGTTGGTTGTTTTTGACTGTCGAGTAGAGGACAGCCATCTGTTTAATATTTTTGTAATTTGCAAGCGTGCAAATATTGCCGACAGCCAAGTAGTGCTCCTAGACACAATCATTGCAGTGAGATCATCTTTCCTTTCTACTGCAACATTATATTGTTGATGATATTAATTCTCACGTTTATCTCAACATATCTACTAATCGAACTCTTGACTTGTCTGGCATTGCAGTAAAATCTCGTTATTTTGGCGGCATACAAACCCCTCTTTCTGCAATTTTCTGTTTTTTTCTTATTTCTACCACTTAATCTAATACGCACCCGAATACAATATATATTACATAACTTATATATATGTTGAAAAAAAATAATAAGTCATTAAACACGGTACACAAGCATATTCAGTATCGCCGGGAACATAGGCAATTCCCTAAGCTGAAAGTCTCGTATAATTTCGGTTTACAAAGAAAAATTCCCTGTTATGTTTTAATTTTATATTTTACGCTAATGAATGGTTGATTGGCAAGTTTTAATTCCACAGCAATTATAGAATCTTGGTATACTGTGAAACTCCTCTGCAGTATAAATTTTAATCTGTTGTATTTATTCCACAAAATTGCTCTATATTAACTCTTTTGTCTGTGTTATCATTTTCTTACATACATACATATATAATATATATTTATATACTAAAAATAACAATGAAGACTTTTATGAATGATGATTATTATTAAACTAATATACGCAAAAATACAAAAAAAAAAAACTAAACCAATAATTGCTATAAATTGGATGATGTAAAACACACACATAAATATATACACATCCAGCAAAGTTATTCGAATATTATAGTTTAAAATTAATAAAAAATCACACCACACAATCAGGTAGATTTTTTAGAGCTTTTTTGAAATGCTCTATACAATCTATCTATGTGGTTTTCAAAAGCAATCCGTTTTATTAAAGTTCAGATATTAACTGTAAGTAAAATATATTCTTCTATCTATTGCGGCATGAGATTACAGTTCACAGATTACGTATCCAAAAGCGCTGTAATTTCACAATTACTTCTGTATAAAAATTAAAAAATCTTTTTAGCCAATATGTATGATGAAGGAGAAACGTATGGGCGATGTAATCCCTAAATTATTGCCGAAAAAGAAAATAACAAATTTATGAACCTTGCCTAATCAACATCACAAAAATAAATGAATTCAAATTTTCAACAGTAGGGCTGCTACAACAACTAAAACCACAAAAATCTATCGCGTTGTTGAATGAAAAATAAATTTGAAGGAGGTTAATGGGATTGCAATAGACCGAATTAAAATAAATGAATTAGAGCAAAAAAAAAAAAAAATAATAATAATGAAGAGTTCTCGACTTTTGGAACTAGATGAACATAAATATCAAAAATTTACGATAAAATGGCGAAACACCTCAAAACATTCACCGAAGTATTGATTTTTTTTCGGTTTACGTTTTGGTATAACGATAACCCTCCAAATATTCGAATAATAATTATGAATAACAATGTCGGAATTTTTGGCCAACTTATTGACCAATATATTACTTTATAAATTCTGAATTAAATTGTGTAAAAATATTAATTCCCTGCAACAGTTTTTATTCCTGTTAAAAATAACTTGTGTGCTGTCAATATATAATTAATTAGCGCGTTCGTCTACACAATTTTAAAAAACATTTTTATTATCCTCTTGAGCCATGGTGCTCAATTCCATACAGGAATCCCGCAATAGGAATAGTGAAGAAAAACGAGAGAAGCGTATGGCACAATTAGTAATGTCTGTGCGGCATTACATAATATATGTTTGAAGTTTAGGGTACAAGGGTATACCGGATCCGATTTATTTCATTTTCATTTCATTAGACAAAGCTATTTTTTTAAACACCACTTTTCTTCTAGTTTTGTTATTTTCTTTTTTGCTTTCGACAGCTAATTTGGCATTCATATGACAGTTTTATGGGAAATTCCGATAGTAAGCCATCGATATCGGATGCAGTCATACCAAATTTGATGATCTCGATAGAATCAACTCGATTTCGAAACTCATAAGTTGACCCCAGAGTTTTGTTTCAAGTGTTCATAATTTTTGGGCGTATTGTTGGTTTTTAATTTTTAATTGTAGTAAACATTTTTTACATTCTTGTGGTTGTGGAACAGAAATTATATTTATAATTATATAGGAGTTTTCTCTTAAACGGAACGTTAAATAAATATTGTATGCAACAACCGCTGTAGTTCACATATTACACCCGGGAGTTAGCATTGAAGTAACAAAATGCAGGTTGAGGAATATGCGTAAAGCGTATCTGAATATAATACAGGGATATTTTGCTTATACAAGGAAATTTCCTCTCTTGTATGCTATAAATTGATTTATTTTTATCCAAGACAATTTAACTGTAATGGATTGACAGAATGCTTTTTGCAAAAATTGTTTGTTGAAACCCCGGTAGATGTCACTTCTCATGAAGAGGCAATATAATGTAGAAAAAAAATCAACATAGGGATGGAGCGGTTTATAACGCGTGATATTTTTGGCTCAGCTGATACTATAAAATACCAATAGAGCAAAAGTGCCTTTGTTTTTATCTGTGGAATTTGACCTATTACCTCTCAGTAATCGACCTTCTTATTTGGTATTTCTCAAAATAGGAATCCTTATCGCTACAATATTTTAATACTTATTTAAAACTCTTTTAACATTGTTCGCCAGGATTAGTTCAGTTTATAACTTCAGAACGCGTCAATGATTTGTACCCGTCTAAAGTATTGTGTGTGTGTGATATGTTGGTATATGTATCACCTAGTATTTTTCTACTGCAAGATGCAGTTTTACGTTTAAAAACATGTTTTTTCCTTTATCAATTCTGCATTATTCCGTCAGCAGATAAATCCCAAACTATTTACTAATATAACAAGTAATGGGCAAAGAGAGAGAGAGCATACATTTCATCGTTTATAATTTATTAGTTCAAGTAATATACACTCTTTATGCACACTTAAGCCTTCCAGTTGGGCCATTGCTTGATTTCGTTCCACAAGTTGGTGCCAGGGCATTCAGTAGAGCCGACTTGACGATGGCCGTACAAAGTATAGCCGGAGACAATTTGACCACGGGAAACAGCAGCAGCCAATAGGCTCTTGGCAGCAGAGATTTGAGCAGCGGTGGGTTTGCTGTTATTGTAGTTACCCAAGAAGGAGATGCCAATGGACTTGGAGTTCCAGTTGGTAGCATGGGCACCCATAACGTTCCAGCCACGACCTTCATAGATGTTACCATCACCACCGATCAAGAAGTTGTAACCAATATCGGCCCAGCCCAAGGTCTTTTGGTGGTAGCTTTGGATATTTCTCAATTCTTGCATGCAGGCAGCCTTGGTGGAGCAGTAGTTACCAGCGGTGTGATGGATGACGGCATAGGCCAAACCATTGCCCAAGGTTGTTTTACCGTTGGCGGGAGCAGCACCCCATTCTGACTTGGATATGATGGTAATACCAAAAACGGCCTGGGCGCAGAAGAGAACTGCCAAGAGGGAGAATGCTGCTTTGGAAACCATTGCTATGTTCTTTCTTAAAAAATGAACTAATTAAAATGTGTAACAACCCCCATTTTATACTCCTAAAAAGACTTTCCCCAATTGTATTTCGCAAATGATTATCATGACTGGACGATAAGATCTGCAAAAATTATGGCCGCGAGTACTGATTTATTTTAAATCAAATCATATCAGGATTGATTAGAAATCAGTACGATCGCAACAAAACACGGTATTTGTACAAAATATATACAGATAACAAAACAACATACCTGACAAGCGCGTATCTACGATTAATAATAATACAACAACAATGTTTTTGAAGACACCTTTGTAAATATAATTTATATAGATTATAGATTATTTTTCTTCAAAGATTCCTATATAAACAGTGAGAACACAAAGAGAATCATCAATTGTGTTAATTTGCAAGCATAGCAATGGTATCCAAAGCATTGTTCTCACTCTTGGCAGTCCTCTTCTGCGCCCAAGCCGTTTTTGGCATTACCATCATCTCCAAGTCAGAATGGGGTGCTGCTCCCGCCAACGGTAAAACAACCTTGGGCAATGGTTTGGCCTATGCCGTCATCCATCACACCGCTGGTAACTACTGCTCCACCAAGTCTGCCTGCATGCAAGAATTAAGAAATATCCAAAGCTACCATCAAAAGACTTTGGGCTGGGCCGATATTGGTTACAACTTCTTGATCGGTGGTGATGGCAACATCTATGAAGGTCGTGGCTGGAACGTTATGGGTGCCCATGCTACCAGCTGGAACGCCAAGTCCATTGGTATCTCCTTCATGGGTAACTACAACAACAGCAAACCCACTGCTGCTCAAATCTCTGCTGCCAAGAGCCTATTGGCTGCTGCTGTTTCCCGTGGTCAAATTGTCTCCGGCTATACTTTGTACGGTCATCGTCAAGTCGGCTCCACTGAATGCCCTGGCACCAACTTGTGGAACGAAATCAAGAAATGGCCCAACTGGAAGGCTTAAGTTTTTAATTTAGTTTTTGCAAAATAAAATAAAGAGTTCGATTAAAAGAAAGCAATGTTTGTTATTTCTGTGACATTTTTTATATCTATATCTGTGATCATGGTACAACTAGACAAGGTAACTGCAAAACTACTCTGATACATACTATATACATCAAACGTAAATGTAAAACATTACACAAAATGTTGTTGTATTTTTTTGGTTCCCTACATACTGTAAAACTCAAATTGTATTATCGTATTTTTTATTTCACATATAATGTCATGGTACAATTATAAAAGGTAACAGCAAATCCCAGCTGATTTGATTCCAACGTAATACTAGTGTCAATATGAATTTGACAAATTATGTTTTTAAAAATCACCCAACAGGAAAATTGGGAACGCATACAATTTGAAAT